AATAAAATCTAATATATTTTAGGTTAAAAAAACTTTTTTAAAATATTAAAAAATAAAAAAAACCTTTAATATTTAATTATTAAAACATTTAATATTTATTAGTCCTTTTTTCGTTGTTTGCTTATCACTAGAAATATTTTTTAAAGACAACTAATCTTTTTGATTTTAGACACTTGCTTATTACTTTAAATTTTTATGAATAATTTATTGAGCTAAATTTTATAATAAATTAGTGTAAATTTTAAATAAATATCAAATATAATAAACTTTAAATTAAAAATTATTTGTTAAATAAATAAATAAAATAAAATTAGAGGAATAAAAAAGATAAAAAATTAATCAAATAAAAGCTATCAAATAAATTCAAAGAGCTTTATTGTTTTAAATTAGTTTTAATAATTAAAAATATCACAGTTCAAAACAAATAAACCGTTTTTACTTAAGGCGAAGTGTCAAAATATAGAGATTAATGCAATTTGCTAAACAAGAACCTAAGCCTGAAGCACCTTGATCACCAATATAATTGAAACTTTTTAAATATTGAAGAAAAAATATATCTTTAAATAGTTAATTAAAAGGAAAAAATGAAGAAAGAATATGAAATAATAAGATAGATTAATTAATAATAAAAGTAAAAGTTGAAAATAAAATGATGAGTTAAATAAACAAAAAAAGAACAAAAAAAAAAGCAATTACAATAAAAAGAAAAAGAAAAAAGAGCTTTATTGTTTTAAATTAGTTTTTATAATTTAAAATATCACAATCCAAAACAAATAAACTGTTTTTACTTAAGGCGAAGTGTCAAATTTGAGAGATTAATGCAATTTGCTAAACCAGAACCTAAGCCTGAAGCACCTTCATCACCAATTTAATTTTCACTTTTTAAATATTGAAGAAAAAATATATCATTAAATAGTTAATTAGAAGGAAATAATGAAGAAAGAATATGAAATAATAAGATAAATTTATAAATAATAAAATTGAAAGTTGAAAATAAAATGATTTGTTAAATAAACAAATAAAGAACAAAAAAAAAGCAAGCACAATAAAAAGAAAAAGAAAAATGAGCTTTATTGTTTTAAATTAGTTTTTATAATTTAAAATATCTCAATCCAAAACAAATAAACTGTTTTTACCGAAGATCAAGTGTCAAATTTGAGAGATTAATGCAATTTGCTAAACCAGAACCTAAGCCTGAAGCACCTTTATCACCAATTTAATTTTCACTTTTTAAATATTGAAGAAAAAATATATCATTAAATAGTTAATTAGAAGGAAAAAATGAAGAAAGAATATGAAATAATATGATAGATTAATTAATAATAAAAGCAAAAGTTGAAAATAAAATTATGAGTTAAATAAACAAAGAAAGAACAAAAAAAAAGCAAGCACAATAAAAATAAAAAGAAAAAAGAGCTTTATTGTTTTAAATTAGTTTTTATAATTTAAAATATCACAATCCAAAACAAATAAACTGTTTTTACCGAAGATCAAGTGTCAAATTTGAGAGATTAATGTAATTTGCTAAACCAGAACCTAAGACTGATGCACCTTCATCATCAATATAATTATTCCTTTTTAAATATTGAAGAAAAAATATATCATTAAATAGTTAATTAGAAGGAAAAAATGAAAAAAGAATATGATATAATAGGATAGATTAATTAATAATAAAACTAAAAGCTGAAAATAAAATGATGAGTTAAATAAACAAAAAAGAACAAAAAAAAAAGTCAAGTACAATAAAAAGAAAAAGAAAAAAGAGCTTTATTGTTTTATATTAGTTTTTATAATTTAAAATATCACAATCCAAAACAAATAAACTGTTTTTACTTAAGGTCAAGTGTCAAATTTGAGAGATTAATACAATTTGCTAAACCAGAACCTAAGCCTGAAGCACCTTCATCACCAATTTAAAAAAAATATCGATTTTACGTTTTATTTTTATCAAAATTTTAGGTTTTTTATTAAAGAGGAAAATAGGTATATATGTAAAATAATCACAAATTAGATATAAATTTTTCTAAATGGTTTTCATTAATAATTATCAAATAAATAAAAATATATATAAACATATTAAAAAATTAATTTTAAGTTGTATTCTGAGTGCATTTATATGTGCGAGTATTTCTATTCTATTCTATCACCAATTTAATTTTCACTTTTTAAATATTGAAGAAAAAAAATATCATTAAATAGTTAATTAGAAGGAAAAAATGAAGAAAGAATATGAAATAAAAAGATAGATTAATTAATATTAAAAGCAAAAGTTGAAAATAAAATGATGAGTCAAATAAACAAAAAAAGAACAAAAAAAAAAGTAAGTACAATAAAAAGAAAAAGAAAAAAGAGCTTTATTGTTTTAAATTAGTTTTTATAATTTAAAATATAACAATTCAAAACAAATAAACTGTTTTTACCGAAGATCAAGTGTCAAATTTGAGAGATTAATGCTATTTGCTAAACCAGAACCTAAGCCTGATGCACCTTCATCACAAATTTAATTTATACTTTTTAAATATTGAAGAGAAAATATATCATTAAATAGTTAATTAGAAGGAAAAAATGAAGAAAGAATATGAAATAATAAGATAGATTAATTAATAATTAAAGCAAAAGTTGAAAATAAAATGATGAGTTAAATAAACAAAGAAATAACAAAAAAAAAAGTAAGCACAATAAAAAGAAAAAGAAAAAAGAGCTTTATTGTTTTAAATTAGTTTTTATAATTTAAAATATCACAATCCAAAACTAATAAACTGTTTTTACTAAAGGTCAAGTGTCAAATTTGAGAGATTAATGCAATTTGCTAAACTTGAACCTAAGCCTGAAGCACCTTCATCACCAATATAATTGAAACTTTTTAAATATTGAAGAAAAAATATATCATTAAATAGTTAATTAGAAGGAAATAATGAAGAAAGAATATGAAATAATAAGATAGATTAATTAATAATAAAAGTAAAAGTTCAAAATAAAATGATGAGTTAAATAAACAAATAAAGAACAAAAAAAAAAAGCAAGCACAATAAAAAGAAAAAGAAAAAAGAGCTTTATTGTTTTATATTAGTTTTTATAATTTAAAATATCACAATCCAAAACAAATAAACTGTTTTTACTAAAGGTCAAGTGTCAAATTTGTGAGATTAGTGCAATTTTCTAAACCAGAACCTAAGCCTAAAGCACCTTCATCACCAATTTAATTTTCACTTTTTAAATATTGAAGAAAAAATATATTATTAAATAGTGAATTAGAAGCAAAAAATGAAGAAATAATATGAAATAATATGATTGATTAATTAATAATAAAAGCAAAAGTTGAAAATAAAATGATGAGTTAAATAAACAAAGAAAGAACAAAAAAAAAAGCAAGCACAATAAAAAGAAAAAGAAAAAAGAGCATTATTGTTTTAAACTAATTTTTATAATTTAAAATATCACAATCCAAAACAAATAAACTGTTTTTACCGAAGATCAAGTCTCAAATTTGAGAGATTAATGCAATTTGCTAAATCAGAACCTAAACCTGAAGCACCTTTATCACCAATTTAATTTCCACTTTTTAAATATTGAAGAAAAAATATATTATTAAATAGTTAATTAGAAGGAAAAAATGAAGAAAGAATATGAAATAATTATGAAATAATATGATAGATTAATTAATAATAAAAGCAAAAGTTGAAAATAAAATGATGAGTTAAATAAACAAAGAAAGAACAAAAAAAAAAGCAAGCACAATAAAAAGAAAAAGAAAAAAGAGCTTTATTGTTTTAAACTAATTTTTATAATTTAAAACATCACAATCCAAAACAAATAAACTGTTTTTACCAAAGATCAAGTGTCAAATTTGAGAGATTAATGCAATTTACTAAACCATAACCTAAGATTGAAGAACCTTCATCACCAATTTAATTTCTACTTTTTAAATATTGAAGAAATAATATATCATTAAATAGTTAATTAGAAACAAAAAATGAAGAAAGAATATGAAATAATAAGATAGATTAATTAATTAATAATAAAAGCAAAAGTTGAAAATAAAATGATGAGTCAAATAAACAAAGAAGGAACAAAAAAAAAGCAAGAACAATAAAAAGAAAAAGAAAAAGAAAAAAGAGCTTTATTGTTTTAAATTAGTTTTTATAATTTAAAATATCACAATCCAAAATAAATAAACTGTTTTTACTAAAGGTCAAGTGTCAAATTTGAGAGATTAAGGCAATTTGCTAAACCAGAACCTAAGCTTGAAGCACCTTCATCACCAATTTTATTTTCACTTTTTAAATATTGAAGAAAAATTATATCATTAAATAGTTAATTAGAAGGAAAAAATGAAGAAAGAATATGAAATAATAAGATATATTTATTAATAATAAAAGCAAAAGTTGAAAATAAAATGATGAGTGAAATAAACAAAGAAAGAATATAAAAAAAAAGCAAGCACAAATAAAAAGAAAAAGAAAAAGAAAAAGCGAGTTTTTTATACAGGTTTTTACATTTTATAAAACTAAAATTTTAATTATTTTTTCCGAAATTTTTTTCATTCATAAAATTTTTCAAAAAAATTATATGTTATTAGAATATACAGTGTTAATTGTTTAAAATTTTGCATTTTGTGAATTAAAGCTTTCTAAAAATTCAAAAATAAAGCTGTTTTAAACTAATTTAGCTTTATTTATTATGTTATTAAGAAATCTTATATTGCGCCTTTTATAAATTAAAAAGGCATTTAACTAGTTAATTAGAAGGAAAAAATCAAGAAAAAATATGAAGTAATAAAATTAATTAATAGTTAATAAAATTAACAAAGAATGAAATCATAATAAATATAAAAAGGAAAATACATAAAATAAATTAAAAGAGCTTTAATGTTTTAAATTAATTTTTATAATTAAAAATATTACAATGCAAAAATTTTTATTAAGTGTAAGTTTTAATACAAAAAATGAAGAAAAAATATCAAATAATAAAAAATGAATAATAAATAATTAAAAATTGAAATGAAAATTAAGTTAAAATGCTAAAAATTTTTTGTTTTAATATAAATCAATCAATGAATAATGATGGTAATTTCAAATGACAATAATTCAAATAAATTGAAAGTTAAATATATAAAAAATATTAATAATAATAAAAATAATATTATTTAATTAAATATACCTCAGATCAATATGGAGCTCCTAATGAGATAAAAGAGAAGAGCTTAAAAACTATTTTTATTAATTAATATAAATTTAAATGATATTAATAAAAAAATTAATAATTACTTCTTCCAATTTGTTATATTTTTTAATCTATTATATCATTTTTTTTTTTTTCAAAAATATTGAATAGCAAGCAATTTATGAAATTTAATTAATTAATTATAAATAGATAAAAAGAACAAATAAAATATGATAATTAATTATCAAATATTAATTTATATATTTGGTTTTATGAAGAGATATCACAAAAAAATTAATTTAACATTCATTATTTTAACTTAATATTTGTATTTATAACATATACTTAAAAATATATATAGTAGAGATGGCCAGTTTTTATATAGTCCTATTTGAAAAAATTGTAGTATTTAATGTTCTTAAATATTTTTTAAAAATTTGACCTCTTTTTTTATAGCTGTTCTGAGAATAGAGCTATTAATTTATAATATATATTAATTTCTTGTTGACATTTGTAATTTGATTGGAAATTAGTAGAAATTGAATTTATTCTGATATCATCTATTGTAAAGAACTTTAAACAAACAAAAACTAAAGAATTTATTTCAAGTAGATGCAAATTTGATATAAAATACATTTTGAAAATAAAGATATTCATAAATAAGCAGCTCAGGGCAAAAAATTAGCACATTAGCTTAGATTTTAATAATAAATGCAACAAGTTGAATAGGAGTAAAATTAGGCGGCGAATTGTAATAAAATTTCTTTGGACATTTGCTGATGTTTTTTGTTAAATTTATGTAATAATTTTAGAAATAATATTTAAACAAATAGAACATCATCAAGTAAGTAATTTTCTGGCCAAGGAGTTTTTTGATTATGGGTTGATGTCATTCTACCAATACCAATAAAATAAATAAAATAATGAAGACGTAAGCAGTTAATAACTATAAAAATGTTTAGCTTTTAAGTAGTTTTAATGTTTAAAATTATAGAAAGCTGATGATGAAGATAAAGTGAAGAATCAGGAATAAGAAATAGAATAAGAATCTAATAAACTTATAAACGATAAAGATCTTTAACTAAAATACAAGGTAATCAATATGGATGAATGTATATATTTAAATAAACATTATTTTATTTAGGAAGAAATAGATTATATAAGATGGTTCCATTCATTTCACAATTAGAAATTTACTAAATCTAAGAGAAAATGAATCCTTTTTCTAGCTGAATATGAAAAATATAAATCTCATAAATAATTGGTTAAATAGCCCTTTTCATGAAGCTTAAACTATAGAAATATTTTATTTAGATAAAATAAATATTTAAAATAAATTTATATAAATTCAATTATATGTATTAAGTAATTAAATAAATAATAAGCAAGTAAGTAAGAAATAAATCAATCAATCAAATAATTAATAATTTCAATTAATAAACAAAAATTTACATCTGGATCAAATTTCTGAACTATTTCTGGCTCATAAAATAAAATATTGTTAACCACAGGAGCTGGAATATCATAAATTTCAGGTAATCCATCTTAAATCTCTGTTTTTTTAGTGTGGAACCTAGTGAAGTTATCTGTGAATAAAAAAATTTTAATCGTAAATTATAAAATAAATTATAAGAATTTAGTCTACCTTAAAGAGTTGTATAAGAATCTAAAGGCTTGCATTTGGCCATATTTAAAAATTAATAGAAAACTATCAAAAAAATAATTGTCATAACAAATACAGAAGGGATAGCAAGAGCCCATGATTTATCAGGATAGAAATAAATGCCAAAAGAATTCAGCAAATTGTCCGGTAAAAATCCCCAAATAATATAAAGCAAAAACATCCCAAAAGATCCAACCCATCCTACAAACCCATAAATTTCAATCGACTTCATTTTAGCCAGAAATAATTTCAAAAATTCTTTTTCTAATATTTAATTAGATAACTTTCTTTTAACAATAGTTAGATTTTACTTGATTTTTTGTTTATTAATTTATTAAACTAAAATATGTTTCTTTTTTAATTTGTGTTTTTTTTAATTTATCAATTTTATTTATTAAATAAAGATTATACCCTCAAAATACAAAGAAATTACTTTAAATTTTATTTAAATTTCTTTAAAATCAATCAAAAAAATCTTCATATCCAAAAGCAAAAATTTTATCAATGTGAAAAGCATGTTTTAACTTAAAATTAAAAGCAATCATTTTTAAGAGCAAAGTAAGAAAATAATTAAAATATTTTGTATAAATGTTATTTTTAATGAATCAAATTTTAGTTTTTGTTTATAGTTTCTGATAAGGGCTTCAAGCCTATGAGAAGGAACTTTTAAAATTAACCTTATTAAATAGAATAAAGCATCTTCATTTAATATTTTTAGCTTCTCTTTGAATTATAATAAAAATTTAACTTTTATGCTTAATTTGATTTTTTCTATTAAAAAATAAATTTCATAAATTATTTTATTGATAGATTAATTCATATATCAAAAATGTATTTATGATTATTTATCAATAAAAATGTTTAATTTTTTCATTTTTTATTTATTTTTAAATAAATTATTAAAATATATTGAGAGAATAAAAAAATATTTATTTTAAAAAAATACCTTTATTAAATTAATGAAAATTAATCTGTTAATTTTATTTAAAAATTGAAAATAAAAATAAAGCATTAGTTGTAATTAATTATTTTTAATAAAAAATAAATCAAATGAAAGAAAATAATTAGTAAAATTTTTTAAATAAAAACTAATTAGAATTTATAAAAAATAAATAAAATATTTTTGAAAAAATTAATAAAATATGTTTGTTAATTGAATTTCTAAATAGAAAATAAAAACAGTTTTTATAATATTTTGGATTAATTTCAAAGATTTGAAGACTGCCTATTTATCTATCTATCTATCAATTGAATAAATAAATAAATTTATTCAGTATGATTTAGTATTCAAAATAGGAATATTTTTTGAAATTTGATTAGTGTTTAAAATCAATCAATCATAGAAATTTAATTAAATTATTTATTTATTTACCAAATTTCAAATAAAAAAAGATTCAATTATCTTTCTTGTTTGTTATTGATAACATAATTTGTTTGTTAACATTAAAATATCATAGATAAATAAATAAATATTATTTATTACTGAAATACAACTTACTTATTTATAGTTAAAGCAGACATTTTTAAATAAATCTAGTAGTACAACAATTATTTGTCCTTGATTGCAAAGCTAGTTTAAACAAAAATATAAAAATAGGAGATTTAGTTTAAAATAAAAGTCAATTATAGCGCAAGTAGAGAATAATAAATACTATTTTAATAAATCCAATACAAAGTTAATAATTATGCAACAAAATCTTTCAAATTAGCTTGTTATTATTCCTAGAGAACTCGTCTACGCTGATGTGCAGCCTCATTCTACGTAGGAGTAGTCATTTATTATTAAAAACAAGCAAGCCAACCAACACTTTGAATTATTCTTTGACAATTATGATCCTTAAAAATATGAAATGATTCCAAACAGAATGCAATTAAAACCCTATCAAGATCAACTCGTTGTAGTTAAAATTAACGTCGACTAAATCAACTCTAATTTCTCATTAAAAGATCAAATATTAATCAAAGATGCTAACTCTAATCAATCTATTCCTATAACTATTACTCTGCTCCCTGCATCTTAATTGTCTCACTTAAGTCCACACCATTCTCCAAATCAAGTAATATCATCAAGCAGTATTTATCAATATATTGTGAGCAAAATCATAAAATTTTGAGTTTTATTTGAATTATTAAGCTAAAATAAATACTTTAAAACAATTTAATAGCAAAAAATGTTGTTTTAAAAGCTTGCTCGATAGATAATATTTTTATTTTAAAATTGTATTAAGGAAAGATTAATTAATTAAGTTAAATATAAAATTTAAATAGTTTGATGAATACGAATTAAAAGAGAAATACTGGTAGGAATACTATGATAGAAAGGTAAATGAAAGCAAGTTGTTGAGTGAGAGAGTCGAAGATTACAGAAATATTGAAGAGGAAATTATTAAGCTAAATGAAGAGCATCAAAGACAACTAGATGAGAAAGATGAAGAAATAAGAGAGCTGACAAATGAGTTACACTAAAGCTAATAATAAACATAGCTTTATAGATAATAGTTAGAAGACCTTCAAACTGATTTTAACAATTTTAAGAATAGAAAAGAAGCAGAATTAAGACAATATGAAAACACGTTAGAAAGTGAGTAAAATAGGTACAACACCAGACTTTAAGCTTAAGAAATCAGCAACTCTCCAGCATTTAAGCTTAACGAATTCAATCAACAAAGAATTGCTAAAATAGAAAGCGAACTTAGTTAACTCACACTCAATTATAACTTAGCTACAGGTTAACTCAATGAAGAAAAGAAACAAAAAAAGCTTCTGAGTGAGAAAGTAAATCAACTTAAATTAGAAAACGATAGGCTCTTAGATGAAATATAAGGTTTGAAAGAAGCTGAAAGTAGTAATTATTCTAATCTCTGTTCTAAATACGAACTAGCAATGAGGCAATTAGAGTATGCAGAAAGTAATATTTAATATAATTTCAATGAACTCATAATTTACATTTATTTTTTATTTTAGTTTTCCTTATTAAATTTACATTTATTTCTTTTATTTTTATTTATAATTTCAAGGCTTTTACTTTTTATGCCTGTTTATTTCATTGTCATTTATTTTATTTATTTAAATTTTTGAATAAATATTCTATTTTAAGTTTAAGTTTATTGAGTAAAATTTGTTAAAATATTTAAAAGAACAACGCAAATAATTAGAGGAGGAATTGTAGATTAAATCTGATAACAAGGATGTTAAATTAGGAGGAAATTCATTAGATAATGAAGATTTAGTATAGTAAATAAGAGTTTTGAAGTTAAAGAATGAGCAATTGGAAAAGAGAGAAATGAAAATTGTTGAAGAAAAGACTAGATTAGAATTACTTTACAATGATTTATTGCAAGAATATAACTAAATGAAAACAGAGTTCAGTGTATATAAATCACACCACAAATATCCTGGAGAAGGTTAGACAAGTAGCATGGGATTAAGCAATAATAATAATAATAATAGAATGAACTATAATTACACTTCTACTGATTCTTTTAACAACAATAATAACAATAATAATAGTATTAGTGATTAATAAGATGGAATTATTAATTTATATAAATAGTAAACAGAAAGCCTTAAGAAATAAATCTAAGATTTAGAAATAGCCATTCAAAGGTCTGAAGAGAAGGAGAAGGAAAATAAGAAAAAAATGGTTATTTTAGAAAAAGAGAAAGAAAATCTTTAGCAAAATGCAAAATACATGACTAACTTAATTGATGACTTAGAGTTTAAAGCCAAAGAAGTTGAAGACAGGTACAGAACAGATGTGATCGACTTGTAATAGAAAAATTTAGAACTTCAAGGCAGAGTTTATGCTCTCGAAAAGGAAAACAATACTCAAAGAGATGAAATTCAAAACAGCGAATATCTCAAAGAAAAAATTGAAATCATTTCTAAAGTTAACCAAAAATTTGAACTCGTAAAATACTTTTTCTAAATATTTTATTTTTTTAACAATTGAATTTTCGCTTAAAATAATATTTTTGTAAAGAACAAAAAATAATTTTTTATCTTGAAAATAATAGGACATTAAGCAATTAAAGTTAAAAAATTAAGAAGAAATGCAACAAATGAAATAAGATTTAGAAAATTATGAATCTTTGAAGTTATCCTTTGAAAGGAGAATAGAGGAATATGAGCATGATAATAAGATTTTGCAAAAAACTAACGAAGACAAGGATAACATAATTAAGAAGCTGAGTGATGAGAATGAAGATTTAGACCACCGTTGCTAATTACTTATGTCTGAGAATTCAAAGATTAACGAGCTTAACAGAAAGTATGGCATTGAAATAGAGAGAGTCATAGCATAGCTCAATGCTTCAAAGGAGTAGACAGACTGGGCCGAAGGAAAATTCAAGGTTAAATTAGTCATTCATTATAAAATTGTTAAAATAATTAATTTACTTAAATTAGGAAATATTAAAAGAAAAAGAATAATTGTAGAAAGAATTGAATATACTTGAGATTCAAACCAAGCACACTGATGTTATAGATGCATAGGTGATTGAAGAGCTAAATGAACTAAGAGAGTAAATGAGAAGATTCAGTTTTGAGAAAGAAAGAATTTATTATCAACTTAAAATTGAAGAAGAAGTAATTTTATTTTTATTGTAAATTTCACCTACTGACACATTCAATTATTTTCATTTTAAAGAATGATCTCACCTCAGTTTCTTAGAAAACAGACATGATTAGATTTATGAAGCAAATAGAACTCAAGTTTAAGACCATCTAAAATGACACTTCAATCGAAATCAGCCAACTTAAAAATGAACTTAATAATACAAAAAGAGAGCTTGAAATACAAATTTAATAATATGCTGTAAGTTTGTTTTATTGCTTTTTTATTTTGTTATTGATTTATTTATTTTATTTTATTATTTATTTATTTATCTATTTTAGGATTTGAAGATCATTGTAGACAAAAAAGAATAAGATTATTTGAAAATTGCTGAAGAAAAGAGAATTTAAAATAATGATTTGACGAAACAAAGGGAATAATATGCAGATATTTAGAGATAAGTTGAATAACTGAATGCTTAAAAATAATTGGAAGATAAGTAAAAATTAGATTTGATAGCATAGCTATAATAGGAAATACAGAAATAAGAAGAAGCTGTTAATGTGATGAGAGAAGTAATTTATTAATTTTTGTATTAAGTTATTTATTATATTGTGTTAAAAGGAAATGATGAATTAGAATAAAGTGTTTAAAGAAGTAAAAAATTCATAAGAAAGTGCTATGCAGAATATGAAATAGAAGTTTGTTGGTGATCTGAATGAGATTTACTAGAAATTCAACACTTATATGAACTAAGCATAATCTGAGTCATCTAAAAAGACAGGAACCACAAACATAAGAGACGATAAAAAGTATATTTAGAGACTCTTTGAAACATATGCTGAAAATGTTAATGTTGTTTCTCATAAAGAGGCTCTTATTAAGAAGCTTTAAGATAAGGAAAAGAAAATGTAGGAAAAAGAAAAGACATTGCTTAAAGAAATAGAGAGATTAAATGAAATTAATAAGAAATATTCTGAAGACTTCTAGTAAATGCAGAAAAAAGGATACACTCTTTCTATTGGATCTAAGAGACAAATTGTTCCTGGATCAAAATCAGCTGTGAACACTTTCAACGTTCTAAATGAAACAAATATTTCTAAAAATCCTAACAAGACAAATAATTAAAATAACAACTACTCATAAAATGATATTTCTGTGTCTTTCATCAATCAAAATGATGAGTCTACCACCAAAAATACTCTCAAATTAAAGGACATAGCAACATTAGAAGCCTAACTTTTCACCACAAAAACAAACTTAGAATAGTCCAAAGAAGAAGTAGCATTTTTGAAAGACTACACTAAAGATTTGAAAGAAGATCTTGAAAAGTAAATCATTTTAAATTTATTTTACTCAAATTTTTAAAAATTGTTTATCTTCATTTTTCAGAGATAAAATAGATTTATATGAAATAATAAAAAACCATATTTTTCTGTTAAATTTCTAAAAGCCAAAAAATATTTCAAGATTTAAAGAATTATTATTAAAGCTTTTATTAAGTGACTTGCATTGATTAAATTAAAAATTTAAATTGAGATTGAATATGGAAAAAATCAAATTTTATTTTAAGTTTTATTTTAATGAATAAATTTATTTTTATAGATTGTAGAAGAAAGAAGAAGAGCTCTTGGAAGAAAATAGATCATTGCAAATTAAACTTAGTGATCAAATAAGATAGAACAAGTCTGATAAAGAGAAGTATTTAGCTGATATTGAACTAGTCAAGACATAATACTTTACACCTGAGAATTATTAAGAAAAAGTCTAATAATTAGAGTTGAAGGATAAATAAATTAAAGAATTGAAGGATGAAATCAATAGGAAGAAAGACTTGGTCCAAAGCGTTAAGTAATTAAAGGAAGAGCAGTCTTATGATATGAAGACACTCTAGGTGGAAATAGAGAGATTGTAAAAAGAACTAGAGAAATATAAAATTAGAGCAAAGTAAGATATTCATTCACTTTTGTTTTGAATATTTTTTTAAGTTTATTAATTATTTATTTTTGATTTAAATTATATTTATTTTGTTAATATTTGCAGTAAGGCTACTTAGTAGATGAGCGGACCTACAAAGGAAATGAAAAGCTAAGTTGAAAGCTTAAAAGAAGTTGAGAAAAAACTGACTAAAGAAAATGAAGAGCTTCTTGATCAGTAGAAAAAATTGAAGGCTGAGTTGACTAGAGCCAATGCAACAATTAAAGAACTCAGAAATAAAACTGAGTAGCAGCAATTAAATAGTGAGTAACTAAATGAAAACAATGAACAGTTAGAAAAATCAAAAGAATAATTAAAAAAATTAAAGAGCGAAGTTGACAGAAAAGATACTTCAATTAAATCACTCAAAAATAAATTAGAAAGCGCTACAGCAGAGCTAGAAGAGCTAAAAGGAAATTCAAAGAATTTTGTAACTAAAAATGACTATTTATCTGAATAAAAGAAATCTGACTAAGCCAAGGCTCAATTAAAGAAATCAGAAGCCTAAATTAGCATGCTTGTCTTTTTACTTAAAAGAATATTTAGAGATAACTTTGTTAATCTCCAAAAAGCAAAGGCTTCTTCTAGACCTTTAACAAGCTCAGATTTTGCAACTCAACCAACAAGATCGTAACAGCCCGCTGCCTTTAATAAATTTTCTGAATCAGTTAATATTCTTGGTCTTTCTCCAGAAGAAATAGATTAATTCTTAGATCCATACTAATCAAGCTATAAAAATGTGCAGTCTTCTTAGCATAACTATAATATATCTCATGCAACTGAATTCTATTCAGATTTAATGGACAGATTTGAGAGAGAGCTAGAAAATATAGATGAAAATATAAATGTTAATTCCTTATATTAAATGCTGTATTCAGTAATAGAAGAAAGAGTTGAACTAGTCAAAAGCTATAAAGTATGATTAATATAGCCAAACAAACAAACAAACAAAAAAACAAATAATTAATTAATTGATTGATTATTTGATATAATAAATATTAACCATATAAGAATTTAAATAAAAAAGTAAATTAGATAAAATTAAAGGTTTAAATTAGTAAGAATAACAAATAAATTATCTAAATTAACTTATAGAATCAAACAAAACTAGCTAATTAATTCATGTTTTAAAATTGAATTATTATTTTTATTATTAATAAAACTATAAATTAATTAATGTAAAATATTTTTAAATAATTTATAAATAATGTGTATAATTTTATTTTATAAATTTATTAAAAATTAGTTTTTTTCATATTTTATAACATTTTAAATATAAATTTCTTTTTTTTTAATTTTTTTTTTTGTTTAAGAAACTATGAATATTTAAATGTTTTAAAAAATTTAATTCTCGCGCAATTCACCTATTTTTTCAATTAAGATTCTACTTTATCAGAATTTACAAATATAATTTTATAAATGAATTATTGCTGGAAATTAATACTTATGATTTGTTAATTTAAATTTCTAAACAAAATTGCCACAAAATCTAATCTAATTTTTTAGTAGATAGATAGATAAACAAACAAAATGAATAATTATACATATCAAATTTATTTTTACAAGCTTTAGAATGGGCGTAGTTTTGGATTTGATCTTCGTTCATTAGATTTAAATGACAAAATAGTAGCCTTTAATAGTTTCTTTAGTGATGCTTTTAGTGATACTGAAGAATAATTTGAAGTAGAAGTTATTTTAGGTTCTGGAATGGGATAATTACTAGATAAATTTACTTTTTTAGATGGTTTTTACGATAGGATTAGGTATAATCTCTTGTTTGTTATGAATTACGTTAACAATTCCTTTGGGTTATAAATGATTTCAGTTTTCACATTCATAAATCTTGATTGCTTGCTAAATGTAGAAGACATTTTATTTCAACTTATCAGAGACTAATAGTAATTGAAAGAATTAAGTATTAGCTCAAGAAAAGAATTATCAAGTCTTTTATTTAACACATTACTTGAATCAATAAGTTTCAACAGGGAAACATTAGAAAAATTAAATTTAGTATTTAGTGTAAAAGATGAACTAACAGAGATTTAAATTCCTAGTCAATTATCTTCTATTAAACATTTATCTCTTTCCAATTTATCTTCAAAGGTTTAATTGAATGTTTTTAAAATTGCAAAAAGCATAGAAGAGATAGAAATTTCTAATAGGTATAATTCTCGTTTATCAATTGAGACAATAGTTGATGGATTGCATATAACAAAAAATTCTTTATAACAATTACATCTAGCAATAGAAATAAATAACCATTTGTTGAGCAAAAATAGCTTAAAACAAATTGAAAAATTACACAATTTGAGAAGCTTATATTTATAAACAGTTAATATAAAAAACTAAAATTTAGATATTCAGAAGCTAAAGAAATTAGAAAAGTTAAGTCTAATTTTCTCTGATGCAATCGATTACTTATCAAATCATTCTAATTTTAATCAAATCTAAGAATTATAAATAGTTGTAGGAATGTGTGATGCAAGCAAATTAAAAGTTAATAATTTAAAGAATTTGAGAAATTTACATATATAAGTCAAGCAAATTTCTTAAAAGGAAACAAAAAATACAATAAGTTGCATAGAAAAATTTTGTTAAATAGCTCATTAATTGGATGAGTTAAAATTAAATTTTAGTGAATCAAGTTTCTTCAAGCAAAGTATTATGAATTAATCATTAATAGAATCAATTGGATTAATATTTGAAAAGTGTAATGAAGATACTAAAGTGAGTTTTATTAATAGAAACTGTTAATTTAATACAGCAAAAAGATTTGAATTAGCTAAAGCGTTTATGAAAATCAAAAATTATAAAGATTTTACTCTTAATAATGTATGCATTTATGAAGAATTACAGCATGAAAATGAAATTTCTTGTGATATTTTATAGAATAAATTTCCTTACTATTTGTTTATTTCTACATTATGCCAAAATTAAAGTAATAAAGTAGTAAATTTTGATTCTAATTATATAAAAGATAATTACCCTGTCCTTAAAAATCAGAAATCTTTTTTTTCAAAATTTAAAAAATTTTCTTTTTCGTCAATGCTTTATTATTCAAGGGATTTAGAAGAAATATCTGAATAGTTTATGAAAATACTTCCTGAATAAGTAACTTTTATCAAATTATCTTAAAATTTTCATTCAGAGTGCTTAATAAAGAATTCAAAGTATTTGAAATACTTATAAAAAGTTTAATTTTAAAAAATTTAAATGGAAAGGTATAGTTTAGATGCTGAAATAAGTTAGTTAAAATAAGCTTTCAATCAAAATTTACAATTAAAATTTACTAACATCTATACAAATTATTCTTATAACAAAGATCAATATCAAAAATTATTTAATATTGAGGGTTATGTGATTGAAATTAAAATATATTCTAGTTTTGATTAAAAAGATATAGCTGAACTTTTTGATATAATTTTAAATAAAAAGAATATCATATACTTAAATCTTGAATATAATTATGATTATCGAATTTCATTTGATGAATTCCTAGAGAGAAAGCAATCTATTGAATAGTAGACACATTTAATTACAAATTACTCCAATAATGTGTTAATTTAAGTTCTAACTATCAGTGCATTTAATAACCATTTTATTGAATTTATAAGCTTAAATCCAAAATTAATTTATTTAGATTTATATTTTTGATTGATTTGCAATTTTTAAATCTATTTATTACTGATTTTTCATGTTTATTTTTATTTTTTGCCTTTCTAAATATAAATTAATAAATTTAAAATTAACACTTTTAATTTAATTTTTTTTTATTAATTCATTTGGAAGAATTTCTTAATTTTAAAAATTTGCTTTTTTTTAATAAATTTATGCAACCATAAAAATTTTTTTACAATGAAGATAGATTTTAAATAAGATGAGAACTGAGAAAAAATTTTTAAATATTCTAAGCTTTAATAATCTTAATTAAAAATATCATCAATTAATTATAATTTATGTGGTATATTTTAAATAAACTACTATGATAATAAATAAATAATGTTGTATAAATTACAAATAAAATATAAGGATAAAGATTAATTATAAATTAAAATATTGAGTATAAGTAGGGTGTAGAATTATCTTAATAAGATCTAAATTTTACATAAATTTAAAATAAATGAAAAAATTTTAATTTGAAAGCATTATTAATTAAAATATATCTTTGATAATCTAATAAATAATTCATTCATTCAATACATTTATTAAATTATAAATTCATTCAAAAGGATATTCACAAAATATTTTGAAAATTAATGAATAAAATTGAAAAAGTTAGTTAGTCTGCCTTCCAATAATTATTGGAAGGTTAGATGAAACTTTTTCTAAGCGACCTAAAAAAGCTCACCAATACATTTTCTTGAACCAGATTTTAATTAATAAAATGTAAGTTATCTGACTTAATTTAATCAAAAAATTAATTAATTAATTCTGATAATTTACTCCATTAATAGTAATAACATCTAAAAAATATTCAAAATAGTGAAAATGAAGTAATAATTTAAATTTTATTATCTAAAATGGTAAATATTTCGAATATAAAATAAAATTTAATATATAGAATGAAAAGGATTTTCACAAAGTATTTTACAAATTAATGAAAAAAATTAAAAAAGTTAGTTAGTCAGCCTTCAAAGAATTGGAAGGCTAGAGGAAACTTTTTCTAAGTGATCTAAAAAGCGCATCAATACATGTTCTTGTATCTAATTTTAATTAACAAAATGTAAGTTATCTGACTTAATTTAATCAAAAAATTAATTAATTAATTCTGATAATTTGCTCTATTAATTGTAATAAATGTTTCATCTAAAAAATATTTGAATATAGTGAAAACAAAGTAATAATTTAAATATAATTATCTCAAATAGTTAATATTTCGAATATAAAATAAAATTTAGTATATAGAATGGAAAGGATTTTCATAAATTACTTTACAAATTGAACTTTATGATCTAATCATTTAAATATAACCATTAAAATATTTAGCTCAAATGTTCTAATTTATGAAATAATTTGTAAATTGCTTATCTCAATTCTTTAGAAAAGTAAGTAACTTAGCTTAATCAAAATTCTGCTAGAACAAAGTATATCTCACTTTTTTCCCTTTATCTTTAAATTAATTAAATTGATCTGAAGGAATGAGTGTTTAACTTCTTTAATTAAATCAACAAAATTTTTAATATGCAAAAATTAACTAAAAAACTTCTAATTTTGAAAAGCGCTAGTTTAACAATAATAAAGCAAACTTTTGATTAATGAATACTTAATAAAATTGTATTTTTTTCAATCATTTGTTTTTATTAAAAATTTAACAAGTATAAATTTACTAAGGAAGATAAAACATTCTTGTATGTTTTCATTAGTCAAATAAAATAAAATAAATTCATTTTTAATTTATTATTAAAGAAATATTAGTTTATTTATTAATTAAAATATTTTGACTTTAAATATTATGAAAATAATTTTAAATGAGTTATCAAATTTATTATATGCAAAAATTATAAAAATATTCTTGTAATCAATAACCTTTAATTTTTGATTGCATAGAATATCAATAAATAAATTAACCTTTTCAAACATTATAAACTTCTAGTGTTAATAGCATAGTTTCTTAGTAAAACTTTTCAAAATTAAAAATGGTTCTAGGAGTTCAAGGGTAATAATAGCCTTAAATAATTATTTTTACTTAAATATGAATAATATAGAGTAAAATACCATTTCGATATACAATAAATGAAATTTAATGTTTTGATTTAAATAAACATTTTTTAAATACCACTCAAAAATGTCCTTAATTAACAAGAAAGAATCTACGGTAAATAAGATTGATAATCAAAAGTCAAAATACAGAGTAAAGTAATTTCTAAAATTGTTTGTTATCTATATAACAAGTGTAAAAGAATATTCACCCAAATGAAAACAATATCTGGGAAATAATTATTTGAAAATTCTTAATTATTTTTGAAAATGAATTATTAATTGTTATGAAATTAATAAAAAATTAAGCATTAAAAGCATTTGCTATCAGTGCAGCTATTTTTAATTTCAAATTTTATTAATTGATTATTTTTAAATAATTGGCTAAGTTAGGTTAGTTAATTTTTTATTATTAATGATTTTTCATTATTTATTGAATTTCCAGCATTTGAAAGTAAATTTGAATATTGAAACATTAATTATAGCTTACCAAAACATATTTAATCTTCCAAATTTTAATTGAAAAATTAAAAAACATTTATTATACTTTTTATTATGAATTTTATTTTTTAAAAATTAATTAGACAATTAATTAAAAATCAATCACATCAAATACATATTTTACAAATAAATTTAATAAAATTAATTAGTTAAATATTTTATAAAATATTTTATTTGCTTTAAATAAAGCTTTTATTTTTTTTTCATCAGAAAGCCAGTATAACAGCAATAAAAGCTAAAGCTAATTAGATAACCTTGCCAGAAGAAGGATTTGTGTTAACTTTAGATTCTTTATCCTTATTTTAAGTCTTCTTAGCTTCTTCAGCGTTCTTAGCTTCTTCAGCGTTCTTAGCTTCTTCAGCGTTCTTAGCTTCTTCAGCATTCTTAGCTTCTTCAGCGTTCTTAGCTTCTTCATCCTTCTTAGCTTCTTCATCCTTCTTAGCTTCTTCATCCTTCTTAGCTTCTTCATCCTTCTTAGCTTCTTCATCCTTCTTAGCTTCTTCATCCTTCTTAGCTTCTTCATCCTTCTTAGCTTCTTCAGCCTTCTTAGCTTCTTCAGCCTTCTTAGCTTCTTCATCCTTCTTAGCTTCTTCATCCTTCTTAGCTTCTTCATCCTTCTTAGCTTCTTCATCCTTCTTAGCTTCTTCATCCTTCTTAGCTTCTTCATCCTTCTTAGCTTCTTCTTCTTCATCAGTATACTATTCTATTTTTTATTAGGCAGTCTACTCAATTTAATTAATATTTTATATCATATCTTTAGAAACATATTTGGCTTAATAAGAGAGCATGCGAATTTCAGAAGAAGTCTCTGTATTGACTTCAATTGTTTATTTAAGAGTTTAGATACTCTTATTAGCATTTTCAATTTTATCATTTAATGTTTTTTTATCATCATCATTATCTGCTTTTAATAAAGCTTCCTCATAATTTTTAACTTCTTACTCAAAATTTTAAAGATCATTTTCTTAATTTTCAAGTGTTTTTTAAAAGTCTTCATGAGCCTTTAGTATAGCAGCTGCAGTTTCTAAAGTTTAATTTTTAGCATCTTTAATCTTTTAAAGAACTTCAAGAGCTTACTATAAATTCTTAGCATTTTTAGCAGCTGATCTCAACTCTATAATAGTTAATTAGGTAGATAGAAGATCTTCGTAAGCTTTTTCAGATTTTTATTTTTCTTCTTGAGCAAAAGTTGTTGTTAAGAGAAGGGCTGAAATTAAAAGAACAAACAATTTCTTATTCATTTTTATTAGATTAGTTTAATTTTTTTTTTATTTATTAATTTAATTATAATATTTTAGAGTTTTAAAAATGACTTTTTGAAATAAATAAGGAGTATAATTAACTATTGAATGTAATTGTGATATGAATAGTACCAAATAAACAAACAAACAATTAATTTTAATTTTATTACTTGATAATAAGTTCTTTGTTAATCAAACATAATTAATTATTTGATTGATGGAAAATAAATAGAAAAATATATCACTAAAATAGATAGAACGAATAAAAATTTTTAATTAATTTAAGATTGAAGTATAATGAATGATTATTAAAAGTTAATTTAGATATTTTTATACTAAAAACAATCATGAAATCTATTATTTTTACTCTATTATTAATATTTCATTAATGATTTGACTAATAAACATCGAAAATAACTTAATTATTGTTTAAAAAACCATTAAATATAATAGCAAATCGATCTTGTTTTTATTTTTTTGTTGATTTAAATAAATATGTGTTGGATTTTATTAGATTAAAAGTATAAATTGATAAAACTAACTAATAAATTTAAATTACTTTCTTTTTTTAAAGTAATAGTAAAGTATTTTAAGTAACTACTTTAATTTAATCTAATTAATTAGAAAGATTAGGCTGCATAAATTAAGTTTTAAGAATCTTTTAACCATTAAAATTGAATAAACACCTTCTTATCTAATTTTTCAGTATAATTAATTCATCATTTAACTTAAAACAAAAATAAAATTAGTTATTTATTTATAATATTCTCATTTAGTATAATAATCTTAAGTTTGTTATCTAATTTATATGAATTGTAAAATGAATATGTAAATTATTAATAAGAAAAATTATAATGGAGGTATTTTGTGATCACTTTAAAAAATTTTTTCTTAATTATGAATAATTGTCGACCAAACTCTATCTTTGATCAAATATTTTTGCTCACCCACACCCCTAGTACTTAAATTTAATTAGCAAAATTTTTGTTATCTCACTTAATATTGCTAAAAATTAATTATTTCTGATAATTTACTAGATCAAAATTAATCAATATTTCATTTAAAAATATTTAAAATGGTGAAAATGAATGAATGAAAAGCGTAATTTATTTATTTATGATTATCTCAAACAGATGATGTGTTTATTATTTCTAATATAAAATAAAAGTAAATATGTAGCGAGAAAAGAATATTCACAAAATACCTTACAAATTGAAAAAGACAATCCAATCATTTAACTGTGCCCACTAAAATAATTATCTCTTAAAAAATATAAAAAATGTTCTAGTTTATGAAATAAATTGTAAATTAACTTTATTAATTCTTTAGAAAAGTAGCTTACTTAGCTTAATCAAAATATTGCTAGAACAAAATATCTCTCACTTATTTTCCTTTATTTTTAAATTAATTAATTAATTTGATCTTAAGGACTTTTTATCTTCTTTAATTTAACTAACAAAATTATTAATTTGCAAAAGAAAAGTAACATAAAAAACTTATAATTTTGAAAAATGCTTATTTATAAATAATAATGTAAAATTTTGATCAATCAAAATTTAATAAAAATAGATTTTTTTCAATTTTTATTTGGTCAATAAAATATTTTGACTTTAAATATGAAAATAATTTTAAATAAGTTATAAAATTTATTTTATGCAAATATTATAAAAATATTCTTGTTATTAATAACATTTCATTTTTATTTTGAATAATTAAATGTAATATTTTCTGCAATCACTAAATAAATTAACTATTTCGAGCATTTTAAACGAACTTCTAGTATTGCTATTAATAAAGATTCTTTATAAAATTAATTTTTTTTTCAAAATTAAAAATGGTTCTAGGATAGTTCAAGGAAGGGCAGTAATAACACTAAATAACTTTTTTACTTAAATATGAATAAAAAAATTTTTTTTTGATTACAACTAAAAATAAATATATAAAGAGTACGTACATAGAACCTTTCATCTAAATGGCGAATAAACTTATAATTACACACCTAAAAAAAATGAGCTAATTTTATTATAATATATTTTAATTAATTTATTAGCTTACTTAGTTTGATGATTATCATTTACTAAATATAAAAAGCTGTAGGTCCTACTTAATTAATGGTGATTTATATTATTACCTAACATTTTAAAAAATACCTAAATTTTTGGGATTTTTTTTATAACCAATTCGTTTTCCTTAATGAGGTTTTACTGTATGTCATCTCACCTTTAGCAAACTTTACAGTAATAAAAAAATATTCTTCTAAAATTAGAAGATATTAATTTTATTATTTAAAATAAAAGAGTTAAAAAATTAACATAAAATATTGAAAACTTAAAGTGTTAAAATATATTTAAACAATTTTTTTTAACTATAATTAATTAACAAACACTAAATTAAAATATTTTTTTCTAAACTTTTTATTTTATTTAAATTATAAATTTCTTTTTTTTATGTTTAAGAAATGATGAATATTTATAAATGTATCATATAATTTAACTCTCGCACAACTCACCTATTTTTTCAATTATAATTCAAATTTATCAGAATTTAGAAATACAATTTTATAAAAGAATTATTGCTGGAGTGTTAATACTTCTAAATGGTTTATGCTTTGTTTACATAAATTTCTAAACAAAATTGCAACAAAAACAAATCTAAAATTTTTTGTAAAGAAACTAAGAAAATGAATAATTATACATATCAAATTTATTTTTACAAGCTTTAGGATGGGCATAATTTTGCATTTGATCTTCGTGCATTAGATTTAAATGACAAAATAGCAGACTTTAATCATTTCTTTAGCAATACTGAAGAATAATTTGAAGTAGAAGTTATTTTAGGTTCTGGAATTGGATAATTAGTAGATAAATCTACTTTTTTAGATGATTCTTACGATAGGATTAGGTATAATCTCTCATTTGTTATGAATTACGTTAAGAATTCCTTTGGGTTATAAATGGTTTCAGTTTTCAAGTTCTAAAATCTGGATTGCTTGCTAAATATAGAAGACATTTTATTTCAACTTATCAGAGACTAATAGTAATTGAAAGAATTAAGTATTAGCTCAAGAAAAGAATTATCTAGTCTTTTATTTAACTCATTACTTGAATCAATAAGTTTCAACAGGGAAACATTAGAAAAACTAAATTTAGTATTTAGTGTGAAAGATGATCTAACAGAGATTTAAATTCCTAGTCAATTATCTTCTATCAAGCATTTATCTCTTTCCAATTTATCTTCAAAGGTTTAATCGAATGTTTTTAAAATTGCAAAAAGCATTGAAGAAATAGATATTTCTAATAGCTATAGTTCTCGTTTATCAACTGAGACAATAGTTGATGGATTACATGTAACAAAAAATTCTTTACAAAAATTGCATCTTGCTTTAGAAATAAATAACCATTTGTCGAGCAAAAACTGTTTAAAACAAATTGAAAAATTGCAGAATTTGAGAAGCTTATTCATACAAACAGTTAATCTAAAAAACGAAAATTTAGATATTCAGAAGCTAAAGAAATTAGAAAAGTTAAGTCTAATTTTCTCTGATGCAATCGATTACTTATCAAATCATTCTAATCTTAATCAAATCTAAGAATTAGAAATAGTTGTAGGAATGTGTGATGCAAGCAAATTAAAAGTTAATAATTTAAAGAATTTGAGAAATTTACATATATAAGTCAAACAAGCATTTTAAAAGGAAACAAAAAATACAATAAGCTGCTTAGAAAAATTTTGTTAAATAGCTCATTAATTGGATGAGTTTAAATTAAATTTTAGTGAATCAAGTTTCTTCAAGGTAAGCATAATGAACTAATCATTAATAGAATCAATTGGATAAATATTTGAAAAGTGTAATGAAGAGACTATATTGAAATTTATTAATAGAAACTGTTAATTTAATACAGCAAAAAGATTTGAATTAGCTTAAGCGTTTATGAAAATTAAAAACTATCAAGATTTTACTCTTAATAATTTATGCCTTTATGAAGAATTACAGCATGAAAATGTAATTTCGTGTGATATTTTATAGAATAAATTTCCTTACTATTTATCTATTTCTTCTTTATGTAAAAATTAAAGAAATAAAGTAGTAAATTTTGATTCTAATTATATAAAAGATAATTACTCTGTCCTTAAAAATCTGAAATCTTTTTTTTCAAAATTTAAAAAATTTTCTTTTTCATCAACACTTCATGAAACGGAATTAGAAGAAATATCTGAATAATTTATGAAAATCCTTCCTGAAGAAGTAACTTTTATCAAATTATCTTAATATTTTCCTTTAGAGTGCTTAATAAAGAATTCAAAGTATTTAAAGTAATTATAAAAAATAGAATTTTAGAAAACTTAAATAAATAGGTATAGTTTAGATACTGAAATGAGTTAGTTAAAATAAGTATTCCATCAAAATTTACAATTAAAATTTACTAACATCTATACAAATTATTAATATAACAAAGAACAATATCAAAAATTATTTAATGTTGAAGACTATGTGATTGAAATTAAAATATATTTTAATTTTCACTAAAAAGATATCTCTGAACTATTTGATCTGATTTTAAGTAAAAAGAATATCATATACTTAAATCTTGAATATAAATATGATTACCATATTTCATATGATGATTTCCTAGAGGGAAAGCAATCTATGGAATAATATACGCATTTAATTACAAATTACTCAAATAATGTGTTAATTTAAGTTCTTACTATCAGTGCGTTTAATAACCATATTATTGAATTTATAAGCTTAAATCCAAAATTACTATATTTAGATTTATATTATTGATGAATAAGTAAGCTAATTATATTAATTTGCAATTTATAAATCTTTTTATTACTGACTTTTCATGTTTATTTTTGTATTTAACCTTTACAATAAAATATCGATTAATAATTTAAAAATTAAGACTTTTAATATAATTTTTCTTTCATTATTTAGAAGAATTTTTTTATTTTAAAATTTAAATTTTTTAATAATATCTAATATAAATGAAGTAAAAATTTAAACTTAAAATAAAATATTGAAAAATTATAGTATTAAATATATTTAAACAACTTATTTTAACTGCTCATTAACATTAAACTTTTACACATTTTTAAAATATAAATTGCTGTTTTTTAATTTTTTATTATGCTTAAAAAACGATGATTATTTAAATGTATCATAAAATTTAATCCGCGGGCTTATTTTTTCAATTGAAATTCGAATTTATCAGAACTTAAAAATACAATTTTATAAAAGAATTATATTTGATACTTCTATAAGGTTTGGTTTTACTTAAATATCTAAACAAATTTGCATCAAAAACTAATCTAAAGATTTGTTGTAAATAGATAGATAAACTTAGAAAATGAATAACTATAGATATTAAATTTATTTTTACACATAATAGAAAAAGTTTGGTTTTGTATTTGATCTTCGTGCATTAGATTTAAATGACAAAATAACAGCCTTTAATCATTTCTTTAGCAATACTGAAGAATAATTTGAAGTAGAAGTTACTTTAGGTTCTGGAGTTGGATAATTAGTAGATAAATCCACACTATTAGATGATTCTTACGATAGGATTAGATAAAATCTGATGTTTGTTATGAATTACGTTAAGGATTCCTTTGGGCTATAGAGGATTTCAGTTTTTACATTCATGAATCTTGATTGCTTGTTTAACATAGAAGACATTTTATTTTAGCTGATTAGAGACCAATAGTACTTGGAAGAATTAAGTATTAGCTCAAGAAAAGATTTATCTAGTGTTTTATTTAACTAACTACTTGAATCAATATGTTTCAACAGGGAAAGGCTAGAAAAACTAAATTTAAAATTTAGCGTGAAAGATGATATAACAGAGACTCACATTCCTAATAAATTATCTTCTATTAAACATTTATCTCTATCCTATTTAACTTCAAAGGTATAATTGAATGTTTTTAAAATTGCAAAAAGTATTGAAGAAATAGAAATTTCTAATAGCTATAATTCTCGCTTATCAATTGAGGCAATAGTTGATGGATTACATGTAACAAAAAATTCTTTATAAAAATTGCATCTTGCTTTAGAAATAAATAACCATTTGTTGACCAAAAACTGTTTAAAACCAATTGAAAAATTACAGAATTTGAGAAGCTTACATATAGAAACAGTTAATCTTAAAAACTAAAATTTAGATATTCAGAAGCTTAAGAAATTAGAAAAGTTAAGTCTAATTTTCTCTGATGCAATTGATTATTTATCAAATCATTCTAATCTTAATCAAATCTAAGAATTAGAAATAGTTGTAGGAATGTGTGATGCAAGCAAATTAAAAGTTAGCAATTTAAAGAATTTGAGAAATTTACACATTGTAGTCAAATAAATTTCACAAAAAGAAACAAAAAATACAATAAGCTGCATAGAAAAGTTTTGTTAAATAGCTCATTAATTGGATGAACTAAAATTAGATTTTAGTGAATCAAGTTTCTTCAAAATAAATATAATGAACTAAATATTAATAGAATCAATTGGATTAATATTTGAAAAGTGTAATGAAGAGACTAAAGTGAGTTTTATTAATAGAAACTGTTCATTTAATACAGCAAAAAGATTTGAATTAGCTTAAGCTTTTATGAAAGTCAAAAACTATCAAGATTTTACTCTTAATGATGTATGCATTTACTAAGAATTATAACATGAAAATGAAATTTCTAGTTATGTCTTATAGAATAAATTTCCTTACTATTTATCATTATCTTCTTTATGTCAAAACCTAACAGAAAAGAAAGTAGTAGATTTTGATTGGAATTATTTAAATGAAAATTACTCTCTCCTGAAAAATCTAAAATCTTTTTTTTCAAAATTTAAAAAATTTTCTATTTCATAAATGCCATATTATAGATATGTAGATAAAACATCGGAAAATTTTATATAAATCCTTCCTGAAGAAGTAACTTTTATCAAACTATCTAAACAATTCTCTTTAAAGCGCTTAATAAAGAATTCAAAGAATTTCAAGTAATTAAAACAAATATAATTTGAAGAAACTGAAATAGATAGGTATGATACTTAAATCAGTTCGCTAAAAGAAGCTTTCAATCAAAATTTGTATTTAAAATTTACTCATATATTTACACATTATTCATACGAAAATTAATATTAAAAATTATTTGAACTTTAAAATTACATCATTGAAATCAAAATAAATTCTAGTTTTAGTTAAAAAGATATCACTGAACTTTTTGATCTGATTTTAAATTAAAAGAATATTATATACTTAAATCTTGAACACGCTTATGATTATCAAATTTCCTATGATGATTTCCTAGAGGGAAAACAATCTATAGATAAATATACACATTTAATAACAAATTACTCAAATAATGTGCAAATTTAAGTTTTAACTATCAGTGCATTTAATAACCATTTTATTGAATTTATTAACTTAAATCCAAAATTGCTCTATTTAGATTTATATTATTGATTGATAAGTTAGTTAATTATTTTAATTTGCAATTTTTAAATCTATTTATTACTTATTTTTCATGTTTGTTTTTATTTTTGATCTTCACTTTTACATATAAATTAATAAATTAAAATTAAAATTGAATTTAATTTTTCTTTTACAATTTATTTGGAAGAATGCTATTTATTAAAAACATTTGCATTTTTAATAAAGCAGATATAAAATAAGGTCAATTTATTTAAACAATAAGATTAAGAAAATCAATAAAATCGTTTCTACTAAGATATATCAAATTTAAAGAATTAAAATAATTTTTTAAAATGAGAAGAAGGGCATTAGAACTAAAACACATAAAAAATAGATATACTTTAACTTCTCATTAATTAAGGGAACCTTTCCCAGTTTATTTTGTAGGGCTTATTTATGTCTTAAACTTTATTAATTTGCTTATTTATTAGCTTTTTATTAGATTTATTATTTTCTTTTATTCTGCTTGTATATAAAATATTAATTTTGATATCAACATTTTATTCTTTTAATTTTGATTAGAAATTATTATTACCTTACATTAATAGTTTTAACTAAATGAATCAATCAGAATAATTGAAAGTAAAGAGTAAGTGTCTTAAATCAATAAGACTAGTTATTTTTAAAATATATTTCTAATGATAATAAATAAATGGTGTAAAAATTTTAATAAAATGTAAGAATATTTGAATAATAAATATAATATGATTTATTTTAAAATATTTTGTAATACAATAATTTAACCTAAAATATAAAATTAAAAATAAATCAAACAAAGAAAGATCTAATTGAAATATTGAAGATATTAATTAAAAAAATTAATAACTAAATAATATAATTAAATTTATGTTGTATACTATATAAATACTCTGATATACAGTAAATTAATTTAGAATATTTTTAAATTTATTCATCATTTTTCATTATCTATTTATTATCATCATCATAAATCAATATAAAATAGGACTAATTTTTTAGATTTAATAAAATTATTCTTTATTTTCCTTTCTTGTGATTCATCAAATATGTTTCCACTATTTATATATATATATATATAGATTAGTATTAATTAAAAATGGGAATTAATTAGAATGAAGATTAATTTAAAAACAATATTTTAATTTTTTTATTAAAAAATACTAAACAAAGCTAATAAATTATTTTTACTAAATAAAGAGTGTTAAAGTTATAAGATTAGTGCACTTTGATATAGCAATACCTAAGCATGATACACCTATATCACCAATTTAATTGTAACTATTTAAATTTTAAAGAAAATATAATAATTAATGAAATAATTAGTAAGTTTGTTAATTAGTTAGTTAGTTATTTAGAAGGAAAAAAATAAGAAATAATAAGAATTGAATTAATAAATAAATCAATAATCAAAACAAAAGTTGAAATTAAAAAATAAATCAATTAAATTATGAAAGGAGAAAAACACAATCGAAATAAAAAAGCAATATAAAATATATAAAAAGCTAATAAATAAATTAAAAGTATATTATTGTTTTATATTCGTTTTTGTATTAAAAAATATTAAAATCCAAAGCAACTATTTATTTTTACCCAACATCAAGTACCAAATTTGAGAGATTATTGCAGCTTATTAAGCCAGCACCTAAGTCTGATATACCTTAATCACCAATTATACCACCCCTTAAATATTAAATAAAATACAATCAATTAGATAATTAGAAGGAAAAAAAAAAATATGAATAATACCAAATGAATTAATTAATAATCAAAGTAAAAGTTGAAAATATCATAATCAAAAATAAATAAATAAACTGCTTTACCTAATATCAAGTTTAAAATTGGAGAGATTAATACAGTTTGCTAAAGCAGAACCTAAATTTGATGCTCCTTTGGTACCAATTTAATTTTTACTTTTTAAATATTCAAGAAAATATTAATTAATTAGTTAGAAGAAAACACATGAGATAATAAGAAATGAATTAATTAAAAGTTAAGGCAAAAGCTGAAGATGAAATAATCTGTTAAATTAAGTAAGAAAAAAAATAGGTTTATAGTTTTTAATTTATTTTTAAATTAAAAAACTTTAAAATCCAAAAAAAATAGCTTATTTTTACGAGAGATTAAGCATAAAATTTAAGAGATTAGTGCAATTTGCTAAACCAGTACTTAATCCTTATGTACCTTCATCGCCAATTTAATTTTCGCTTTTCAAATATTTAAGAAAAAATAAATTATTTATTAGTTAATTAGTTATTTACTTTAAAGAAAAAATTAAGAAATAATTTAATTAATTAATAATTTAAAAAAAGTTAAAAAGTAAAAAATTATATAAATTAAGAAAGAAAGATATTAACTACAGTAGTAAAAAAGTAAATAAAAACTAATAAATTAAATAAATTATTTTTTTTTTAATTAATTCTTATATTGAATAATACCATAATCTAAAATAAACAAACTAATTTTACCTAACATTGAGTATCAAATTTGAAAGTTTAGTGAGCTTTTCTAAACCATAACCTAAGCCTGATATACCTTCAACTTGAATTTAATTCTTACTTTTGAAAAAATATTTAAATAATGATTAGTTAATTGGAGCCAAAAATAAAGAAAAAATATGAAAGAGTTTTATTGCATTTTAATTAAATATTTATATTTAAATATATCAAAATCCAAAACAAATAAACTATCTATTTTTACCTAATATTGAGAGTCAAATTCGAGAGATTATTGCAATTTGCTAAACCATGACCTAAACCTGATGCACCTTTATCGCCAATTTTACCACACCTTAAAAGTTGAAGAAAACATAATTAAATAGATAGCTAGAAAATAAAAATATTTAATAATAAGAATGTGATTACTAAGATAAGCAAAAATTGAAATAATGAAAAAAGAGTTAAATTAACAAAGAAAGAAAGAAAGAAAGAAAAAATAAAAGCAGAATGAAAGAAAATTCAATAAAAAAAAAATTAATAAATAAATAAAAAAGTTTTATTGTTTTAAACTCATTTTTATATCAATAAATATCACAATCCTAAGCAATTTTTACCCAAGATCAAGTGTCAAACTTGAGAGATTAGTGCAGTTTGCTAAAGCAAAACTTAAGTTTGATACACCAGCACCAATTTAATTTTCACTTTTCAAATATATGAAGAGAAAAATATTATTAACTAAAGTTAGTTAAAGAAAAAATATGTAATAATTAAAAATCGAAATAGAGGTTAAAAATTAAAAAATGATAAAACAAAAAAGCTATAAAGTATGTTAAATGAGTTTTATTGTTTTAAATCCGTTTATTTTTATATTAAAAAACAACATAATTCAGAAAATATAAACTGTTTTTTTACAAGAGATTAATGGTCAAATTCGTGAGATTAGTGCAGTGTGCTAAACCAGAACCTAAAGCTGATATACCTTCATCACCTATGAAATTTTCACTTTTTAAATATACATTATTAAATAATTATTAAGTTGAAATGAAAAAATGAAGAAAAAAACTAAATAGAAAGAAATAAATGATTAAATAATCAAAGCAAAAGTTAAAAAATTAAAAAAGGAATTAATTTGATTAAAAATAGAACTCAACCAAACAGAATAAGAAAGCAAAATAAACCAAGTTAAAATATAATAAATTAATAAACTAAATTTATAATGAATAGAATATTTTTACTAGATTTCAAGTGTCAAATTTAAGAGATTAGTGCATTTTGCTAAAGCAAAACCTAAGCATGATGCACGTTCATCATCAATTTAATGGTAACTTTTTAAATATTGAGCAAATTATATTTAATTAAGTAGTTAGAATGAAAAAAATGATTATAGTAAGAAATTAATTACTAATCGTAGTAAAAGTTGAAATTAAAAAATAAATTGAATATTTATTTGAAAAATGTAAATAACAAGAAAAATAAAGATTAATAATAATGAATTTAATTTACTCAAGATCAATATTGATAATTGAATGAGATTAAAGCAAAGAGTTTTCAAACTTTTTTTATTAATAAAAAAAAATTAAATAATAGTAAAAATAAATAAATAATTAATTACTTCTTCTAGACTGTAGAAATATTTTTTCTATTGTATCATCTATTTTTTTTCTCAAAAATATTGAAAAACAATTTATGTAAATTTAATTAATTAATTATAAATATACCTTAGAATAAAAGTTAAGTAGAAGAAAAAATATCCTAATTTTTCAAATAAAGGCTAGGAATTTGTTTGCCTTACTAGCAATTTGCATCTAAAGAGTTAATTTTTTTATACAAAAAAATTAACCTTTAACATCTTTGACATTTAATTAATGAGGATTGATAGTATATTATTTATATATAATTTTAATTATATTTTTCTAATTCTAATTCAATAATATTAAAAAAAATTATACTTTAATTATTTTAATAGCATACCAATTAAATATATTGATTATGATATTTTACAGAATAAATTATTTCTTAATTTTGCTGAAAGCAAATAAATAAAATAATAGATTGTAATAGTAATTATATAAATGAAAACTATTCTCTATTTAAAAACCATAATTATTCTATTATTCAAAAGCTTTTTAAATTTTTTCTTTCATGAATACTTAATTATCAATAATAAGAAAGCTAAATATCTGAAAGTGTATCACTATTTCTCCTAATAAACTATCAAACCACATTAAAAACTTTCTTAAACTGATTCATTGAAATTATAAAAATTTAATTTTATTATGCTTTTATAATTTTTTTAGAAGAATTCTATTGAAAAATATTTAAATTTTTAAATAATATTTACTTAATAAAGTTTTATTATAGCTTTTTAAATAATATTAAATAAATACATTTAAATTGTAAATGTTATTAAAATTAGTAATTAAAATTTTCATATTTTATGTTAATTTTTTTAGTTATTTAATTCTTTATAAAAATAGATAATTATTTTTTCAAAATTTTTTTTTTGTAAATTTGTGGTTTTAGTTTTTTAGACATTTTTATTTGCGCCAAAAAAAAATTTCAAAACAAAAATTTAACTTTATCAGAATTAATCAAAGAATTAGATATTTCTAAGATATTCAATTTGGATATTCAATATTTTTCATAAGCTGATTTTCATTTCTCAAATTTCTATAAAGTAGTATAAACTAAAAAAAATATTAATTTAGGAAAAGCAAAAACATATTTCTAAATAAGTGAGAAAATGAATAATTTAAGTTATTAAATTTTTATATATAAGTAAAATAAAAGCGAAAGTGTTGCTATTGATCTTTAGAAAGCAGATTTTTTGGCTTTATAGAAAACATTAGGATCCTTTTTTAGAAATAAAAAAGACTTATTTGAAGTAGAAGTTAAATTAGGTTATGGAAGTGGATAGTTAGTAAATAAATCAAATTTATTAGAAAAGTTTTATGATAAGATCAGGGATAATTTAAAATCTTCAATGAATCATGTACAGAATTATTTTGGATTAGAAATGATATAAGTATTTACTTTTCAAAATTTTGATTGTTTGCTAAATGTAGACGATATTCTATTTTAGCTTATAAAAGACATGTAATATCTTAAAGAGTTGATTGTTGGCTCAAGAAAAGAACTATCCTGTCTTATATTTAGCTAACTCATTGACGCTATCAACTTTAAAAGACAAAGCTTAGAAAAGCTCGGTTTGCTGTTTGGCGTTAAAGAGGATCAGAATGATATTACAATTAATAGAAAATTAGATTACATTAAACATTTATTCTTAAGCGAGCTGACATCAGCAATCTAACTTAATGCTTTTAAATTAGCTTAAAGAATAGAAGAAGTAAAAATATTAACTAGCGTTGATTCTAGACTATAAATTGAAACAATAGTTGATCAATTGCTGATAACAAATAGCTCTCTGCAAAAATTATATCTTGATATTGACTAAAATAGGTATTATTTATAGAGCAAAAATTCTTTAATATCTATTGAAAAATTACAAAACTTAAGAACTTTATATTTAAAAGCATTAAGCCTAAAAAATGAAATTCTTGATATTCAAAAACTAAAAAAATTAGAAAAACTAAGTCTAATTTTCTCTGATGCAATTGATTATTTATCAAGCCATTCTAATCTAAATTAGCTTGTTGAATTAGAATTAGATGTTAGAGCATGTGATGTGAGTTTACTAAAAGTTAACAATTTAAAGAATTTGAGAACTTTACATTTAAATTTTAAGCAAAATTTAAAAAAGGAAACAAATAATATGATAAGTTGCTTACAAAAATTTTCACAGATAGCTCATTAACTTGATGAGCTAAGTTTAGATTTTAGTGAGTCTAGTTATTTTTGGTAAAATACAATGAACACATAACTGATTGAATCTATTGGATTCGTCTTTGAGAAGTGTAATGAAGAAACTACTATAAATTTGAATAATTAAAAATGTCTATTTAATACAGAAAAAAGATTTGAACTAGCTCATTAGATGATGAAAATAAAGAATTATAAAAAATTTTCTCTTAATGGTGTGTGCATTTATGATGAATTATGTCTTGATAATGAAATATCTTCTTCAACTTTAGGCTGCAAATTTCATTATTTTTTATCTATTTTTTCTTAATGCTAAGAGCTAAGAAATAAAATTGTCAATTTTGATTAGAAATATTTATAAGACAATAAATCTATTCTAGAAAACAAAAATTCTTTCTTTTCAAACTTTAAAAATTTTTCTCTCTCATCATTTCCTCTATATGAAACAAAATAATTATCTGAAATGTTTATCAATATCCTTCCTTAAGAGGTAGTTTTTATTAATCTACCAAAACACTTCTACATGATATATTTAATAAAAAACTCAAAAAAATTCAAGCACATTCAAACAATTTAATCTGAGGAAATATAAATAGACAGATTTTTAGAAACAATTTAACCTAAGTAAATAAAAGAAGCATTCACTCAGAATTTAAATTTAAAGTTTACTAAAATGTATTCAAATTATTCCGAGAACAAAAAATCATATCAAGACTTATTTGAACTTAAGGGGTATGTAATTGAAATTAAATTAATTTGTAGCTTTAATAAAAAAGATCTTGTAGAACTGTTTGAATTTATGAAAAATAATAATAATAATATCATATACTTAAATCTTAAAACTAAATATGAGTATCATTTGCCAATAGAATACAAAGCTACTCAGCATATAATCGAAAACTACACAAATTTAATAACAAGCTATTGTACTGATACATTGATTTAAGTTTTAACTATCAGTACATTTAATAACTACTTAATTGAACATATTTACTTACATCCTAAATTACTCTATTTAGATTTGTATTTTTGATTAATTAGTTAATTAATTAATTAATTTACAAAAATGTATCTATTTATATATTAATAGTTATTTTTCTAAATCAATAATTTGGGGTCACAGAAAGGAGGGACCTATACATTTTTATAAAAAAAGTTATAAATAATAAAAGGGACCCAATATAATTTCGTTTTAAAAAGAAGAATATGCCATAATTCCTCATTAATTTTCACCAACCTCCCCACAATCTTTTGAAGCATAAAATGGTGATTAAAAATTTAACTTTATCAGAATTAATCAAGAATCTCATATTTCAAAGATATTGAATTTTCATAATCAATATATTTCATAATCTGATTTTAATTTCTAAAAAGTAATAAAAAAGGAATTAAAAAATTAATTTAGGAAACACAAAAACATATTTCTAAATTAGTGAAAAAATGAATAATTTAAGTTATAAAATGTATATGTGTAAGTAAGGCAATATTAGGATTGTTTTAGATCTTTAATCAGATTTATCGGTTATTATATAGAGAACATTAGAATCCTTTTTTAGAAATAAAGAAGATTTATTTGAAATAGAAATTAGTTTAGGTTATGGAGATGGATACTTAGTAGATAAATCAAATTTATTAGAAAACTTTTATGATAAGATCAGGAATAATTTAAAATTTGCAATGAATCATATACAGAATTATTTTGGATTAGAAATGATATAAGTATTTACTTTTCAAAATTTTGATTGTTTACTAAATGTAGACGATATTCTATTTTAGCTTATAAAAGACCTTCAATATCTTAAACAGTTGACTGTTGGTTCAAAAAAAGAATTATCTTGTCTTATATTTAACTAGCTCATTGACGCAATCAACTATAAAAGAGAAAATTTAGAAAAGCTCTGTTTGTTGTTTGGTGTTAAAGAGGATCAGACAGATATTAAAATTAATAGGAAATTAGATTACATTAAACATTTATTCTTAAGCGAGCTGACATCATCAATCTAATTTAATGCTTTTAAATTAGCTTAAAGAATAGAAGAAGTAAAAATATCAACTAGCTTAGATTCTAGACTATAAATTTAAACAATAGTTGATGAATTGCGGATAACAAACAGCTCTCTGCAAAAATTATATCTTGATATTGACTAAAATAGGTATTTATAGAGCAAAAACTCTTTAATATCTATTGAAAAATTACAAAACTTAAGAACTTTATATTTAAAAGCATTAAGCCTAAAAAATGAAAATCTTGATATCCAAAAACTAAAAAAATTAGAAAAATTAAGTCTAATTTTATCTGATGCAATTGATTATTTATCAAGCCATTCTAATCTAAATTAGCTTGTTGAATTAGAATTAGATGTTAGAGTATGTGATGTGAGTTTACTAAAAGTTAACAATTTAAAGAATTTGAGAACTTTACATTTAAATTTTAAACAAAATTTAAAAAAGGAAACAAATAATATGATAGGTTGCTTACAAAAATTTTCCCAGATAGCTCATTAGTTGGATGAGCTATGTTTAGATTTTAGTGAGTCTTGTTATTTTTGGTAAAACACAATAAACTCATAACTGATTGAATCTTTTGGATTTGTCTTTGAGAAGTGTAATGAAGAAACTACTATAAATTTGATTTTTTAAAAGTGTCTATTTAATACAGAAAAAAGATTAGAACTAGCTCATTAGATGATGAAAATAAAGAATTATAAAAAATTTTCTTTTGAAAATTTGTGCATTTATGATCAGTTATTTCTTGATAATGAAATATATTCTTTAGCTTTAGGCTGCGTATTTCTTTATTAATTATCAATTTCTTCTTAATGCTAAGAGCTAAGAAATAAAATAGTCAGTTTTGATTCGAAATATTTATAAGACAACTATTCTATTCTAGAAAACTAAAATTCTTTCTTTTCAAACTTTAAAAAATTTTCTCTCTCATTATTTCCTTTAAATTAAACATAATAAATATCTGAAATGTTTATCAATATCCTTCCTTAAGAGGTAGTTTTTATTAAACTACCAAATCACTTCTCTATGACATATTTAATAAAAAACTCAAAAAAATTCAAGCATGTTCAAACAATTTAATCTGAGGAAAAAAAAATAGATAGATTTTTAGAAACAATTTAACCTAAGTAAATAAAAGAAGCATTCACTCAGAATTTAAATTTAAAGTTTACTAATATGTATTCAAATTATTCCGAGAACAAAAAATCATATCAAGACTTATTTGAACTTAAGGGGTATGTAATTGAAATTAAAATAACTTGTAGTTTTAGTTAAAAAGATCTTGTTGAACTGTTTGAATTTTTATAAAATAATAATAATAATATCATATACTTAAATCTTAAAAATAAATATGAGTATCATTTGCCAATTATTTAATACAAAGCTACTGAGCATATAATCGAAAAATATACAAATTTAATAACAAGTTTTTCTACTGAAAAATTGACACAAGTTTTAACTATCAATGCATTTAATAACCATTTTATTGAATATATTTACTTACATCCTAAATTACTCTATTTAGATTTATATTATTGATTAATTAATTAATTTACAAAAATGTATCTATTTATCTATCAATAGTTATTTTTTTAAATCAAAAAAGTTATTAATAATAAAAGGGGCCCAATATAATTTATTTTTAAAATGAAGAATATATATGAAAAAATGAATATTTAATCCTTAAACACAAATTATATGAACAAAAGAATAAATCAATTAAAGTTTGGAATTCAAAAGTAAAAATTTGAAAATAAATAAGTATTTTTAATACTATATATCTATATATATAATTTTAAGTATCTATTATTGATTAATAATGAAATAATGAGTTAATTTGTTTAATTAATTTAATTAAAATTATGTTGTTCTAAGATAGATCTTTCATTTATGAGCACTTGGTTTTATGTCTAATTTTGCTTTGACTTTCCTGAATTCAATTAAAAATTAATAATTTAATTTTTTTATAAAAAATCGAATAAAAAAAATATTTACCATTTTCCACTCTCAATTGTCTATCTTATCTTAGAAGATATTAGTTTTTTATATTTTTATTGTGTAAAGTGAAGAAAAATATTTCTAGCTGCATTTTTGAGGATTCTTCTTTTTAGATAAGCTTTTATTAGAGCCACTTGAATGGCACTTAGTAGTTTTATTTTAGCTAATGTTTTGTGTTTTTTGTAATTAGTTTATATAATTCTTGCTTTTTATTATTCTATCATGTTTTATTTCTTTTTCTGCATGCAAATTCTAGCAATTCCATTAAAAAATTGAAGCATTTATTCTGTTTGTAAATATTTAATGACTAATTTCTTTTTCACCAAATCTCTTTGAATGATTTCTTTAAGCATTACTTATTCTCTGTTGTAATGTATTGATTTTTCTTCTATTTTTTTAATCATTGCATTCCTCCTAATATAAATATAAATATAAAAATAAAAAATTATTTTTAAAATATGATAAAAAGTCTTTCAATAAAATTAATGAAAAAAATATAAAATTACTTTTATAAGAATATTTCTTCTCTTCTTTCTTCTGCTTATTGGATTCTTTCGTTCTTTTTATCTTTTTCTTGCTTTAATTTATCATTTTGATACTTTTTATATTCATCTGGAGAGCTCATTGCATTTAGTAAAGGCGCATACCTTTTATTTGGTTTTAATAAAGTAGGATCAACTCCAGAGTGCTTATTGAATTTTCCAACTACTTATTTTGCTTTTTCTTAAGCTTTTCTGCAATTATTTATTAAATTGCTCATGTATTTTTTCTATGCCTCCACAATTTTTTTAGTTTCACCTATTACTTAAACATTCATTTGAGAATAGTTTATTATTTTTTTATTTAGGTGCTATTTTAATTTCTCTCTTTCTCTATTATTTTAAACAATTCCTTCTTTAGGATCAGAAATCAAATAAAACAGATGGCTATCTTCTAAACCTCTTCTTACCATCTCGATGTATTCATATTTCAGTGTTTCATTCTTAGTCTCAAGTAAATTTCCTATTTAAAAAAGTCAAATTTAATTTAATTCTTAATTGTTAAAATTCATATTTAAATTCTTAAAAGAAAAATAAAATTAATTATCAAATTTTTTTGAAAAATGTGATAAAAACTTAGATTTTATCTAAATAATGGAATAAATAAATATATACCTAAAAATTGAGAAATTGCTGAGTGTTAGGAAAGAATCTGCTCTTACTTATTCTCAGCTATTTATTTTACGTGTCCATCTTCATCTTTTTTTTAGAAATGTTATAAAAGATAAATTAAAAATTATGAATTTTTTTTGATCAATTTTTATGAAAATAGGAAGCTTATAAATAAATTATTTAATCATCAAATTTTTAGAAAATAATTTTATTTTATTAAATATAAAAAAAGTTAAATGATTAAAAGTTAATAAAACATTATCTGCTATTTAAACAGATATTAAGATGAAATAATAAATATGCTATTTATGAATAGTTTAAATTAATAATAAAAAGAATAAATACTTGGTTTAAAATTAAACTAATTGATGAATTGTGAATTGAATAATTATTTAGTTAAAGAAGTTTACTTAAATCAAAGTAAGCAGCAGTTTGGTCGCTGGAGTTAGTATATGGAGAAATAAAAGGTAAATATAAAGGGTCATTCTATTCTTTTTGATCTAGTGTCTCAGAGCATTCATCAAATACAATTTGGATTTGTTCACTGTTATTTCTATGAGTTACTTTTAAGTTACTGTCTTTGATATTTTTATTTTGTTTTTTAAGAAATTCCTTTAGGTTCTTGATTTGAAGATTTCTAATATTAATTTATTTATTATTAATTAGTTATTTTTTTTCTTAATAATTTCATCTGTAAAACATATTGAATTATTTTATTTTGAAGAGAAATTTTATTTAAAATAAAAATATTTTTTTAAAAAGTGAAATAAAAATAGTTTCTAATAATTCAAAATAGGATTTGAATTTAAAGTAAATAATTGAAACAATAAAAGAAATTTTAAACAAAATTTTACTCTTAAATGGCTCTGAAAGTTTTACTATTTGAAAAATCCTTTTCTAGAGCACTTTTGATATTTTTAAGCAATTGATTTTAAGAATCCTTGGAGTCTTAAATATCGAAATCTCCACTGCCATTTCTTTTATCAATTAGCTCCTCTAAATCAATTTCAAATTCATTTCTATGGGTGTGGTTATTTGAGTTAGCATTTGTCATATAATTGAATTACATAGAGCTTTAATTAGACAAATGAGGTAAATGACCTGTTGGTTATTTTAAGTCATTAACATGCTTTAAATTCAGCTTTAAACCTCGTTTTGATTTTTTTGGAGAATCTTTATCTATCCTTTAAGAGATGGGAGATTCAGGAGATATATAAGAAAGTGAAATATTTAATCCAGAAACATTCTAATCTATCACACTCTCATCTTACTTGGTTTCAATAGTTTATTTTTCATTATCTTTTTCCTCAACATCTCCTCCAACATTCATCTTTATAAAATAATAATAATATCAAATTAAACTGTTTTTATTATCTTATTTTTTTTCACTTTTCTCATGAAATCTTTACATGATTTTTTTGTATTTTTTTATTTAATTATTAAAAACAATTTATTTCCATTCATTTTTCTTCAAGTAATAATTAAATTTACTTTCAATTTAAATAACAATTTAAAACAAAACATCCTCTCAATTATTTTTTTATTAAATAATTATTTGTATGTTTGTTACAAAATAGCTTCAAGCTTATTTTTATCTTTTAAATTGTAAATATATATTCGATTTGGAAATATCTTTTAGGAATAACAAATAATATTTACTTTTAGTTTACTATAATCGTATAAGCTTTTTATCTTTTGGCGAATGTTGTTGATATTCCTCTGCTTAAATTAATCTACTATGTTAGCTTTTCTACCAGAGAGGTCTTCTTCTTAAATAACGACTGTGAATTTATCCCCACAAGAGACATCAATTGTAACTTTATCTTTAAGAATTCGAACTAATTAAGGAAATTTCAAGTCTTACTATTTTAAGTGTCCTAAACAATATTCTGAACTATTTCCCCAAGTGTAAAGCCTTCCAAACTAGTCGATTGTCGCATTGTGACTCGCCCCACAACTCACCTTTTAATTAAAAATTCATTTATTATGAAATAAAACCAAATTTCTACCTTGATAAACTTAACATGGATAAAATTGCTGTCTTCTGGCATTAGTTTTTTTGGATATAAACCTTAAATAAATTTTTAAGTTGTTTAATTTTTTGAATGATCTTTATGAAAGTATTACTTTCCATCAAAGAATTTTGTTAATCATCTTAGCTCTCGACTTAGTTGTAATCTCCCTTTCCCCATCCATAAAGTTCTCCCTGATTAGATAAATAAAAATAAAAACAAATTATCTTTTGAAATAACAAATTTATTTATTTATTTATTACTTCGTTTGTAACAGCGGCAGAATATTTCATACCGCATGATGCTTGGATTACAAATTTTCCTTGTAAAGTTTAAATTCTTTTAGGAGTGAATTCTTGCTTATTAAAAGAGTATCCCTTTTCAATAGGATGACCTAATTATCCATGCTAACCTTCTCCCCATGAATAAATATTGCCATTATCATCCCATGCTAGACTATGGAAAAAGTTAGCTGATATACCAACGATTTTTATTGTCTAATATTTGAAATATAATTATATTTTTAGCAATGAAATATTTAGAAAAATATTGAAATACTTTTTTTGGAAATGTTATTTGCTAAGGTATTTTCGAAAACTCTATTTTAGACTGTCCAATTCCCAAAATACCGTTGTAGTTTTTACCACAAGAATACAATTTTCCATTTATGTATATGAGAGAGTGTATTGAACCTACTGCAAGAAGTATAGGATCTGTGTTTTTATTTTAGATTTAATTTTAATAAATCTAGTTAGAGAAAAGAGATCCTTTTACAGATCTATTTGTTTGTAAATCTTCTGCTTCGTAGTTACTCTTTCTGTTACCATGATAATGACTAGTTTTTCTGTTTATTACTTATAAATTTAATTTATTTTTCTAAATGCTAGGCAAAAATCTTTTTGAATCGCTATTTAGCAATTAATTCGAACTATCAATGCTCAAAGGAGTATTTATTGTATCCTATTACTATTACTGAGATATCTAAGAAATATTTTTTTGCAATATCTTTTTACCAGGACTTCTTTCTTTTAAGCTATTTTTCGCATTAATACTAAACTAAGATACCGAACCTTTGTCTTAAGAAATTCTATTAATTACTCTTAAAGAGCTTTCTAAATTATTTTTTTACAAAAAATATTATTTTCATTCACTCACTCATTAATTCATATAGCAAAATAACATATAAATAAATATATATCTTTGTATTATTATTACCTCTTTTAAGTAAAGAAGAAGAGGATTTAGTTAAATTGCCTTAACTTTAGTAAAGGCCATCGACATTATCACAATCATTATTTTCTCCAAAATTAAATTAATTCTAATTTATCAAAGTTGGCCTCAAAATCAAATTTTGATCTAAATCAAACAGTTTTCCATTTATTGATTCTCCCCATGCATATATCTTATTTGTATCTATTAATTTTTATACCAAAAATATTTATTATCATAATTATTGTAAAACCATTCAAAAAAAAATTCCTATTAATCATTTGAGATATGCTTATTTCATAAAAAATCCATTATTTAAAAAGGAATTAAAATTAATATAAATGCATTTATCTTAATACAACATTTTATTTTACATGTTTGCTTTTAATTCCAAAAGCATTTATTAGCATAATTATTGTAATACCATTCAAACAAAATTCCTATTAATAATTTGAAATTTGTGATGAAATACACAAATTACAAATTTCATTATTGAAAAAGGAATTGATATTAATAAAAATGCATTTATCTTAAAAAAGCATTTTATTTCACATGTTTGCTTTCTTGTTTTCCTTTTATTCCTTGGCAATATATATAGAAATAAACTTACAATAAAATTTAAAGAGTTGCAATCAATATTTTATGATAAATTTTCATATCCATCAACTAAAATAATTATTGTTTAGATTGATTAACATTTAATTTGAAGTTATCAAATCAGCTAAATATTTTTATTCAACTCTTAAAGTTTTATGCCAAAAAAACCAATATAACAAGGGTAATTTAATTATATTTTGCAATCATAACAAAAAATTTAACATACCAGTAAGCGCTAAGGTATGATTGTGACATGATGTGATACATTTAACTTTATCCTTAATTGCATTTCTATATTTGTGTATGTTCATAGGCTTATTTATTTTATGAATGCTCTTATCTATTTTTATTCAAAATAAATCAATCAATCAACAAAAATGCAAATCAAAATATCTTTAAATAAAGCAAACCTAATCCTAACTAACCCTTAGAGCCAGATCCAAATGTCCATATTTAGCCCCTTTCTTAATAATTAAAAAATTAATTTGATTGCAATTCGATTATATATCTATAAATATCATAAAAAATAATTAATTTGATTTACCATCCAATACATAAACTACTTCGCAACCTGATTCTACTTTCTAAAATTTTCTGTCATACTTATATTTTTTGCTTTTATAGAAGGAGTCATCAAATCCTATGAATTCCTAGTCATTCATATCCTCTTCAGAGAACCGAATTCTTGTAATGCTTTGTTTAAATTAAAAAGAAATGAATTAACTTCCAATAATCTCTAAATAAGATAAAATAAATAATTATAATCTTCTATTTCTTACAACAAATCGCCGTCCTCTAGTTCTATATATCCTAATGGCTTGAAAGACTCATTACCAAAGTAATACACTTTTTATTTTTATAGAAATATATTATATTTATCTTTCTATGAATTCTATTATCATTCATTTTAAGTAAATTTATACCATGACTCATATCTATCTAAAAAGATGTGCTAAATATATTAAATAATAAATGAATGTATTAATGAATGAGCCTATTTCTAACTATCCAGTAATTTAATAAAAAAATTTATTTAATTAGTAAAAATATTAGTATAACTTCAATTACATTACCTTTTATTTAAATAGATAGCAAGCTAAATCAACTCTACTTTATTTTATAATTAATCAACAATAAAGTAAATAAATAAATAGATAGATAAATATTTGTTTATTTCATTTAATTATATTTTAAGTCTTTCAAATTTGATTAATAATAATTGCAGACATTAATCTTATCTTCTACATTATTTTTTTAGCAAGTTAACATAAATCAAATTTTAAACTTAATGTTTGTTTTTTGCTTTTAGATATAATTTATTTTTTGCATTTGTTAAAATAAAATACTTTCAATATTAATTAAAAATCACGAACAAAAAATATTTAATTTAATGCATATTTGCTTATGCTATTTTTTAAATTAATTAGATTAATCAAATTTCTAAAGCGTTTTAATTCTTTAAGTTTTTATTAGATTTAAAGGCTAGAAATTAAATATTTTAAAATACTAATAAGAAATACATTCTTTTGAATTATATTTAATAAAATAGCTCAGATTATCTTTTGTAAACCATACATGCATAAATATATCTATATAAACACATATTTTATTGTCTCATTTATATTAGTTTAAACTATCAATTAAAGTTTCCTACCCATAAAAAAATAAAATTTCAGCCTTAAATTGACTTGACTGTTTTGTGAAACGGAGGGCTGTCTTAAGAGCAATTAATTATTTTATTTAAGTAAATTTAATTTTTTTATTTTTAAAATATTCTTTATTAATTTACAAAAATATGATATATATTTACAAATATAAAAACATTAATAAAATTTATCTATCAATCAATCTATCTATATTTTAGATTTTAAAAACTTTTTCAAAATATTATATTATAAAACATACCATATTCAATTATTTAAACATTTAATATTTATTCATCCATTTTCGACTACTTGTTTATCATCTGAGTTCTTTTTCAAAGACAACTAATCTTTTTAATTTAAGAAACTTGCTAATTACTTTGAATTCTTATGATTCATTGATTTCGTTATTACTATTATTATTTATTTAAGTAAATTTTAAATAAATATTAAGTAAAATAAACTTTTAAATTACAAATTATTTTTTAAATTAATAAAAAAGTCAAATTAGTGGTATAAAAAAGATACAAAAATAAAATCAAATAAAGTTTATCAAATAAATTCAAAGAGCTTTTTATTAGTTAATTAGAAGGAAAAAATGAAGAAAAAATATGAAATAATAAGATTAATGAAAAATAAATGTAAAAGTTGAATTTAAAATTATAACTTGTTAAATTAATGAAGGAAGAAGAAAAAAAAAGCAATCTAGCAACAATAAAAAGAAAAAGAAAAAAAGAGCTTTATTGATTTTAGTTTGTTTTGACAAATAAAAATATTACAAAATAAATAAATAAATTGTTTTTACCAAAGGTCAAGTGTCAAATTTGATAGATTAATGCACTTTGCTAAAGCAGAGCCTAAGCTTGATGCACTTTCATCACCAATTTCATTGTAACTTTTTAAATATTGAAGAAAAAATAAATAATTAATTATTAATTAGATTAGAAGGAAAAAGTGAAGAAAAATTATGAAAAAATAAGATTAATGAAAAATAAAAGCAAAAGTTGAAAATAAAATGATGATTTGTTAAATTAACAAAAAAAGAAAAAAAAAAGTAATCAAGTACAATAAAAAGAAAAAGAAAAAAGAGCTTTATTGTTTTTAGTTAGTTTTTACAAATAAAAATATTACAAAATAAATAAATAAATTGTTTTTACCTAAGGTTAAGTGTCAAATTTGATAGATTAATGCACTTTGCTAAAGCAGAACCTAAGCTTGATGCACCTTCATCACCAATTTAATTGTTACTATTTAAATATTGAAGAAAAAATAGAAGGAAAAAATGAAGAAAAAATATGAAATAATAAGATTAATGAAAAATAAAAGTAAAAGTTGAAAATAAAATGATGATTTGTTAATTTAACAAAAAAAGAAAAAAAAAAGTAATCAAGTACAATAAAAAGAAAAAGAAAAAAGAGCTTTATTGTTTTTAGTTAGTTTTTACAAATAAAAATATTACAAAATAAATAAATAAATTGTTTTTACCAAAGGTCAAGTGTCAAATTTGATAGATTAATGCACTTTGCTAAAGCAGAGCCTAAGTTTGATGCACTTTCATCACCAATTTCATTGTAACTTTTTAAATATTGAAGAAAAAATAAATAATTAATTATTAATTAGATTAGAAGGAAAAAGTGAAGAAAAATTATGAAAAAATAAGATTAATGAAAAATAAAAGCAAAAGTTGAAAATAAAATGATGATTTGTTAAATTAACAAAAAAAGAAAAAAAAAAGTAATCAAGTACAATAAAAAGAAAAAGAAAAAAGAGCTTTATTGTTTTTAGTTAGTTTTTACAAATAAAAATATTACAAAATAAATAAATTGTTTTTACCTAAGGTCAAGTGTCAAATTTGATAGATTAATGCACTTTGCTAAAGCAGAACCTAAGCTTGATGCACCTTCATCACCAATTTAATTGTTACTATTTAAATATTGAAGAAAAAATAGAAGGAAAAAATGAAGAAAAAATATGAAATAATAAGATTAATGAAAAATAAAAGTAAAAGTTGAAAATAAAATGATGATTTGTTAATTTAACAAAAAAAGAAAAAAAAAAGTAATCAATTACAATAAAAAGAAAAAGAAAAAAGAGCTTTATTGTTTTTAGTTAGTTTTTACAAATAAAAATATTACAAAATAAATAAATTGTTTTTACCAAAGGTTAAGTGTCAAATTTGATAGATTAATGCACTTTGCTAAAGCAGAACCTAAGCTTGATGCACCTTCATCACCAATTTAATTGTTACTATTTAAATATTGAAGAAAAAATAAATAATTAATTATTAATTAGATTAGAAGGAAAAAATGAAGAAAAAATATGAAATAATAAGATTAATGAAAAATAAAAGTAAAAGTTGAAAATAAAATGATGATTTGTTAAATTAACAAAAAAAGAAGAAAAAAAAGTAATCAAGTACAATAAAAAGAAAAAGAAAAAAGAGCTTTATTGTTTTTAGTTAGTTTTTACAAATAAAAATATTACAAAATAAATAAATAAATTGTTTTTACCTAAGGTTAAGTGTCAAATTTGATAGATTAATGCACTTTGCTAAAGCAGAACCTAAGCTTGATGCACCTTCACCACCAATTTCATTGTTACTATTTAAATATTGGAGAAAAAATAAATAATTAATTATTAATTAGATTAGAAAGAAAAAGTGAAGAAAAAATATGAAATAATAAGATTAATGAAAAATAAAAGTAAAAGTTGAAAATAAAATGATGATTTGTTAAATTAACAAAGAAAGAAGAAAAAAAGTAATCAAGTACAATAAAAAGAAAAAGAAAAAAGAGCTTTATTGTTTTTAGTTAGTTTTTACAAATAAAAATATTACAAAATAAATAAATAAATTGTTTTTACCAAAGGTTAAGTGTCAAATTTGATAGATTAATGCACTTTGCTAAAGCAGAACCTAAGCTTGATGCACCTTCACCACCAATTTTATTCCAACTTTTTAAATATTGAAGAAAAAATAAATAATTAATTATTAATTAGATTAGAAGGAAAAAATGAAGAAAAAATATGAAATAATAAGATTAATGAAAAATAAAAGTAAAAGTTGAAAATAAAATGATGATTTGTTAAATTAACAAAAAAAGAAAAAAAAAAGTAATCAAGTACAATAAAAAGAAAAAGAAAAAAGAGCTTTATTGTTTTTAGTTAGTTTTTACAAATAAAAATATTACAAAATAAATAAATAAATTGTTTTTACCAAAGGTCAAGTGTCAAATTTGATAGATTAATGCACTTTGCTAAAGCAGAGCCTAAGCTTGATGCACTTTTATCACCAATTTCATTGTAACTTTTTAAATATTGAAGAAAAAATAAATAATTAATTATTAATTAGATTAGAAGGAAAAAGTGAAGATAAATTATGAAAAAATAATATTAATGAAAAATAAAAGCAAAAGTTGAAAATAAAATGATGATTTGTTAAATTAACAAAGAAAGAAGAAAAAAAAGTAATCAACTACAATAAAAAGAAAAAGAAAAAAGAGCTTTATTGTTTTTAGTTAGTTTTTACAAATAAAAATATTACAAAATAAATAAATAAATTGTTTTTACCTAAGGTTAAGTGTCAAATTTGATAGATTAATGCACTTTGCTAAAGCAGAACCTAAGCTTGATGCACCTTCATCACCAATTTAATTGCTACTATTTAAATATTGAAGAAAAAATAAATAATTAATTATTAATTAGATTAGAAAGAAAAAGTGAAGAAAAAATATGAAATAATAAGATCAATGAAAAATAAAAGCAAAAGTTGTTTTTACAAATAAAAATATTACAAAATAAATAAATAAATTGTTTTTACCTAAGGTTAAGTGTCAAATTTGATAGATCAATGCACTTTGCTAAAGCAGAACCTAAGCCTGATGCACCTATTGCACCAATTTAATTGTTACTTTTTAAATATTGAAGAAAAAATAAATAATTAATTAGTTAGTTAATTAGATTTGAAGGAAAAAATGAAGAAAATATATTAAATAATAGGATTTATTAACAATTAGTTAATTACCAAAGAACGAAAAAAAAAGTAAGTAAGCACATTTAAAAGAAAAAGAGAAATAAATAAAATAAATTAATAGAGCTTTTATTGTTTTAAATAAATTTTTATTATTAAAAATATTACAATAAAAAATAAATAAATAAACTGTATTTCTGTTTTTATCATATGTAAGTGTTAATAGCAAAAAATGTAGAAAAATATGAAATAATAAAAAATGAATGATAAATAATTAAAAATGAAAATGAAAATTAAGTTAAAATAGTTAAAAAACTTTTGTATAAATTCAAGTCAATGAATGAATAATGATAAGAATTTCTATTAGTAATATTTTTTTTTTATTAAATAAATTGAAAGTTAAATATATAAAAAAATTTTATAATATTTATTAATTAAATATACATCAGTCTAATATGGAGAAACTAATGAGATAAAAGTGAAGAGCTTAAAAACTTTTTTTATTAATTTGTATAAATATAAAGGATATTAATAAAAAAATAAATAATTACTTCTTCTAATTCTTCGTAGTATTTAATCTATTATATCATTTATTTTTTTTTCAAAAATATTGAAAAGCAATTTATGGAATTTAATTAATTATAGATGAATAAAAAGGACAAATAAAATTTAATAATTAATTAATTATCAAATATAAATTTATAAATTTGTTTTTATGAAGAGATACCACAAAAAAACTAATTTAAGATTGATTATTTAATAATAAAATTTTATTTAAAATATATACTTAAAAATATAGTAGGAATTAGATAAAGGCAGTTAATCATATTTTATAAAATTCTAGTAATTAATGTTCTTAAATTTATAATGTTTATAAGTAGATTTTTTTGTTTTATCCCAGTAATGATAGTAATGATGGGAATATTTAAAATATAATTAATTATTCTCTAATCTCTTTAGTTTTTTTTTTGCAAGCACAAATTATTTAAATATAAAGATTGCATCCACCAAATAAGTGCATTTATATCTACTTATATATAACTTTTTAATAAATAGAGTACTACTTTTCTCTCAAGAGCTTTTAAAATTGAGAGAGTGAAGGTAGGTAATCTTTAAATATTTTAAATATGGTCATATTCTGCAATTTTATTTTTAATAATAATACAAATTTTATTTATGAAAAAAATTTTTTGAAAATACTCTCCCAAAAACGAGGCTTGATTTTATTTCAAATAATTTATGAAAATTTGGAGTTATTTTATAAAAATATTTTTAGGATTAAATTATTTGATAAGAAAAATCAAATAAAAATTGATGAATAAATTTGATAAATATTTTATTAAAATAAAAAAGAAAAAAGAAAACAAAAATCATTTGATATAAATTTTGCTAATTTTGATAATATATTAAGTAGTTATTTATTTATTTATTTAGTTATTTATCAATTTTTCATTAGTTATTATTCAGTTACTAGTTTGGTTATTCAGTTAGATTTTTTAATTAACCAAGGACCTTGAATAACTTAGATAAGTTTGTAGAGAAGTTCATCAGGATAACTTGTTAAGGCATAGATACCAAAGCATTTTAATCTATCATCGAAAACTACGTTTTAAGCCATGCAAGTGTACTTTGTCTTAGATGCAGAATTTATTTTAGGGATAAGCTTCTAGCTGCCAGTCCAATAGTTATCAACATACTTTTATAAAGCGTTCTTGTTGTTAACCAAAGTCTTGAAGGCGAAATTGTAAATTTCATTGTTTGATACGTCCTTCAAACCATATTCGCTCTTGAGATCGTATGCTAAATCCCAAACTGGAGAGACTTAAGTATTTTTGTTAGCCTTTTCTAAATCAAGTCTATATTAGAAATAGTTTGAAACCTTCTCATTTTCATAAGCAAATATTCTGTAAGAAGGAGATTAGTAAGAATAAGTTGTTCCACTAGGAGCAATGAAAATTGTTCCAACTGATCTGTCTTCACCAGTAGCACTCTTAACTACTTCAATGTGATCGTTATGAGTGTGTCCTGTTTTATTTATTTATGTATTTGTAAATTTTATTTCATATTTTTTATTTAATCGAAATAATTAAATTCTCTCATTGATTTTATTTAATTTATCAATTTAGATTTATAAAACTTCTATTTTTTATTTTTAGATTGCTGATTTTACTGAAATGTAAAATTTGTTTGGTTTTAAATTAATTTTATTTCTTAAAAGATTTATTTAATTTTGAAAAAATTACCATAGAATTAACCGATGATGGTGTTTTCGAATCTATCAATAAGGACTTAAATTCTCATAGCCCATTATGAAGAGCAAGTGTTGTCACCAAAAGGAATATGTCCAATAAGGAAAACTTTTTATTAGTTTTATTCAGCAATGTATAATTCTTTTCTAATGAATTCTAATTAAGCAGCAGGGTCAGTGTTGTTGCTAATCAAGTAAAAGTTAAGCATATCGCAAGCCTAAGTGTTAGTGGCAATGACTCTGACATTGGTCTTGGGATCGTACTTAATAATTAAGGAATTAATTTATATTAACAAATTTGTATGAATAAATTTAATAAAATTATATTGATATTATTAAATAATTGCTTTTGAGTTTTAAATGAATAAATTAAATAAAAATGATGTTGATTTTATTAAATATTCAAATTTTTTTTGAGCTTAAATTGTTTTCATTGTAAATTACTTGAGAGTAATATCCGTTGGCAACCAATGAAATTAAGGCTTCAGATTCTAACCATGTTTTCCACATATTGGCAGATTATTCTCTAACCCATCTAGTAGAGTCTTTAACTGTATAGTCATATTAATCAGCAGGGAAACATTCGTGATTACCGAAAATGGGGAATTTGGGGACATCAGGGAAATGCTTTTCGATTAATTCAGATATTTTTTATTGAGGAAGAGTTTGATTCTTTTGGTCTTAATGCCAGACATCGTGACTTGTGTTATCACCAGTCCAAACAATCATATCGATGTCTCCACCTTTGGTCTTAGAATCGATTAAAAGAGCTTCAACAGTACGCAAAGGTAAATCGCATTTGGCATTACTTCCCCAGTATTTAGCTTGTTTGCTTTCGTCAGAGGGAGCATCTCCACTTTCAGGACGGCAGCAAAAAGGCTAGTCGCAATCAGCTAAAGATCCTACTTCGTATTCTAAGTCAGTGTGCAAATCAGTGAAGTGAAGTACTCTAAAAAGCTCAGGGTTTTTGGGAGCGGCTTGCTTATCTTAAGCTGGCTTATCAGCAAGAACCATTTGCTTCCAGGCTTCGAAATCTACTTGTTCAGTTTTTGTTTCACATGCCTTCAAGAAGACACAAACATGATCATTAGTAAGATAACGAGAAAAGAAGTTTTCTACGAAAGAGTTAAAGTAATCAACCATAACACCTTGGCATACCTTTTTAAGTTAAGTAGAAATATTTAAATTAGATTTAATTTAAAAAAAAAATAGAAAGAAGCAACTAGAAAACAAAAATAAATTCAAGATTTCTTTCAGAAGCATTCATTTTTATTCGTAAAAACTTGCTAAAACAAGTTAAAATTAAAATTTTAAATGTAGATCTGTTGTAAGTATTTAGAATTTATTTGAATTGTTTTGGTAGAAATCTACTTCAAGTTTCATTATATAAAAGATAATTCTAAAAAAAAGCTTGTATTTTATTTAGAAGAAATAAATATAATGCATTTGTAAATTCTCAGAAAAGAACATAATTTCTGTTGACAATTCTTATAAAAGAAAATAAGAATCCAATAATTTGCGTAATTTATGTTATTATTAGCAAATTTAGGTACTACTTACTTAGAATACTAACAGGGAAAATTAAGTAGAGGTAAATGACTTGATATGTGTAATTAATTTATTTGTGTATATTCTTTCATTATATTTTTTAATTAAGTAATAAATTCATTCATTTAGTTGGATTTAAGTGTAAAAAATTAATAATTCTTTTATAATTTGCTTCTTTGTCAAGTAAGTAAATTTTTATGTATACTTTCTTTATTAGAAGTATATTTAAACCAAACATATCGCCTCAAATAAATAGATTAATCAAATTAGTCTGTTCTATTTCATTCATTCATTTTATATAATTGCTGAATTTAACGATAAACACATTTTAAAAACTTCAAAAAAATGGCAATAAATTTCTTTTTGCTTCACTTTAAATTTGCGAATCTTCAATTAAATATTACGTCTTTATCCATAAAAGAGTTGCAGATCTTAATAGCAATGGCTCTGAGCTTTTCTCTGATGGCAATGACCTGGGAAGGGGCAATCATATTGAAGGCGATAAGACATGCATCGCAAGTTTTGAATTGAAGAGCTTATTGGATGTTTTCTTCAATAGTTTGCTTGATTTCGCTAGAGTAATACTCTAAGTCCTCAGTTCTCAATTTACTAAGAATAGGATTATCGATAGAGATGCAAGAAACTGCTACCAAAAAAAGAGCTACCAAGAATAATTTTCTCATTTGACTTTGTTAATGATTTGAAATCAAATATATCTCCTATTTGTTTCTCCTTTCTTTTTGTTTTTTTAGTTATTTAATTATTGAAAGTATTAATCAGTCAGTGGACTTTTAAACAAATATATGAATGAATAAATGAATCAGCATTCTTTAAAATCGAATCATTATCCAAATAAAGAAAACAAGCATTACAATTTTTTAATAGAAAGATAGACATATACAAAAAGAAAGAAAGACAAACAGATAGATAGATAGATATATAGACAGATAGTTAATAAGTTAGAAAAAGATTTTATAAAAGAACTAAATCGACTGTCATAGTTCCATATTTAATTTTTAAAGTTTTAAAGGTGAGCTTTAAATGATGTCATGTACTTATTTATTTATCTATTTAATTACTTTTTATTTGATTTTATTTATTTTTAGTTTATTGATCTGTTTGTAAAATAAATTTCATTAAATAAGAATTTTCTTTTTCAAAGAATGTAATCAGTCGATCTTTCTTAACTTTTTTATCTAAGCAAATAAATCTAAGCTTTTTTTAAATATTTTTATTTATTTGTAGATCTATTTTTTCTTACTTTGGCATAAATCTACAAGACGAAAGTAAATAAAAATGATAATAATAAATAACCAACTGTGTTTCAAATTTAAATATTTTATAAAATTTATTTATTTTTAAATAAGATAAAATTTTTCGAAGTGAAATCACTTAAAGAGTAAATGTAATTAATTTAAGTGATCGATCTTCTTTTAAAAAATACTCTATAAAGTTATTTGTATAATTAATCGAATGATCAAATTTCAATTTATACAAGAATATAAGAATATATACATATAATTCACAATATAATTAATTGATCACTCTTTAATTTCTCTAAATTATTAAATACCATCTATTTTTGTAAAGCAATATAAGCCAAATCCTCTTTCAATAACTTTGTCAAAAAAATATTTACCAAACTCTTATATTGGTTAAGCTAAATTTGGTCTTAACTAGCTTAAATTCCAAATTTAGTTTTTAGTCATAAAAAAGTTAACAAAACAAATAGCATCATCATAAATATAAAAAAGTAAGATAAATATAAAATTATCTATAAATTATTATTTTCATATTCATTCATACACTAATATATAAAAAGTATATACTTATACTTAATATTAATAGAATTATTGATTTAGCTTATGTAAGGATAATTGATTTTATTTTTACAATTAATAATTCCCATTTTATTAATTTTCGATCTAATGATTTTTCTATATATAATCCATATAATTGTTCTTGTATCAATCGTTCATTTAAGACTATATTAAGATTATTAATTTTTGGGAATAAGATTTCAGCTTAAATTATTATTTTCATATTATTTTCATGAAAAATCAGAAGATTTTTAAAATTATTATAAGTAATAAAAGAATTATCCTTCAAATTTAAGTCTAGTAAAAATTTGATAGATTTTCTTCTATTTCGTTTTATAAATGGATATTTATTATCATATTTATGGAAATGCTAACACTTTAAGAATAGCAGAAAGAAAAATTTTATAAATTAGAAATCTTAATTAATTTTTTATAGTTTTATTTAAATAAATCAAAATCAATAAGAGCTCATTTTGATTATTCAGACTAACAATAATAATTGCAACAATCTTTAATTTGATATTTCTAATTATTTACTTATAAATTACTTCAATAAATTTGTCTAGCAAAATTTAATAAATAATTTATTTTATAAGTTATTTTAAAATATTTTAAATTGATAATAAATTTAGATTTTACTTAATAAATAAATAAATAATATTTTCAATAAAAAATTATTTATTTGTCCTTCTTAAATAATATCAAAAATAAATAAAGAAGAATATTTTTTAAAATAAACTCTAAGTTAGTTTTTCAAATTACTTTGAAAATAATTATTACTTTAAATATCATTTAATATTAAAAACACAGAATAATTTATTTATTTAAATTAAATAATTATTTAGAAAAATAAAAGCTTTTATTTCTTTTATTTTAATTAAAATTCAATTGATATATTGGAATTCCTTTTTATTCTAACAAATTTTAAATTTTTGAATTTCTTTTATTTATTCATTAAGATTTTATATTTTTTTTAACTTTGTTGCTTCTCTCTTTGCATTAAATAAATCAAATGATTAACTTTCCATATTTTATCAGACTTCGACTTAACAATTTTTTAATTGGAATTTTATTGCTTGATAAAATGAAATAAATAGCTTTTAATTTGAGTAAAATCAGAAATTAAAGATTTTTTTAAGAAAAGGATGGAAGTTTAGAATAGATTTATTGTGTAAATTTGTAAATCTAATAAGTCAGGAATGAATAGAGGAAATAATAATTTTGTATGATATAATAATTCGAAAGTGACGCAACATAGGAAAATGTGAATTCTAAAGATTAAAAAGAATGTTTTTAAATGATCATATTGAATATCATTTATATTATTAAAGGGATTTGCATGCAACTAAGCTTTATTAAGAAAAATCAAAGAAATTGTCATAAAGGAATAATTGCACACACAAAACTTATTGAAAATTGATTACAAGATTTGTGATACAAAAATATTAATCATAATTGTACCTATTTTAGTCAATAATTAATAACAACATATTATAAAGGGCAAATAAACACTTTAAAAAAATAAAAAATATTAGGCAAGGAACAAAAAGAATTAACATGTCGTAAGTATAGCAAGTATCTAATACAAATAGAATAATCAGCGTTTTAAAGACTACTCTTAGTCTCGCTAAAAACCACAAAAAGAAGACTATATTGCTAGTAGTTATTTTGTCATTATATTCATTATGGAAACTCAAGCACAAGATTCCATATTAAAAAATTATTTCAAAAGTAATGCAAAAAATAATGCAAGCAATGGACAGTTAAATGAAGCATTCTCAGTTTTTGGAATAAAGCAATATTAAGTTGACTTTAAAAATATAAGATTTTGATAAAGCCAATCACATAGCTGAAATGCAGACAAAATATTCAAAGTTGTTTAAGTTGGAAGCTTACAGAAATGAGCTGCGTTTAAAGGTGAAGCAACTCAGCAGCGAGAGAAAAACAGAATTATGGCAAAATATTGTTGATGAAGTCATTGTTTTTGTGTTTTTCTTTATTATTACAACCAGATAGACCGTCACTCTCAATATGATTTAAAAAACTTTGGTAGCAAAATACAAAGATGATTTCAATAAAATAATTGGCATTAATCAAAATAGCGCTTAAGAGTTCAATTTATTTGATTAGATTTTAAGCGAGTACTGCCAGACTATGATCGATCACTCAATTAGTGATACCTTAAAATTCTTATAGCAAAATTTAAAGAGTGACATTTAGGCAACTAATATTCTCACTTTCTTTGAGTTGTAAAAGAAGTTAACCGAAATATTCTAAAACACAGTCTTTTCAAAAAAGGTTTAGAAATAAGAATACAAAGCTCGCTTTCATTTAACTAATTCTATGGATCGTCCTGTTGAAAAAGTTTTTCTTTCTCCTCATGATCCTACTTATTAAAAGCCTTCAATAATCGCTCGTTCAATTGGTTTAATCAAAGATCTTGGTTCCTTTGTTCTTCCAAATATGCTGCCTGAAGAGCAATAATTGAATGCTACAAAGAACAGATACGAAATATTAAGCATTCTGTTCAATACTTAACAACAAGAGAGTATAGCTGAAATGAATTCAAATAAAATAATATCAAATTTATTTAAATAGTATGTCAAAAACAACAAAAGCGATGCTAAAAAAGATCTTGAAGACGAAGAATTCGAAGAAATTCCTGATGACATAGAGAGTTCAAATCAATAATAATACTCACTAAAAAATAGCAATAATGATAGCAAAGTTATTGATTTGAGGGCTCTGAACAAGAGTAATTTAAATGCTGCAATTAAACAATCAAATAGCAATAGCGATGGCATCTCTAACTAGAACATAGAACAAGCAAAGGTCTTTTGCTTCTTAGTTTTTAAGGAACTCAGAGATATCTTAGAATCAAGCTCATTGAATAACTATTTCTACTTCTCAAGCAATTTCGAGCTGCGTAAATTTTTAAATAGACTCTTGCTTTCCCTCTAGAAGAAAAACGAACTTAACAAGGCTTAAAGTTTTGGAATGATCTCTAAATTATTTGATAAAATTATTGTAGAAGAATTCTTAAATTAAGAATCCGATGCTAACAATGAAGGATTTTACCATGTTCGCATGAAAAGGTGCTTTGTTTTATCTAAGAATGCAAAGAGTAGTGCAAACAAATAAAATCAGAACAATAGCGACGAAGCTTCTCACTCAACTGATGCATTGTCAAATCCAAACAGGTCAGAGCAAGACCTAATCTCAAGTGGAGAAAATCAAATAATAAATTCCAGTGTAGATAATTTGCCCAGAGTTACAGATCCATAAGAAAATTTAATCAATCTCAACATCTTGTAAGAAATAGAATAGTTCCATCTTGTAGAAGACTCTCTCTAAGAGTTCATTAAAAGAATTTTCTATGAAAGAGAAAGAACAACTGTTGAAATTATCAACCATAAAAATAACAATGATCCAAATCAAAGCCAGGCTGGAGAAGGCGACATCAATGGCCTCTTATCTCTTCTTGGTGGAGGAAACGCAGGTGGATCAGGAATAACAGATTTTATGACTCTGCTTTAAAAAATCTGAATTTAATATTTAAACATTAACCTTTTGAAAACAAAGATAATTAATTAATATATTTTATCATTAAATTATTATTAAAAATTGTATTCCATATTAAAATTATCTCAATTGTTCATTTTATTTCTCCAAAATGACAAAATTATTTTCAAACATTCAATTTATTTCTTAAAAATGAAAAAAAATTACTTCTAAATATTCAATTTATTTATTCTATTAAAAAGTTATTTATTTCATACATGTCTTTATCTAAATTTAATGAAAGAGTATTTTTTTATTAATGAATATAAAAACACAGAAAATATTTTATTTTAATTAAAAATTATAAGCAAATATCAATTTTTTTAAATAAGAAAATTTAAATTAAATTAAAATTAATTCACCTATTTTTTAAAAATCAACTAAAGAAAATGTTAAATCAAAACAAAAAACTAAATAAATTTATTGTGTTTTAATTATTTAAATAGTTATTTTTTTAATTATTAAAATAATTTTAAGTTTAGTAAAATCTTTTTTTGAGTTATTTGTTTTCTTTTTTTGTTAAAGTTTTTTATTACTAATGATGCAGTTTTAAATTTAGAGATTAATGATAAAGATTTATGAATGTTAATTTTCATATGAATTTGAAAATTAAAAAATTTAGTGTTTGTGAATGTATCTTGTGCAAATAATTTATGAGTCAATTAGTTTGTTAATTCTTTGCTTGAGTCAATGAAGTTGTTTATTTTATTTGTAAATAATTATCAATAAAATACGCCAAATATTTATTTATTAATTGTAATTAACAAGACTTTAAAGGTTATTTAGCTTCATATTGAATAGCATTTTATATAATGGATAATACTGAAAAAGAATAGAAGAAGCAAGTGGTTTCTAAAAAAAGAAGCAGTAAAGAGAAATCTAATTGGCTCTTGTATAAATACTTTGTGCGTAAAGTACAACAGACTTACTTAATTTCTTGTTTTACACATTAATTATCATTAGCACAAATTTATTTTTGAATTTTTTGAAATTAAATAAAAGGATTTTGGATAATGCATGGAACTTATTGAATAATTAAACTTGCAAAATAATGGAACTCATGAATATGCTAACTTTTTAAAATGTAGAATTTAAACTAAAGAAGCAATTTTTTAAATAGCTATTTATTTATTTATAAGCATTAATATTAAGGAACTAAGGAGAGTTGATTTAATCATTGGAACTTTAAAAAGATTTACATACATACAATGAATAAAATTATGATATTCTCAAATAAATTAGTCGCTCAATGTATTTATTTATTGATTTATGAGTTAATGAATTCCAGATATTTTAATTTGTTTTATTAGGTTTTTAGCTTAGAAATTTAAGGCTAGTATTGAAGTAGCCAATCATGCAATTAATATTAATTCCAGTGACTGGTAGCTTTATTATACTTAGGGCTAATGTTTTGTCAATTTAGGCGATTACTAATAAGCTTTAAAGTGTTTTTAGAAGGCCAACTAACTTTCGAAACATGAATCGACGTAAGTAGATTTGATAGATTTATTTTATATTTTTAATATTATTCTTTTGATAGATTCTTAGAATTAGGAAAGTTGTACACTGATTTAAAAGAACCTGAAAAAGCTATTGAAATTTACGAAGAAGCTTTATAGTAAAATGTTTACGAAAAATTGAATTTGTAGATTTTTAATTGCTTTATTAATTAATATTAATAAGACATTCTAATGACAACTCAGATATCCTTGTCATTTTGGGAGTTATTTGCTTGAAATAATAAAATGAATAAAAGGCTTTCAAATACCTTGGCCAGGCACTTTCTGTTAATAACAAAGACTTAAAAGCAATTTTAGCTGCAAGTTCTGTCATGCAAGTAAATAAATACACATCAGATAAAATACTTAACTTAATTAATAAAATTTAAAGGACAAACAAGAATATGAGTCTGCTTTGATGAAATACAAAATAATGGCTAAATACAATCCTAATTCCCACTAGCTGTGGAATAATATTGGCATGTGCTTTTATGGAATGAAAAAAAACATTTTCGCTATAGCTTGTTTAAAAAAAGCTTTATATTTAAGTCCTTTTGAGTGGATTACCTGCCTTAACTTAGGGTTAGTTTACATGACTTCTTAACAGTAATCTTAAAGATAAAAAAAAAGCATTTATTAATTTTATTATAAATAAATAAATAAATAGATATGCAACAGCTTACTTTTTTTTCACTGTTTCTATTAATTTGAGACCTAATTATGCTATTACTTACATGCATTTAGGTTAGTGCTTAAATAGATTAGAGGATTTCCCTAATGCATGTTCAGCATTCAGAAAAGCTATTGAAATAGAAAAGTAAAGTTATTAAAAAAGTTCAAAATTAATAAATTAAATAAAATTGTTATTTTTTATAATCAAATTATTTTTTTAATAGGGATTATTTAATTTATTTAAATTTTGCTATCATTCTTGCTTAAAGAGGTCCTTAGTACTTCCATGAAGCCAAAGAAAATGTTAAGCTATTTGAATAAAAATTTTTAGAAATGAGCGAAGACTCAAGAGTAAACAGAAGTGATATATTAGAACAACGCCAGTATTTATCAAATTTGCTTGGATTAGGTCTTCCTCACATTGATTGAAAATCTATTTTTAATTAAAAATGCAAATTAGTTAAATTAAATTAATTATTTAAAAAAATCAAATTTTTAAAATATAAATAAATTGTATATAAATTAAATTCAATAAATTTTATTCATTTGTTTTGTTTTTTTTAAATTAGTTAATTCATTTTTATATTTCCCATACTTTATCTATTGTACAATTCAAAAAAATTCAACCTCATGAGCCTAATATTTGTATTTTACAAATTAAATATATTAAACAATAATATACCTGATAGAACTTAAATAGATCTATTTTAAATATATTCAATTTATATCAAGATTATTTATTGATAAAAATGCATTTTCAATTTATTTTATTATTTTGAATGTTTTGATATTTTTCTTCAGTTGTTTTGTCTTGAAATATAAATTTACTGTCAATGAATGTTTAAATTTATATCTTATTATAAACGCTTCCAGGGTTAAAATTCTTGTAGTAGCACTACTGCAAGAATAGTAAGTAATCTTGGAAGAACTTATGTAATTTAATTGTTTTTGTAATAAGAATATTTAAATTAAATACCGTAGTTTCTGATTAATTCTTACAACCCCCCCCCCCCTCCCCACACAATCTTTTTATTTAAGAATAAGTTTATTATCTAAGATTTCTAAATTTAACTTAAAATAAAATGAAAATTGAGGGTCTACAGTTAATTAATTTTAACAAACTCAAAAATAAGATCTAAAATTATTTAAAATTAATTAATAAAAATAATAAATATAGATAGAGATTTAAAAGTAATACAAATATAGAATTTTATCAGATAGCATGAACTTAAATTAGTTTTAATTATAATAAAAAAAGATAAAGATTATTAATTCATTTCAATTCTTATTCAACTATAGATTATTTTAGATCTATCTTAAAAAAATAAATGTTTCTGTAGTTATATGAAAATATTTTTTAATTTAATTCAATGTCAATACTTATAATAAACTCCATCTAGCTTCTCATTTGCAATCTACATTCTTTCATATTTATGTTTTGTCAAAAAATGATTTTTTAGGAAAAAACAATAGCTTTTAAGGTGACCATTTCTTTTACAATAACTACAGTATAAAATAGGGCAAGAATATACATAATGTCCTACTCTAAAGCAACCATAACAACAGGTTAGTAGCAATATCTTGTCAAATGTCCGTATTTTTAGCAATTATAGCAATAAGCCATTCTACTGTTTCTTCTTACAAATTTAAATTATAAATTAATTTTGGAAATTTAAGTAAATTAATAAATTATATTTTTTCTATTTCTCTCCTCAGCTTTATAAAAATATTTTAAAAAACAAATTATTCTTAATTTAAATTAGCAATCCAAATTAAATAAATTATTTTAATCTGAATCAATCTAAAATACAACAAACTTACTTCAATAAAAAAAACATCTTTTATTGCTTTCTAAAACATAAAATAATTAATGAATTTTATAATAAGATTAATCTAGCTAGCTAGCTAATTTATTTTAAATTAGTTAGATATTTGATTTAGAATTAATCAAATAAAACAAGCCAAAAATTAGTTGCTTTTAAAGAGATTAAAAATTGTAAAGGCATAAGTCATATTAAATTTCGATTTATTTAATGTATTTTTAAATTTATTTAAATTATGAATATTCATTTTATAGAATAACATTATGTATTTATAATTAATTTATGCTAGTGAGATATTATGATAGAATGGATATCAGTACATTTTTGATAATTTTGTTAAATAAATGTGTAATTAACAGAAGATTATTTTTCACTGAAATTAATTTTGAATTTTGATTTAATTAATTAAATTAACTTCAACGAATAGTTTTTTATAAAAATTACAATACAATGTCTCAAAAAAAAATAACAACAAGCAAGTCTAAGCTAAATAATGAGAAATAAGCTGAAATAGCTTACAACTAAGATGTTGCCTAGAATAAAATCGAGAGGAAAAATGTAGCTTACTTTTTAAAATAATATTTCTTTATTTATTAATTTTAACTATTTTAATAATAAAAGAACGAAACACTATTTCATTTTCTACAGAGAAGGACAAGCTTTTCGCTAGCCAAAAAAGTGAATGAAAGTGTAAATAAATTTTATATTTATAAGCAATAATTTATTTGTATTTTTTCTAGAAAAGAAATGCGAGTTTCCATGAAGGTAAAGGATTAAATAAATCAGCATTAATATCTGATTCTACCATCAATAATGCTGATCATTTATCTACTTCTAAAAAGAAGAAAATTTAGTTTCAAGATAACAACAAAGACAAAGAGGATAATTTCTGGAGCTCTTAACATGAAAATAGACAAAACAACCATTCAATAGACTTATTTCCAATAACTCCAACAAAACTAAAAGATTGTAAAAATATATAAATAAATGAATAAATTTGTTTATAAATAAATCTAATATTGTTTACAATTATTTTAATTTAGTTTTGAAATCACCTTCAAACAATGTCAGTGTAGATGTGTTGCAACAATCTTCTTCCAAGAAATCTATTTTAGGCAACAGTGTGTTACTATTTAAGAATCATATTTAAAATAATAACTAATAGAAAGGAATATTGCAAGATATTGTTACGAACAATAACAGCATATAAATTGATGATTTGTTTTCTTCAGCAAAAAAAGAAAACAACCACTTTGGACTTGCTGAATCATTCTATGAAGTTAACCAATGCAATAAGTCTTCAAGATATGATTTAGATAATTCAAAGAGGAGAGATTAAAGTGAAGACAATATGAAAAAGAGCATTCTAAAAAAGTAAAAGAAATTTAACAAAAATGAATATTAAGAAAACAAAGAAAATACAACATCAAACAATTTAACTGAAAATGAAAAAACCATGTAAAATAGTATCATGAATAGGAGCTATGTCAAAGAATAAATTAACATTTTAAAGGAAAAATCGAATTTAGATTTTAGTGCCTTCAAATAGAACTTCTAAAGTGAAGTAGAATTTGGAGAGAAAAAAATTAAAAGCTAAATTTAAAAACTGTTGAATTTTGTTGGATAAAGTCTTGGGTAAATAGAATAACTTAAAATGAAAGTTGAGGAGTCGTTTGAAATTTTTCAATCTTTAGATAGACATGTATTAAATAATTATCAATTCTTTTAGGAAGTGCCACACTTTTTAGAGTAGGAAATTTTATTTAATTTAAATGTTTATTGAATTTTATTTTTGGTTGTATATAGAAAATATAAATCAGTAAAAAGCAGTTTAGGATTGCTTAAGAACTATGCATAAAATGTTGAAATTAATTAAGAAGAGTTTGATTAAAGAATTTAATTCTTTTAAAATGCTTATAATTCATAAGTAGAATAAGCGATTAAGGAGACATAAACTAAGGCTTTGAAACAAAATAAGTAGGAAATTGAAAATTTAGAAAGGTAAATAAAAGAAGTAGTGGTGAAAAATGAGTATTTAACTTAAGAAAATAAAATACTAAAAAGCAGTTAAGCTCAATTAAATAAAAATATTGATTTTAATTCAGTTAAAAAAAATAGCTCTTCAATTTTTATTGCAGAAGATTTGTCATAATAAGATTGTGATTATCACCTCAAAAAAGAAAATAAAAAGCTTCACAGTAAAGTCGAAGAACTTTTAAGCGAAATTTATGAAACATCTAATATAAATGAAAGCATTTAATAAAATTTAAAGAATTAAATCAAAAGAAACGAAGTAGAGATATCTGAGTTGCGTTCTGAAAAATAGTAATTCATTAAAGACTTGTAATAGATTGAAAACGACTACTCTAAAAAGGTTAACCATTTGGAATAACAATTAAAAAAATTATAAATAAATTAGCAGGGCAGAGAAGATAGAAATCAATCGGTAATTCTCTTTCAAATTATTTATTGAATGTCATTTTTTCTTAGTTCAATTACTTTATTTAAAATCTAGCCTCCCTAATTTATAAAAAATTAAATAAAAATAGAATAACAGTAAACTTTCTAATGAAAATTTAATGAATTAAATAAGAGTACTAAATGAAACTCTAGAAGAAAAAGAAAAAATAAGATTGAAACAAAAGAAAGATTTTGAATATGCAAGTGATATTATGACTTAGGAAATAGTTAAGTTAAAAAAAGAAATAAAATAGCACATGCTAGAAAAAGAGTCTTTATAAAGAAAGTTTAGTGAATTTATCGGCTAAGCAAAGTAATTAGAAGCTTATATGAACCAAAATGAATAACTCCTAATGTTAATAAAGTCAAAAGAAGATTAAATAGACGATTTATTTTTAATAATTAAAGAAGTATTTCTTATTCCTTTCATTTTATTATTTATTTACTTGATTTTAATTTATTAGATTAAGTCTAAAAGTAAAGAAATGGGATTCGACAGATATTTGAAATGCTACTTTAAAAAAGCTAATATATCAGATCAAAATATGCATGAAAAAAAACCTTTTAAAATCTGATTTTATTTTAAAAAAACAAAATTAAAAATAAACTACTTAATTTGCTATTTAATGAAATTTTATTTGTATATATTTTCAATTCTGAAACTTTTAGTTTAGTGAATTAAATAATAAATAAATTTAATCAAATAAAAAATTATAAATTATTTTAATTAATATATAAATAGCAATCTAATTTGTTATTTGTTATTTTTAAATCCTTGAATTTTGATAGAATTTCATTTTAAATTTTAGTTTAATTAAATTAATTTATTAAAGAATTTATGCAAAATAAATAGTAAAATAAATTAAATATTGTTTTATTTTTTATTGAAGAAGCAGAATGTCATATTTAAAATTGATTAGATTAACTTCTTATTTGTTTAAAAAGTTATTTTCAAATTAAAAATGGACTAAATTTGGATGCTTTTTTTAAATATTTATTTTAACTTTTAAAATTTGTATTTAAGTATGAATAAAATAATATAGAAATACATTTAAGTTAATCAATAAATAAATAGAATAATTTATTATAGATAATTTGTATTTTATATAATTGTTAACAAAAAATATCTTATTTTTTTTATATTTTCATTTTTTAATTGTATTTACATAAAAATAAAATTCTAAAAATGAATTATTTAGTTAATCAAATAATTGTTTTTAATTTGTGAGAAGCAAATGGGCCATCTAAAATTTATGAGTTAAGCTAAATTTTTTATTTAATAAAATTAAATGTTATAGTAAAAAAAATTAAAATCAAAATTACTGTGTCTTTCATATTTTGCATCCAGTTGTTAATTTGGATAAAGCTTGAATTGTAACCTTCGGTATTTTTTTTCTTTATTTAAGACATAAGCCTACTTTCGAATGGCATGGTTGATCTATTCTGCATGTCAGTCAAATTATTTGAAAATTAAGGAGTTTATGAGTATCTGTTTTTAAGAGTGACAAGAGCAGATTTAAGATCGAAATTTTATGAATTTGTATTTATGTTGCTTATATTCTAAAAATTTTGATTCATTTAAGTGTTGTTATTTTAATTGTTTATAGAAATTGTTGTCCTGTCCATGACTAATTCATCTTATTCATTAATTTAGTTTTGATTATTTTAAATAATTGTTGAGTTTGGGTAATTTATTAGCATTTTCCAGTTAAAGTCACTCTAGTTAGTGTTAATTTAACCATGGATTTAATTTTCGCCTTAAATATCATTGTTATTTATTACACTTTAATCTAATTTATCCTCTTGTTAACCTGTGTCTAAACTTTAATAAACTTTGTAAAGTTAGACAAAAGTCTCTTCATTAAATTATCTAGTACCATCTTAGAGTATTTCATCATAAAGTTATTCCATTTATTAAAGCTGTTTATCTTTAATCTAATAATTTATTTCCAATTATCTATATAAATTCACTTCTTAGTTTAACTTCTCAGTGTGCTAAAGCATGTTTTATTATAAATTTTTAAAAATGCTTTTCCTAATTTGATAAATATTGAAAAATATTCATTTAAATTATTTAACATTAAACTACCCTTAAAAATCAATAAATGTATTTAAATAATAAAAAATATTTGAAATAAAATTAAAAAATAAAGGGTTAGTAAAAATATATGAATGTGCTTATTGATTAAAAAATAATTTACTTAATTTAAGATTAGTTGATTATATTTTCTTGCTTATTTAATTCTTCATTTAACTTTTATTACTCATTATCTATCAAATCTTATGTTTATTAAATGAAAATCTTTTTATTTTTTAATTTAGTTTTCATTTAAGTCAAAATATTTCTTTCTTATATTAATCTATTGAACCATGCTCTTTTCCTAATTATTTTATTTATAAAAAATATTTCAAAATAGATCAAAAATATTTCAAATTACTTTTAATTTGCTTCGTTTGAACTGGAAGAAGGTCTTCTTTTAATTTAATTCTTAGGTTTTTAGCTGATATTGTTATTATTGGATTTATTAGACTCATTTTAAATAATGTTAGATTTATTTGGCTTTTCTGTAATATCTTAAGCATTTGCTTATTTAACTATTTTACTCTCATCTACTTATAAAATACTTTATTGTTACTCTAACTTTTCCTGTTTTTTTTAGTTTTTAATATAAAAAATATATTTACATACTTGCTTTTAAATAATTTTTACATTAATTGTTTGCTTTAAATTTCCTATTTAAGAAAGCAGTTCTTCGTATTTTATTTAAGAATTTATATTCTCAACCTTTTAAAGCTTTTGCTACTCTTTTAGGAGAATAATGTCTTTTTAAAATTTAATGTTGTCTTTTCTTTTTTAGTGTAAGCTCTACTTTTTATCAAATTACTATTCTTCAAGTTTTTTAGCAAGTTATTCTTTTTCGTATAGACTTTATATTAGCTTTTCAACTTTCTTATCTAAATCAGTCAAATCATTAGATAATAAAAGCAGCTTATTTCTTTACAAAGTATCAGAATACTCACTTACAAGGTCTTTTTAAGTGTCTTAAAGCTAATTCAATGAAATAAATTGTTTATCTTTTTCTTACTTTAACTTATCTAAATCATTCTTAAGGTGTTCAATTTTATTTTAAAGCTCTTATTTTTAGCAAATAAGATCAAAATCTTTATCATCTTTTAATAATCATATATAATAAGACATTTTTCAAATAAAAAATAAATAAAATTTACCTATATCAACATTTAATTTAAGTTCTTCTTTTATCTTCTTTATTTTTTATAAACCATCTTGTTAAAGAGTTTCTTTCAAATGGTCATATTTTTCCTTAATTTCTCTGTTTAAGTTGAATTACATCTTTTACTCTTTGAGTTCTAATTCATTTTTATCAGAAGAAATGTATGTTTGTAATTATGATAGCTATTTTTATCTTTCTAACTCAAATATTTTATTTAAGTTGTTATCAATCTTGCCAAAATCGTTCTTTATATAATTTTATTTTAATAAATTATTTCAGATATTTTCTAAAATTAAATTCAAACACTCCCTCATTTGTAAATTCAAAATAATTAATGAAAGAATTTTAAATTGTTTTAAACAAAGGAGGGTGAGTAAGTTAGATTGATTGTAATAAAAGATGAATTTTATGCAAAATAAAGAATTGAAATAAAATTACTTCATTTTTGAGCTTTTACAATCTGATTTCATTCTACTTTGCAATTTCAGTTTTTTAAGTTGTATATTTGTCTTCATAATCTTTTTGAATTTTATTTTTTAAATTTTTAAGCTCATTTCTCATTTTATTGATGATTTCTTCATTTGAAGATTTTTTTTGTAAATACTCTGAATCCAACTGAGATTAGAAAGATTCTTAAGTATCCCTTTTATTATCAAATTGCTCATTTTCAAGTTAATTCAGATGGTCAGTTTACTCTTTAATTATCTTTGATTTGAAATCATTAAGTTAAATGCTAACTCTTTATTTAGCTTCTTTAAACTTTTCATCATGCTTTTTTTAAGCATCAGATCTTTCATTGCGTTTTCTATCAAGAGCTCTATTTTTGATTTCAAATTCTTCTTAAAGCTCATTTTAGTATTTTTTACCTTATTTCTCAACCCAATCGTTTTCATCTTAGTTAACTTTCTTCTTATTTTAATCGTTTTACTCTTCTAATCCTTTTAATTAAGATTTCAATTCTTCCTGCATTTAACTCTCTAAATTCTTTTTTGTTTGCTTTTTTTCAGCGTTTAGTCTCTTTAATTAATCATCTTCTGCTTATTTCACTTATTTTTTAATTTCCTTTAAATCTTTTTCAATTTATTTATCTATCTCTTTGCCTTCTTTTTTCCTTATATTCTCAAAATCAATATTCTTTTGCTTGTATTGCTGTAATAACTATCCTTCATAATCTTGATATTCTTATTGTATCTCTCTCTCAACAGTAAGCTTCATTTGAGCTGTTAAATATAAAAATTAAATATTTTTAACAAAAAAAACAAGAAATCATAATTAATTCAAATTTCAAACATATTTAATCTAAGAATTGATAAAAAAAATTTAATTATTTTATTTGTATTTTAAATACTTTATTTTTGACTAATTACTTTAATTGTTTAAAAAGCAATTTATATTAGAAAAATTTGTATTTTTTGGAACGAAAATATTTTTCTAAATTTTAATCCATAAACAATTTTGTAATGTAAATAGAATTTATTCCTTTTTTCAAGATCTATGATAATATTTACATGATAAAAACTCTTTCTGAAAAGCTCATTTCAAAATTTTAATACAAATAATAACTTTTGACTATTCGATTTCAATTAAAATAATTATATCAAGAAACTAAAATAGATAGAATTGCTTTTAATGAAAGCTAAGGATATTTAATAGCAGAAGAATAAAACTTGCTTTAATTAATAAACTACTATAGTAAAATTAAGGGATTACTTTGTTCATCTACATCTTGGTAATCTGGATTTAATAAGAAATTTTAATTGAAGGACTGATTCATAGATGAATCTAAAACCCTAGAATCTCCAACAAAACCTTCATTCATATCTTGAATATCTTAATTTTTATACATAACTTGCTATTTTATAATAAAAGTAGTTTAATTATGCAAAATCCAATTAACATATTTTAATTTGTAATTTATAATATAACTTTTAATCATAATCATAAGCGTATATCTACTTTAATACTTTTTGTAAATAAGAGCTTTTGATCAAATTAATTTATTTCTTCTTATATAAAAAGATGAAAGCAATATAAAATTTATTAATTAATTAATTACCTTTTATTAATCTTTCATCTTCATCTCTTCAAATTTTTTTTTATAAAACTAATCACATGGATGCTCTAATTGCTTTTCGCCTGTAACAGAATTCAAATAAAATCTTTAATCATCATATTTATGCTAATACACATGCCATTATTCTGGGAGAGGAGCTTTTAGCCCTTCTCTGGCAATATAAAAATATTTCTTATCCTTATCTAAATCCATTCCTAAATACTGCGCATAATTAAGTACCTCTTTTTAAAATAGATAAATAAGTTTGCAATCTCACTCAATTTCATTTTTGCTTATGCACTAGACTAAATAAATATTTAAATAAATAGAATAAAAATACCTTCTTCATTTGGTTCGTAATCTTCTTCTAATTCTTCATCGTATCTAATCCATTCTTCCTCGTATGGATCCTAATAAGGGTCTTGATAATATTACTGCTATTAATACTAATTCATGCCCATCATCCCCTTTTTTTAATTCTAATTCTTATTCCACATCTATCTACGATGAAAGTAAAAATATTTATTTATTGTTCTTCTTAATAGTAAGTATATAGATATAGATTGATTTATTGATTCCTATTCTAATGGATATTGATTTTTTATGATTTATTAATAATTATTTGAAATTAACCAATTTCAAACTTAAATATAATTTCTATCTATTTATTCATTCATTATTAATTTATTATTCAATAAAAAAAATCAGTCAGTCAGTCATTTATTTGCTTATTAATTAATTTATCATAATGAACAATTATTTAGGAAATGATCAATTTATCATTAATATTCACTGAATTATAACATTATTAATGCAATAAAATTTCATTTTTATTTCTATTACAAAATAATGCAATTTATTTTTGATAAATTAGACAAATATAATAAACTCAGTATTGATAACAGTAGATGTAATATATTAAAGGAGATTTGTTTTTTATTAATTAATTTTAACAATTTTACATAAATTATTTTCGAAATATTTGTAATTTTGCTAATTTTATTTGAAATAAGAATTATTTAAGATGTCATTTTATATTAATTGAAATCATAGGTTGAAATTCCGTTAATTTTTATTATACTTAAACTAGGGAGATTATGAAAGCATTACTTGGATTGATTTTATTGATAAATAAATTAATTGTAAAAACCATTTAACTTTATTAACGTTAAAGTAGTTGTTTTAAATTTTCCTTGATTTTAAAAACATTTTAGCTTTTTTATTCAAAATAAATAGATAGACAACTTTAATTCATAAAATTTTAAACTAAAACATATATTTTAACAAATAATAATTTTCTTTCAAACCAAATATGACTTTTAAGAATAAAAATAATTGTTTTGGTTAAATAAAATTGGTTTAATTCTTTTCATGAAAATATTTTGTAAAATAAAATAAATGAGTTAAAAATAATAAATTTTCAAAAAAAGGTTTAAGCAAGTATTCTAAATTTAGTTTTTTTACAATTTAATTTTAGATAGAAATACTTTAATTGATTCAAAGAATGTATTTAATTTGATTAGAAATATAAAGAATTATAATAAAAATGATAATAAATGAATAAATATATAAAAATATTAACATTTAATTTATTTATTTAATATGTTTAATTTTTAATATTGCAAATTTTTAGCATTTTCATTTGTTTTTTTTCAGTTATTTAAAATTTAAATTGATCAAATCAAAGAATTAATGCTAAGATCTATAAAATGGGTTGGATTGTAGGTTTCATTTTAATAAAAAATAAAATCAAAATGGCTTTGTATCTTTGATTTTATCTTTATGATGTCTGATCATATCTTTTATATCACCCAAAACCTAAATGAAAAAATTTCTTAAGCAAAAATAAGTTTGTAATAATTTACCTTAATTTTGGTGTCTTTAACTTTTTTTCTACTATCTTCTTCTATTTTCTACTATATAAATTATTCTCTTTCATAATTAAATTACTCTATTTAACTATTATAAACAGACTTCAATTTATTTTCTTTCTATTTATTTATTTGTTTATTTGTTTGTTTGTTTGTTTGTTTGTTTGAAAAAATAATTGATTGATTTAAATTAGAATAGAATATTTTTTTATTTAAAATTACCTCTATGAAATCATCTTTTATTTTTCTTGCTTCGAATCTGCTAAACATGTATTTGTTTTTATAACTGTCTTTTTCGTCTTCTGCATTAGAAATTTATTTCTCTAATTCTTGGATTTTGAGTTACAAAGTTTGAGACTGCTCGAATTTCTACTTGGTCTCAAACTCTAAAGATTTCATCATTTCTTCTACTCTCTGCTTCTCTTGTTGTAAAACTTTATTCTTTTAAGATAATTATTTAATAAAATATTATTTTAAGCTTTAAAATAGCTACTTGAAGAATTTATTATTCAAAGTTTTTTTATAACTCCTAAATAGATGTAAATTTATCATCCATAGTTCTTTTTTCAAGAATCAACTCGTTTTCTAAAATCAGATTCTTTTCATTAAGTCTTTTAATTTTCTGGTCCATATCATCTCTCAATTTGGAGAGTTTTGTCTCCTTTTTTTTGAGTTTATTTTCATATTCTCTCTTTTAAGCCTTTGTATCTTCTAACTCTCTACGTATTTGTTCTTCAATTCTATCCTTACTTTCCCTTATTCTTTCTATTTCGGAGTTCTTAGTACTTAATTCGTCTTTAAGTAATTTATTTTCTCTTTCCAATCCATTTGAAAGTTCTTTGTACTAAAATAAATAAACCAAAAAATCATTAAACCTCAACTCAAAAAAATAAAATTAAAGCAATTACCTTTACCAAATCAAGCTGCATTTAATCTTTTATTTATTTTTCTTACTCTTATTCCTTCTTTAAATTTGACAAAGAAACCTGTAAATTTTATATTTAATTGAGAGAATTGTCATATTATAATTTTTCTTCGAATTTCTCATTCTTCATTTTAAACAATTATTCTTCTAAGTCTCCCATCTTCTTTTTTAATGTTTCGTTTTTCCTTTTAAGCTCTTCAATCTAATCTTGTGCACTCTAATTTTTAAGCATCAAAATTTAATTCTCCTCTTTGTATTTATAATAATCTTCCTTTTCATCTTTCAAGCTTTTTTGCATGTCAGTTACTTCCTAAATAGTTCAAAATACATTTTTCATTTTTAAAAAAGACATTTTTACTTTTATTAAAAGCAAACCAAATAAAAATAAATTTAATTTTTGTTTAGATTGATAAAATTTTTGTTTAAATTGTTAAAATTATTGATTAACATTTAAATTTTATTTCAAATTCCCATTTAAAAATAAATATTCTAGATATTTTAAGTTGAACTGATGAATAAATGAATGATTGAATTACTAATTAATATTTGGTGTTAGCCTGCAAAAGTTACTCTAATTAATTTGCTAATTTATCCCTTTCTCTCTCAAGCGTAGTTATAATTTCGAATTGATGATTTTCTTTATATTGCATTTGCTTGAATTCATTTTAGTATTTCGTTTCTAATTCAATAATTTCTTATTTATAAGCTCTTGTGTCTTAATCGTATTTTTCTTGAATCATAGAGAGCTTTTCTTACAAATTAGTATTAGAATTTTATAATAACTCAATTTTTTTTTAAGTTGCCATTTCTATTTTTTCAATATTCTAAGCTTTTTTTGAATCTTCTTCCTTTTAATTAGTTAATTACTCCTTGAGCATCTTCATCTTTTCAACAAAAGTGCTTTTTTCATTGTTGCTTTCATATTTAATTTTCTAGAGTTCATTCTCTAATTCTTTTACTTATCCCTTATAATCTTTCACTGTTTTATTTAAATTCTCTACTTCATTTTAAAGTAAAATTTCCTGTAAATATTTTAATAATATTAATTTACTAAAAACTGCAACATCTAATTTAATATTTAAATAAAAGTAAACAAGTTTAATTAATATTTAAGATTATAGTTTAATGATATACTAATGTTAATTACCTTGTTAGATGCTTCTGTGTTGTGCTGGTCCTTGACTAAGAGATTTTATTTAATTTCTTTAAGTAGTTATTTGCATTATTTATATTTTTACTTAGTGAGGTCATATAGCTGCTGCTTTTCATCGATTTCTTTTTAAAACTAAGAGCTTGCTTTTTGAGATTCTAAAAGGAGTTCACTAATTTCTCTTGTTTTATAAAATAAACATTTGTACTCTTTTTCTAATCTTTCCCTTTTCCAATCATCAATTTTTTTAGAAATTACATAATCACTCTCTTTATTTAAATTGGTAGCATCATAAGCTTTTTAATTTTATTCTTGCAACCTCCTCAAAACTCTAGGACTTAATATGACATCAAATTCATTATCACTACTGCTGCTACTACTACTTTGATCGTGAATATTTTCTGTATTTACTTGCAACTTTGAGTCTTACTCACTTTATTTAAGCTGATTTTATTTACCACTTTAATTATTTATAAAACCTTCTTCTTGAGTATTTAACATTGAAGCTTTTTTAGAATTTAATTAAGACACATTAAAAAATTTTTTGGATGCATTAGACTCATCCATAACAATTTTGCTTTTTTATTTTAAAATGCTATTTTCTGTTTTTGATTTGCTAAGCTTTTTATTTTAAGAACTATGAGCGCTAACTAAAGAGTAATTATGAGACCTTTCAGGCGATTTTTTCGTGCTGCTAAAATATAATTAAAAAATAGCATTTAAATACGAAAAATTTTTATTCATAACAAAATTCATTTGCATTATATATTAAAAATGTATCCAAGAATATTCACTCCTTTTTATCAAATTATGCAATTAAATTACAGTTTATGGCTTATAGGTGATGGAGAAAGCGATTTATCTAAAGAAGCTTAGCTATTTAAGAATTTTTGCATTATTGCAGCTTCGCTTTTTGAAGCATTTACAGAATTTTATCCTTTTGATACTGATCTTTATGTGAGCTTTTTTTTCTTAGCTGATGTATTTTCAGTTGATTTTTTAACTTTCTTGGGTGCTGTAGTAGTTTATTCTCCTGAAGCAGCAGGTGACACTTAAGTGTTTTTATTTTTTACTACTTTCCCTTTTAAATTAGACTTTGAACTTTTTCTAGAATTTGGCCCCCTTTCTTCCTCTCTCGAGTTTCGAGATTCAAATCTTGGCGTATCAACTGCTTTTTTTGCTTAATTCATTATTAATTATTGTGCTATTTAAGAAAGTTAGTTATATTTGTTTTGAAATCTAATAACAATTTAATTATTTATTTATTTGCTTGTTTAATTTCTTGTATTTTTTGTTTGTTTGTTTTTGTTTTCATTGTATTTTAGATAAACATTGTTTGTAAATAATTAATAAATTTGAAATAAATATCTAATCTTTTTTTAAAAAAAGATTGATTTTTATGATAACAAAAAATATTCATCCATACAAACAAACAAACAAAATTTATTATTACTGAATAATTTTATTTAAATTCAATTTATTCAAATCAATATTTGCGAAGTTATTCAATTGAATTATCAAAATATCACCAAAATTTAAAATATTTTGATTAATTTTAAAAAAATCAAATGTTATTTTAGAATATTTCGAATTAATTTCCTTAAAATTAACTGAAAAGTGTTATTCATAATATGAAAATAAAAATGCAAAGCTCAATTGTTTGTTTGTATCGTTTTTTATAATAAATATCTATTTCTAAATAAAAAATTGGATCAAATAAATAAAAATGCAAAAGAGCAATAAGAAATAGTAAACGATTATAGAGTTGTTAGAAAGTGAGAAAGAAAAGATAAACTGATATTATATGATAGAAATAGTTTTTAATAAAGTGATAGATAGTGAGATAGAAAGTTAGACTGATTCTTTTTCTGATTAAAAATTAAAGATTTAGATGCATTTAATAATATAAAAATTAATTAATTAATTAAATATATTTATTTACTTTTGTTTGTTTAGCAAATTACTTCTTTTTAAATAGTATTATAAATCAAAAATAGCTTGAAATGGATATATTTTTGCTCATTATGACAATTATTGTAGGAGTGTTGTTGATCTTCTGCAACATTTATATTTTAGGAGTCTATTGTCATCCAGAAGATAAGGGATTTGGAGCAAATGCTTATTGCAAACTAATAGTCGTAATTAGCATATAAACTACTATTTGATTTTCAGACATCTTCATAGCTGATTTAATAAAAAAATTATAGGTTGTTGGATTTACTCTCAGCTGGGGACAAGTGTTAATGGTTCCATTGGATGTTTCGAATTCAAGGTAATAAAATATTTTTAAATTAAATTAATAGCTTTTAATCAAATCATTATTTTTTGAATCAAAAATGGAATTTCATTTATTTATTTGTATAAATTAATGCAAAATAGAGGATATGGAGGAGGATTTGATATGATGACAGTAAATTTATATAGGATAATAATTAGCAATTAGGTTTAGGAATTATAATTAATATAAATAAATAGGTTTGGTATGTAATTTACATTATAGTTCTTGTATTTATTTCCTTCATTATTCCCACGGCATAATTCTACTACGAATCTGATGATGAAAAATCGATGGTAAATTTTCTTTTGTAAATGGAAAATTAAAAAATTAATTTGAATGAAAAATATAGTGTGAGAGATTGACTTAGACAATAGCAATGGAATTTGTAATGATTTTGCTTATGGGTGTTTTTTAGTGTATTTTTTATCTGTTTTGCTCTCAGGCATCTGTTCCAATTACTGTTTTATACTACGGAAGCAGTGTAGCAAATAATGGCATGGTTAATTTCGATTATGTCATTCCATAAAATTATTTTGTTACTGTATCTTAGAGTACCTAACAGGCTAATCTCAAATTCAATGTCAGTCTTTATATAAGCATAATGGCTTTTTTGTCATTTATAGGCTACTTTTTCTTAGTTCTATTCGGAGGTATGGGCTTATCAGCGCTACCTATTGACTTGCTTAGATCATACAGATCCAGACCTACATTTGTAAAGACTTATTGATAATTCATTAGTTATTTTTTATGTTGAGAGAATATTTTTAGTGAAATAGCAATATTCCTAATGGGCTAATAATTATAAATTAATAAACCAATAGAAAACATCAAAATAAGCATTCGCAAAAAAGAATTAGCTTAAAGAAATGACTTAAAAGCTAATTGATTTGTCAGAGAAGATACAAGGTAAATTTATAAATTGTTGTAGTTCAATAAATTTTAATCATTTAATTTATCATAGAGGATCTGCTAGAAATAAAGTATTAGAAAGGTTTCTGGGCAAGAAGAAAAATGAATAACAAATCATCAGCAGAATTTTAGGTTTTTTCCGAAGCAGTTCTATAATTAGATGATGTAATAAAAACATAAATAAATAAATAAATTTAATAAATAATCAAAAAATAAGCTAATAAAATTATAAATGTTAATAAAAATAGGAACACTAGCTATTTAAAATGGAATTAGATATTGCTACCACAAATCCACTCATTTATTATGCTAAATTACTTTTAGGATTTTTTGGAATTATAATTTCCTTAGTCTGGTGGGTTCACATGTAAAATACATTATATTGTTTACATTTATTATCATTTTATAAAAATTTTAATAGTTTTGTTTGAAAATCTTATTTATATTTATAATATTTTAAATATACAAACTTAAATAATTCCTATCCAAAAATGACAAACAAACAATTTTGATTCTAGAAATAAAAGATATTTTATTCAAATAAAAATTTATGTTTTAATTTAGAAAATATCTAACTAAAAAAATGAATACTTTAATTGACTTTTTGATCTTCTTTAAATAAATTTACTACTTCCTTTTCATATTTTTTTAATTAAAATGAAAAGCTTGCTTGCAGTATTAATTAAGAAGAATGGTTTTCCAATTTATGCTTTGCTCGATAAAATGTTTTTAAAGTTAGAGAGTATTGGAGTATCATTTTTGGCTGTGGCATTTTTTACCATGTTTACTTTGTATTTGCTATGGTGTACAATGAAAGGAAATTTCAAAATCGGTATAGCAATACCTTTTCTCTTCACTATACATCCAATGAGGTAAAATAATTTCTATATTTTTAATTTTAAGCTTTTGAATAAATAAATAAATAAATTTTAAAATCTAGGCCAAACGAAACATGGATGAATAGCTTTTTGTTTAATTTAAACATAATTCTAATCACTACTGTAGCGTTAGTTTAATTTGTTTCTAAGTGCTTTTCTTAATATATGAGATACACTGAATTAGATTAAATATATGGAAGATAGGTTGAATACCTTGAATTCTACAAATATTTTTATACAAATAATGTTTTTGAAATAGCTTTATTGGTAAGACTAAAATTATTTTTTTTAATTCAGTCTATATTTTTTTTTATTTATTAATTAATTAGTGTTGGAGTGGTTTAAGTGCCATATATTTCATCTATAAAAGCCAAGAAAAACCAAAGGTAATTAGTTTATTGCTGATAAATTAATCTTTCTTATTGTTAATGTTACTTTACAATTCATATTCAGTTAGACTTTTTGATAATATTCTTCCAATAATTATCAATAAAAAACAACAAAAAAATTATTAATAATAAATTTAAAGACTAATTTGTAACTAAAAAAACATTTCAAATTGCTATTTTAAATCATTAAAATATTAAATAATTTTATAACTAATCATTTTTTTCCAAAAAATGCGAACAATATTTTAAAATTTTACTAGCTTTTACTTGAAATTGAGCAACAAAAGACCAAAATGGAAAAATAGTATAAAGGAAAAAACGAAATAGAACTATAAGAACTTCTAATTAAAAAAGGAGTTAATAAAAGAGATATACCTGGACAAGATAATGATAATAATGATAAAAAAAGTACCAAAGGTAAAGATAAAAAAGGCAAAGAAGAAAAAGACCTTGAGAAAGGTAAGAGCAAAGAAAAAGAAAAAGATAAAGATAAAGATAAAGGGAAATCAAAAGGTAAAGAAAAAGCTGAAACTGAAATGAGTGTTTACGATTTTTATGACAATGAAGCCGAAAAAAATAAATCTAAGAAAGGAGATTCGAAGAAGAAGAAATGAAATGAAATGAGCTTAGTTTATAAAAATAAATTAAAAAAATTTAACTTTGTAAATAATAAATTATTTTTAATAACAAAGAAATAAGTAAATAAATAAATAATGTATTTCAATATTTTATGTTAAATAAATTCAATAAATAGTTTTATTCTAACCTTTAGGATAGTTATCAAAATTACAAATAAATGACTATTAAGTCGATATAAACAAACACAAGGATTATAGTTACTGGATGAATGAATGAATTTACGATAAAAATACAGTTTTAATCACATTTTAAGTTTATTTTCTATGAAATTCATGAGTGATTTAGTTTAAATAAGCATTATTTATTTTTGTTGTTCATTATTGTTAATTGAAAGTATTTATAAGTGAGGCTTTATTTCTAGGATCAATGTTATCTATTTAAACTCTAAAGCTAGGACCTTTAGTACATTTTACATAAGCGTCAACGAAATAATTTGATTTTACAACAGCAGGCTTCTTTTCAACTAAAGTTTACATTAGAGATTTAAGATTCGTAAGAATCTATTCGTCACTATAGCTCACCTTACCCAAGGGAGAGTGAATGTTGCTACCAGGGTCAACTCTTTTTTTATTTGATAATATAAAAATTATTAAAAAAAATATATTTATATAATTTAATTCCTTATTTTCATACAACTAAAACTCTTTTTACATTTCAATTCAAACTATCATTCTAAATTGTAAATGATATAAATATTTTTTGAGTATAAGAGCTTTCAACTTATGTAAAATTATGGTGTATTTAATCCTGCTATAAATGAATATTTGCTGAGTATTTGTTGTACGATTTATGTGATTATAAAATTAAAAAATTATTACCTGAATTAGACTTAACCTTACTTAGCATCTACAATAGCTTAAACTAAATTTTTTAAAAATAATTATTAAGTTTGATATTCCATTTTATTATATTAATTATTTATATTACCTAATTTTTCATCACTGACAAGATTACCAATCTTTTAGTTAGGCATAAGACCCTTAGGACCTGATTAATAAAAAGAATAAATTTGAGTTTGCAATTTATTTAAATTTAAATGAAAACAAACCTAAAGTTCTAGCATAAGCTTTAAGTTTAACCATGGCATCAGAAGTAGCTATAATTTATTCGAAATCAATGACACCATTCTTAATCTATTGTTAAAATTAAATTTTATAACACTTGTTTGTTCATTTACAAATGATGTAAAAATATATATGAGTAAATTATGCTATCAAAGCATAGAGTTATTAAAGCTAATAAATAATATATCTCATTTAATAACTATCAATATTTAAGGATCAATCATTATTAAGCAAGCTGTATTTATTTGCATGCACATTTAATTAGTTTATATTTTTAATATTCAACTCAAAACTTAATATTGCTTAAGAGCAATTAAATGCTTTTATCCTCATTTATAAGTGAATGCTTTCTAATTAATTAGGAGAAATCAAAATGCTAAAAATTACATTTTTAAGAACTTCTTCGTCACCAAAAATATCGGCGCCTGCATCAAGAACTTATTGCTTTAATGATTCAGATGCGAAAACGCAAAGCTTTTTAGATTTTCCCAAACCTGCAGGCATCTTAGCAGAACCTCTAACGATTTGGTCACCGTGACGAGGATCAACATTCAAACTAATATTTAGAAATGATTAAGAAATGATGTAAATTAAATGAAACTGAGAGTCTCCTAGAGCTCAAAATTTCATCAATATGCAAAATGGAGTTTACATAACGCTAAAATCAATAGTTTCTGGGTAGGGAGCAATAGAATGGCATCTAACTAATTTAAGAGCTTAGAATATATTATAAATAGGATTGTTTTCATCTTCTTTTTTAGGTTTTTTTGTTCTTCTTTTTAATTTTGCGAAATTGGCCATGTTCTTATTAACCATGGTTAAATATTGGGTGACATGAAGTGCTTAGCTAAGTTATCTTAATCCGATCATCGCTTTACTTTATTTTTGGTTTTATTCCTACTATTTTATAACTTTATTCTAGTCTTATCAACTCTGATTTGATGAATAGAAGATTGATAGATCTTTCTAAATTTATTTTTAATATTTAACTTTTTACTTAAATTAATGTAAATTCATACATAATACATACATTCTCATGCAAATCTCTATCAAATACAAATTAAATTAAATCAAATCAAATAATAAAATCTATCTATCTAATTGTTATTCATTTATCAAATCAATCAATATATCTATCAATCTATCAATCAATCAATATATCTATCAATCTATCAATTAATCTATAAATCAATCAATCAAACAAACACCCTGAGTTAAATTTTCTAAAATTTTCTTTAACAAATAAATTTATATGATCTGCTATCAATGTGAATATGAATATGATTTTAGTTATTTAGTCAATCAATCAATAATTTTTTAAATACAAATTCTAATTTTATTGTTTTAAGGAAACTTATTTTAATTAAAACTATTTTTTTATTATTTTTATGTCTAAAATAATTAAATTGCTTTTTAATATTATTTTTTTAAAACTGTTTTAAATACTTTGAAAATAATAATTAAAATTATTTATTTTTGTTTTCAATCAATAATTATAAATTTTAAATTTAATACACAAATTTCACAAAATATTAATTGTATGCTCAGGATCTTCTATTATGGCACTAAATTTTTCTGGATGATCCAAGGATATTTCGATTTATTTAGAGGCAAATTTGTCGTTTTAAAATTCTATTTCAGTCTTATTATTTAAAATGAAATAAGTTAGAATAATATTTAAATTTAAACGAATAAATTAACACTTTTATATCTCCCAATGCTCCACTCTTTAAATCAAAGAAAGAAACTTCATATTTGTAGATGGTTTTTCTGTTTACTTTTACTAATTAAATGTATTAATTTTGAATATTTTATGTAAATTAATTAAATTAAGAATGATTTTTATCATTAATTTCTATTTACATTTTTATAGCAAAGGATCTTTCAAGCATAAAGTCTCTTAGGTGAAATATTTCGAAATTCTCGTATGACTGCACATTTTATTAATGAGCATTCTGATAAAAATAAGAAATAACTATTTTTTATATATTTTAGTTTAATTTTACATGTTAAATTATTTGTAAAGTTCGTCATAGTTTGATATTCTCTACTTGAATTTATTGTTTATTTTAAGTAGAATCTTCTCTGATTTGTTAAGATAGTAAAAACCTGGAATCGCTAATGAAAATAAATATAAATTTTCATATAGAGAACCAAGAGATAATCCAGTTGCGATAGAAAGAAGAGGATAAAAATTATTGTCTAAGAATTTATGCTTTTAAACATAATCTATCTGCTTTAAGTATTCACTTTACAATTTTTAGTGATGTTTATTTTCTACTATTATCACCATACTTTCCTCATTTGAGTTATCGTGTTGATTTTAAGGTTTTTAACTAGAATTGAAGTTATAATTTGAAATATTAAATGTACTCAAACGTTAGAAATTGAGTAAACGAGAGTTAGCTCTCCCTTTAATTGCTTAATAACAAATATTTTTTGATATGTATATCATAAATTTTATTTAATTCGCTTTTTATGATATTATATGTAGCAAAGCCAATAAATAAATACTTTAATTAACAAATAAATATTAATTTTTGATTGATATCTTTTTCAAATCAAAGTAAAATTTCTAAAAACAAATTAGTAAATGTTCATATATGAAGTTCTTATAAAAAAAATCTAATCTCTACATAAATATACATGCATAAATACAATGCAATTTATCTAAATTAGTACTCTAAAAATTATAATTCAAAACTTATAATTCTTAGTTTAAAAAGTTTTAAACTATAATAAAATGATTTTTTTTGAAAATCTATTTGATAAGGTTATGAGGTAGTTTTTAAAAATTGATTTAAGTTTGTTCTTTTTCTATTATATATGTATGAGTTGTTAAAGTGACCAGTTAGTCCTTGATTAAAATAAGTTTTATTATCAAAAATAAACTCTGCCATTCATGATATCTTTTCTTATATTTATTGCGTTGCAGGTAATTGTAGGAGTAGGTCTAGTTAAGTTGCCGCAATGTTTAGGTCTTTAAAAAATAAATAAACATTAAAAAAATATTTAAGATTTAAATTTTACTTAAATGGATCTTTATCCTTAGGTTTATCTACTCTTTTTAAAGGTTTTAATGGGTCTGGTTTATATTCAGGGAATTTAGAAATAGTTCCGTTAAATCCCTTATTTAGATTATAAAGTATGTTAAGCAAGATTGATGATGGACGAATAATTTGAATAATTTGTTTTAAATTACTTTTTTTGCAGGGTTAGATGGCTTAAAAGGATTTTCATGTTTAATTATATTATATTTTGTCACAGTTTATGGTCTTTTCTATTGATTTTAAATTAACATATAGCCTTATTTTAAACAAAATCTATTTATTTACTTTGATATCAATTCCTTCCTCTCCAAAAACTTTACGACCTGTGTTAAAAGCACCACCACCATGGTGAGTTGTCCTGAAAGCTTATTTCTCAGCAAGTTTCTTTTTATGTTCTTCCATTTCCTTTATACGTAGCTCTCTCTAACGCTCGTAAGGATCTGGAATATATGGAGCATGTTTTTATAAAGGTCCATTTTTGGGATTTGTAGTTATATTTCTTGGAGCAGTTATTACCTTTCCTTTATATTAAAAAATAAATAGATAGATAGTTAAATAAATAACTAACATAAATGTATTAATTATTTTGAGTATAAATAATTTATCATTTTTAGGCAATAAATAAAATGAATTTTAGTAAAATTAAAATAAATTGAATCAATTACCTTCAGAATCAAGATAATTCTTTTCTTTATGGACATATTCTGGCTCATTTTTATAGGAAGAGTTGATTCTTATTAAAATAAAAAAAATAATATCATAAACAATCTTTAATTAATTTTATTATTAGCAATTTTTCTATGAGTTTGAAATTTAAGTGTAATATATTGAGGATTTACATTGTCTTGTATCCAGATGCAGGCTTAAAAACAGCTTCTTAAGTGACTAATTTTTTTTTTTCAAGTTCATATTGTCTTCTAATTGAATCAGGATCAACAAAAGGATCACCTATTGTGGTAAATCCTAAAACTGAAAAATAAGAATCTTTAACTTTTCCTTATTTTGGTGCTCCTGCTTATACATTCTTGGGTAAAGTTACTGGTTTTCCTGTTTCGTCTCTTGGATCTATGAATTTTAATAAGATTTATTTAATATTAGCCTATTTATTTATAAAATTAATAGCAATACGCAATTTCATTTCATATTATTTATCATCTCCAGTTGCGAGAGATGGAGGTTATGAAAAAAGTGCAAATCTTTGTTTATCTGCAAATTTTTCTGCATCTTCAAGGGCCTATTGTCTCAAAGTAGCCATCATTTAATCTCTATCTTAACTGCGTGATGTCATTAATTGCTTGATTTCTAAAATATATAATGGTATTGCTTAATTTTATTTGATAAGACCTTACTTACAACTAATTAATTATTTAGTTGATATGAATTAATTAACTAACTAAATAACTTTATAAATATCAATCAATCTTCTTTTCAGTAAATATATATTTTTGCTTGCTTTGCTTTATAAAAACAAAACTTTCATTATAAAACCTTTGAGAGCCAAAATCCACAAATATATGCATTTTTTTAATAGACTAGCTAGCAAATTAACTAACCTTCATTTTAATTCAAAACAAATTTAATAAAATTAATAATAATTATCTTTATTTACTAAATTCCATACCTTTTTATTTAGAAGTTACATATGTATGTATTATTTCTAAAATTTTATTATATCCATTCGTTTGTTTCTCTGCTTTAAAATCTTTTTTAATCTTATTTTTAAAAGTATTCAAATTTAAACAATAAATAAATAAATTAGAATAGACTAAATAAAGTAAAAATAATTCATTAATTGATCATAATATCGAACAAATAAAAGAAGTTTATTTAAATAATCTTTTTTTTATCCTAAAGTTAAATGCTATTTTCAATAATTAATATTAAATGTAAATATTTTAAAAATATATTCTGCCTAAATATAGCTAAAAGTAATATTTTTTATTATTAATAATTATAATAAGAATTGACTAGGACTTAATTTCATAAATGCTTTATAAATAATAAAAAATTATTGATATGTTTAGTAGGTAAAATATCTTGAAAATTCAAATTAAAATAAAAAAATAGAAGATTTTTTACTTCAAATAAAATATATAGAAAATAGATGAATAGAATGGTAAAGTAAGAAGAAAAACTATTTTTTTATTAAAAATAAATATAATTGAAAATTATTTATTTTATACTAAAAAATATCTCATTTAATTATAATTACATCTTATTATTATATTTATTTAAATTGATAACATTTATTAAGTAAATTTAATTAATTTTTTTAATATTAAAATAATTTTGTAAAAAGTAAATTTTTTATTATTGAAATATTCATAATTTATTTAAATTTATCAAATCTTTATGTAAATAAAATTGAAGTTGATTTACAAAAATAATTAATTATTTTTATTTGTTTATGCCAATTATAGGTTTTGCAGGATAATAAAACAAATTAAAGATATTGATAAATTTTTAAATTCGACTTAATTCATATTTTTTTATGATTAATTGTGGAGATAATTATTTCATATATTTGTCAAAAAAGATTTTTTTTCTTTATTGGGATTGCTTTTTTATACATTTTTCCTTATTAATTTAATTTTAATAAAATAAATAAAATAATTTTAATTTTCCGGCTCACACATTAAAGGAATAAAACAAATAAGTTAATAAAGATTAAAATAGAGTTTTTCATAAAATTCTATCTTTAAATTTGTCGCAACTAATTAAATTAATTAGCAATCTTAATAATCATCAAATATTTAAGTTTATTTTTCAATTAAAATTAAGTAAAAAAATCTTAAAAAAATTATTCCTCATAAAAATTAGGTATACAAATTCTAAATAACCTATAATTTACAAATGTAAATTGTTTTTCAAAATTTAATTTACAAGCATCAAATTTATTGTGTAACCAAAGAAAGAAAGAAAATAAATAAATAAATAATAAAATTCTGATTAAGCTCAAATTATTATTATCAGAATTTTTCTTTTTTCTATATTTAAATCATGTATTTTATTTTAATTAGAAAAATATCAAAAATAATATTGAATCTATTAATTTACGATTCCATTTAAGGGTAATATTTGAGAAAATACAATAGGTCTAAATAATAAATAGTTAAGAAAAATATATAATTAATAATCGCTTAAGTATTTTAGATATATTTTTTTATAGTTAAAATGGAAGAGATTATTTCAATACACATAGGGTAATCTGGAATTTAAGTTGGTAACTCGTGCTGGGAACTGTTTTGTCTTGAGCATTAAATTTAACCTGATTGCAAAATAATATAAAATTAAAAAAATGAGGATCTTAAAACTAATTTCTTCTCAGAAACCCAATCAGGGTAGTTTGTTCCAAGATCAGTCTATTTAGATCTAGATTCTAATTCTATCGATGAAGTAAAAGTAGGTTCTTAAAAGCAATTGTTTAACCACGAATTTTTAGTCTCTAAAAATGATGAAAAAGCAAATACTTTTGCTAGAGGAAATTATTAAGTTAGTAGTGAATTCATTGAATTTTGCTTAGATAAAGTAAGAAGATTAACTGAAAGTTGTTAAAATCTGCAAGGTTTCTTAATTTATAACTCTGCTGGAGGTGGTACTGGTTCAGGTTTTGGATCTCTTCTAACTAAAAAAATTAAATAAAATTATAATAAGAAATCAGTTTTAGGTTTTACTATTTATCCATCAGATAAAACATAGACAAATGAGTTTGAGCCATATAATTCTGTTCTTTATTCTTAAAATTTGATAGAAAACGGAGATGTTAATTTGGTATTTGATAATGAAGCCATATATGATATATGTAATATGAACCCTTATATATCAAATATAGCTTACACTGACTTAAATAGAGTTATTGCTTAAGCTGTAAGCTAATTGACTTGTGGTCTAAGGTTTGATGATGAATAATAAAATCATTTATCTGACTTTGAAAAGAATTTAATACCATATCCAAAATTTTGTTTTATGCTTTCATCGTATTCGCCTTTTATATTTACTTAATAAATAAATTCAATTTAACTGTCTACCCAAGAAATATCTAGTTTTCTTTTTGAACCATCCAATATGATGGCTAAATGTAATCCATCATTTGGTAAATATATGGCTGTAGATATTACGTATAGAGGAGCAGGTATTGTTCCGAAGCATATCGGTTAATCTTTCAACTCTTGGAAGGAAAAAAAAACTTTATAATTTGTAAATTGGTGTTAAAGTTATATTAAGTTAAAAGCAATATATAATATTCCATGTATAGTTCCTCAAAGTAGCTTTGCTTATTCTAATAAATCTGTTTTTATGGTATCAAATTCTACTTCTATTTCTGAAGTTTTCTCAAGGATAAACAATCGTTTTGATTAAATGTTCACAAAAAGATAATTCACTCATTTGTATCAAAGTGAAGGTATGGAAGAAGGTGAATTAATATAAGCAAGAGAAGATTTAGCTTTACTAGAAAATGATTACTAAGATGCAGCTGAAACTTTAGAATTTTAGGAAGAAAATTGAAAATATTTTTATTTAATCCATTAATTATTTTTTACAAATAAAAGTGCATATTAATTTTTAAAAAATATTTTAATATCTAATAAAAATACTTTTTGAATATTGATTAAATACATCTAAAAATTAAAATATTTTATCATTTTTACATAAATGTAATTATTCTAAAAAATAAAGCTCTTTCCTCATAAAATATCATAAATCCTAAATTTTTTAGAAATTTTTAATTTAAAATATATTAAAAAATTAATGTTTATAATTATGTGATTAGTTTATTATATAATTTTATAGTCAAAAATAATTGAGAAAAATATATTATTCTTCAATTTAATTGCTTCGTAACAATTTCAAATATATTTAATTTTTAATACAAATATATGAAATAAAATAGTGATATTTTATTTTGCTTTTATTTCTTCTTATTTTGTTTAAAGAAAGCATTTATATTTAAGATTCAAAAGAAAAATAGTATAATGTTTGAATTTATTAGAAAAAGAGATTATTATTTGAAAAATAAATTAATTAAAAATAGAATATCTTTTTGTAAGTTAAAATATAATATTATAATTTTTTATACGCTCTAAAATATAAAAATGGAGTAATGGAAGAAAGTAATTAATTTATTTATAAATATAGTAGTATTAAAGTTCTAATTTTAAGTATACTTTAAATAATTTAAATTTATCTCATTCTAATCCTTATGCTTCAAACTTTTTTTATGCTTTTTCAAGCATAACATAGTGAAAGATTTTTTCATCAGGAGTTAAATTTTGAAAAGTTCCATAAAGCTTGATAACGTCTGGTAAAGCTATACGGCTTTCATGAAACATGCTATATGATAATAAAAAGCTTCCAACTGAGTACATCAGTGAGAAATGGAATGATTTCTTTTGTATATAACCTCTATTTACCTATATTTCATTAAAAAATTGTTAAAGTATGAATAACACATTTGTCTTATATTATTATTAAAGACAATTAATCAATATTTAATTGTGGGAATTCAAATGTGATTGTTTACAAAGAATTTACATTAGATTTAAAATTGTAAAACAAGATGAAGTGATTTAAAAAATAATTTTTAATTTGCTAAATTAAACAATCCCAACAAAATTTAATTATTATCAAAAAAACAATTTAATTCAGTTAATTTACTAGCTAGTAGTAGATGCCTTCGATGACTCTCATGTATGCGAGCATTCTCCAATTGTAGAGGTTTGTTTTATTTTAGTAGAAATACATTGCTGCGTATGAAGCTAAAAACCCACTTAAAAATGAATTAAATCCACTTTCCTTTTGAGTGATAAATCTGAGTAAGCACTAAATTGCCTTTAGCAGACATGTTTATGAGCAGAAAAATAGTGATAAATAATAGAAATCTTTCTAAAAGAATCCTTAAATTAAATTTTGCTGCTTCTTTTTTGAAATCATACAAGTTAAAAAATGTACTGCTGACTTAATTATAAACCCTAAACCGAAGGATTTAAGCAGTCCTTGAATAGCGTTTTTAAAGCAGCTTCCGCTGTGATTGCAGTGTACAGTCTTCCCTTTAAAGAAGCACTGCAAAATACTAATTTTCTTTTTGTTATTTAAATCCATACTATTAGGATTATACTAGGGATTTGCTTGTCTTTGTCTGTTTTTAAAAGAAGAAGACCTACTTGCTTATAAAAAGAGTTTTTGATCGTTATTTTAATTTTTTTTTTATAAGATTTAAATACAAGAAAAGACTTGAGTTATTATTAAGTGAGTGCATGCATCAATGAATTAATGAATATGTATGTATAAGAGAAAAGAAATTAAGAAAAGATTATTTATTATTTGATTAGCTTGCTGATTAGAATAATTTATTTATTTATTTAATCGCTTTGTAATAATAGAAGAATGATAATAAATAAGAATTATTTAAGGTACATTAATTTTTTTTAAAAAAAACAATCAAAGCCAAAAAAATTTTCTATTTTAGGAATTCGATTGTTGTTTGGAAGAATTCTTAATTAATACATCACCAATTAAAAGAAAATTTTTGAGTATTCTATCTAATCTATTTTTTATTAATACGTATTAATTATTCGACTAAACTTTATAAATCCTTTTTAGGAGTCTTTCTTTTTTCTTAAAAAGCTAAAATACTATTGAAATAGTCAATGTTTTTTATCATCATATCTTTAATTTGAATTTTCTAGTCGTAATATGTAATATTTCCTTTTTCCTACAATCTTTTAATTATTTACAATGTAAAAAGTTATTCATACTTGAAAAAAGCAACTCTAAATAAAAAATATTTGTATTAATTTGGCTCTTTTAAGATTCTATTTATAATTCTAAAGCTAAATAGTTCGATATAAATCAGTGCTCACTCAATTTGTATAATAAATACCAATTAAGATTCTTTAACAATATTTTGATTGTGTTAAAAATTTGCTCAAAATTTAATGCCCATATTTATATTAATTTGAATTTGGAACAAAATATCATGGAAAAACAGGGAAATTTATCTGTTTTTTGAATAGTTTATCATTCAATTTGATATTTTAAAAAAATTAACTTGTATATCAGATGAAGGCCGAATACTAAGTATAAATCAACCTAAACAGATACTAATAGATGTTAACAAAACAGGAAGAATATTTTAATGTGATAATTTCAAATGTATTTAGATTATCTATTAATTTAAACAAATTTAAAGCAAAATAAAATTTTCTCATTTTCTTTTGCTTTATAAATTGTAATTCTGCCATGCGATCTAAATAATTAAATATAAATAATTTGGGATATTTTTTAAATATGAAACAAGGGATAGTTTATTTTCCTAACTATTTTAAAATATAAAAGCATTAAAATTTTATTAATACATGTTAATATTTTTAAAGAATTTCCTATGAAATTCTTTTTGAACACTTTGTTTTATAGCTATCTATCAATTTATGTATTGAATAATCATACCATTAAATCATTAATTTATAATTAATCAATTTACAATTTTAATTCGTCATTAGTACTATTTTTATTTCCAAAATATGCATATTTATAAATGCGTTTTTAGCGTATTAAACAATTAATTTTAGAAAGAATATTATTATGGAAAATAAGCTAACTAGCTAAATTTTATTAACAAACATAATTTATATTTTACTCAAATTATTTAGAAGTTTCTTGATTTATTTGCGTTTTAGTTTTAAGATACTTCTCATTCAAATTAATCTTTGTAAAAATAGATAGATATACAATCTTATAAACTAATGTTATATAATTGTTTTATAAACTTTATATCCTTATTAATTCAAAAATTTTTTAATTTAAATTTATTTTTTTAAGTATTAATAAAAAATAAAATTTGATTTCTCTATGCGGTTTTATTTAAATTATGGTATCTAATTAATCACGGTAAATAAAAAAAGGATAGAAATATGATTGATGGATAATATTTCAGATTAAAATATATAAAACTGGAATTTAAAAGCTTGGTATTTATATAATTTCATAAGATATAATATAACACTAAAAGTTTTAAATTATTTGATCGTTTTTAGAGAAACGAGGGTTTGTTTAAGAGGAATTAATTTATTTAAGTTAATTTAATTTTTTAATTTATTAATTTTTATAAACAATTTATTTACTTACAAAAATAAATATGAATGATATTTATAATAAAAAACAATAATAAAATCTAATATATTTTAGGTAAAAAAAACTTTTTCAAAATATTAAAAAATAAAAAAACCTTTAATATTCAATTATTTAAACATTTATTATTTATTCTTCTTATTTCGCCATTTGCTTATCAACAGAATTTGATTTAAAAGACAACTAATCTTTTTGATTTAAGATACTTGCTTATTACTTTGAATTACTATTGTTCATTTATTGAGCTAAAAATTTATAATAAATTTGTGTAAATTTTAAATAAATATCAAATATAATCAACTTTTAAATTAAAAATTATTTCTTAAATAAATAAATAAAATAACATTAGTCTAATAAAAAAGATAAAAAATAAATCAAAAAATTCAAAAAACTTTTTGTTTTAAATTAGTTTTTATAATTCAAAATAATACAATCCAAAAAAAATAAACTGTTTTTACTCAAGGCAAAGTTCCAAATTAGAGAGATTAATGCAATTTGCTAAACCAGAACCTAAGCCTGATGCACCTTCATCACCAATTTCATTCCTACTTTTTAAATATTGAAGAAAAAATATATCATTAAATAGATAATTAGAAGGAAAAAATGAAGAAAGAATATGAAATAATAAGATTAATTAATTGATAATAAAAGCAATAGTTGAAAATAAAATGATGAGTTAAGTTAACAAAGAAAGAACAAAAAAAAAGCAAGCACAATAAAAATAAAAAGAAATGAGAGCTTTATTGTTTTAAATTAGTTTTTATAATTCAAAATATCACAATCCAAAACAAATAAACTGTTTTTACTTAAGTTAAAGTGACAAATTTGAGAGATTAATGCAGTTTGCTAAACCAGAACCTAAGCTTGATGCACCTTCATCACCAATTTTATTGTCACTTTTTAAATATTGAAGAAAAAATATATCATTAAATAATTATTTAGAAGGAAAAAATGAGGAAAGAATATGAAATAATAAGATTAATTAATTGATTATAAAAGCAAAAGTTGAAAATAAAATGATGAGTTAAATTAAAAAAGAAAGAAGAAAAAAAAAAAAGCAAGCACAATAAAAAGAAAAAGAAAAGTGAGCTTTTTTGTTTAAATTTATAATTCAAAATATCACAATCCAAAACAAATAGACTGTTTTTACGTAAGTTCAAGTGACAAATATGAGAGATTAATGCAATTTGCTAAACCAGAACCTAAGCCTGATGCACCTTCATCACCAATTTTATTGTCACTTTTTAAATTTTGAAGAAAAAATATATTATTAAATAGTTAATTAGAAAGAAAAAATGAAAAAAGAATATAAAATAATAAGATTATTTAATTGGTAATAAAAGCAAAACTTAAAAATAAAATGATAAATTACATTAACAAAGAAAGAACAAACAAAAAAAAGCAAGGACAATAAAAAGAAAAAGAAATGAGAGCTTTATTGTTTTAAATTAGTTTTATAATTCAAAATATCACAATCCAAAACAAACAAACTGTTTTTACCTTATTTCGAGTTACAAATTTGAGAGATTAATGCAATTTCCTAAACCAGAACCTAAGCCTGATGCACCTTCATCACCAATTTTATTGCCTCTTTTTAAATATTGAAGAAAAAATATTTCATTAAATAGTTAATTAGAAGGAAAAAATGAAGAAAGAATATGAAATAATAAGATTAATTAATTGATAATAAAAGCAAAAGTTAAAAATTAAATGATGAGTAAAATTAACAAAAAAAGAACAAAAAAAAAGCAAGCACAATAAAAAGAAAAGAAATGAGAGCTTTATTGTTTTAAATTAGTTTTTATAATTCAAAATATCACAATCCAAAACAAATAAACTGTTTTTACCTCATGAATAGTGTCAAATTTGAGAGATTAATGCAATTTGCTAAACCAGAACCTAAGCATGATGCACCCTTTGCACCAATTTAATTGTAACTTTTTAAATATTGAAGAAAAAATATATCATTAAATAATTATTTAGAAGGAAAAAATGAAGAAAGAATATGAAATAATAAGATTAATTAATTGATAAAAAAAGAAAAAGTTGAAAATAAAATGATGAGTTAAATTAACATATAAGAGGAAAAGTGTGGTCTGGAGATTAATTTTTTAGACTAGTTTTTTTAAACAAAATTATAATATAATGTTATAATTTTGTTTAAAAAAACTAATATAAAAATTAATAGTCAGACCACACTTTTCCTCTTATATATTATCAAAAAAGAACAAAAAAAAAGCAAGGACAATAAAAAGAAAAAGAAATGAGAGCTTTATTGTTTTAAATTAGTTTTTATAATTCAAAATATCACAATCCAAAACAAATAAACTGTTTTTACATAAGTAAAAGTCTGAAATTTGAGAGATTAATGCAATTTGCTAAACCAGAACCTAAGCCTGATGCACCTTCATCACCAATTTTATTGCCACTTTTTAAATATTGAAGAAAAAATATATCATTAAATAGTTAATTAGAATGAAAAAATTAAGAAAGAATATGAAATAATAATTAATTAATTGATAATAAAAGTAAAAGTTGAAAATAAAATGATAAGTTAAATTAACAAAGAAAGAACAAACAAAAAAAAGCAAGCACAATAAAAAGAAAAAGAAAAGAGAGCTTTATTGTTTTAAATTAGTTTTTATTATTCAAAATATCACAATCCAAAACAAATAAACTGTTTTTACCAAAGTTAAAGTTCCAAATTAGAGAGATTAATGCAATTTGCTAAACCAGAACCTAAGCCTGATGCACCTTCATCACCAATTTCATAGCCACTTTTTAAATATTGAAGAAAAAATATATCATTAAATAGTTAATTAGAAGGAAAAAATTAAGAAAGAATATGAAATAATAAGATTAATTAATTGATAATAAAAGTAAAAGTTGAAAATAAAATGATGAGTTAAATTAACTAAGAAAGAAAGAACAAAATAAAAAAGCAAGCAAAATAAAAAGAAAAAGAAAAGAGAGCTTTATTGTTTTAAATTAGTTTTTATAATTCAAAATATCACAATCCAAAACAAATAAACTGTTTTTACTTATTGTAGAGTTACAAATTTAAGAGATTAATGCAATTTGCTAAACCAGAACCTAAGCCTGATGCACCCTTTGCACCAATTTCATTGTCACTTTTTCAATATTGAAGAAAAAATATATCATTAAATAGCTAATTAGAAGGAAAAAATGAGGAAAGAATATGAAATAATAAGATTAATTAATTGATAATAAAAGCAATAGTTGAAAATAAAATGATGAGTTAAGTTAACAAAGAAAGAACAAAAAAAAAAGCAAGCAAAATAAAAATAAAAGAAATAAGGGCTTTATTATTTTAAATTAGTTTTTATAATTCAAAATGACATAATCCAAAACAAATTAACTGTTTTTACTCAAGGCGAAGTGTCAAATTTGAGAGATTTGCTAAACCAGAACCTAAGCCTGATGCACCTTCATCACCAATTTTATTACGTCTTTTTAAATATTGAAGAAAAAATATTTCAATAAATAGTTAAATAGAAGGAAAAAATGAAGAAAAAATATGAAATAATAAGATTAATTAATAGATTATAAAAGCAAAAGTTGAAAATAAAATGATAAGTTAAATTAACAAAGAAAGAACAAACAAAAAAAAGCAAGGACAATAAAAAGAAAAAGAAATGAGAGCTTTATTATTTTAAATTTGTTTTTATTATTCAAAATATCACAATCTAAAACAAATAAACTGTTTTTACGTTATGTCAAGTTACAAATTTGAGAGATTAATGCAATTTGCTAAACCAGAACCTAAGCCTGATGCACCTTCATCACCAATTTTATTGTCACTTTTTAAATATTGAAGAAAAAATATATCATTAAATAGTTAATTAGAAGGGAAAAATGATGAAAGAATATGAAATAATAAGATTAATTAATTGATAATAAAAGCAAAAGTTGAAAATAAAATGATAAGTTAAATTAACAAAGAAAGAACAAACAAAAAAAAGCAAGGACAATAAAAAGAAAAAGAAATGAGAGCTTTATTGTTTTAAATTTGTTTTTATTATTCAAAATATCACAATCTATAACAAATAAACTGTTTTTACGTTATGTCAAGTTACAAATTTGAGAGATTAATGCAATTTGCTAAACCAGAACCTAAGCCTGATGCACCTTCATCACCAATTTTATTCCTACTTTTTATTTATTGAAGAAAAAATATATCATTAAATAGTTAATTAGAAGGGGAAAATGATGAAAGAATATGAAATAATAATATTAATTAATTTACAATAAAAGCAAAAGTTGAAAATAAAATGATGAGTTAAATTAACAAAGAAAGAAGAAAAAAAAGCAAGCAAAATAAAAATAAAAAGAAATGAGAGCTTTATTATTTTAAATTAGTTTTTATAATTCAATATAACATAATCCATAACAAATAAACTATTTTTACGTAAGTTAAAGTGACAAATTTGAGAGATTAATGCAATTTGCTAAACCAGAACCTAAGCCTGATGCACCCTTTGCACCAATTTCAATGTCACTTTTTCAATATTGAAGAAAAAATATATAATTAAATAGTTAATTAGAAGGAAAAAATGAAGAAAGAATATGAAATAATAAGATTAATTAATTGATAATAAAAACAAAAGTTGAAAATAAAATAATGAGTTAAATTAACAAAGAAAGAACAAAAAAAAGCAAGTACAATAAAAAGAAAAAGAAAAGAGAGCTTTATTGTTTTAAATTAGTTTTTATAATTCAAAATATCACAATCCAAAACAAATAAACTGTTTTTACCTTATGTCAAGTTCCAAATTAGAGAGATTAATGCAATTTGCTAAACCAGAACCTAAGCCTGATGCACCTTCATCACCAATTTAATTGTAACTTTTTAAATATTGAAGAAAAAATATATCATTAAATAATTATTTAGAAGGAAAAAATGAAGAAAGAATATGAAATAATAAGATTAATTAATTGATAAAAAAAGCAAAAGTTGAAAATAAAATGATGAGTAAAAAGAAAGAACAAAAAAAAAGTAAACACAATAAAAAGAAAAAGAAATGAGAGTTTTTATAATTCAAAATATCACAATCGAAAACAAATAAACTGTTTTTACTTAAGTTAAAGTGACAAATTTGAGAGATTAATGCAATTTGCTAAACCAAAACCTAAGCCTGATGCACCCTTTGCACCAATTTTATTGTCACTTTTTAAATATTGAAGAAAAAATATATCATTAAATAGTTAATTAGAAGGGAAAAATGATGAAAGAATATGAAATAATAAGATTAATTAATTGATAATAAAAGCAATAGTTGAAAATAAAATGATGAGTTAAGTTAACAAAGAAAGAACAAAAAAAAAAGCAAGCACAATAAAAATAAAAAGAAATGAGAGCTTTATTGTTTTAAATTAGTTTTTATAATTAAAAATATCATAATCCAAAACAAATAAACTGTTTTTACGTAAGTTAAAGTGACAAATTAGAGAGATTAATGCAATTTGCTAAACCAGAACCTAAGCCTGATGCGCCTTCATCACCAATTTAATTGTAACTTTTTAAATATTGAAGAAAAAATATATCATTAAATAATTATTTAGAAGGAAAAAATGAAGAAAGAATATGAAATAATAAGATTAATTAATTGATAAAAAAAGCAAAAGTTGAAAATAAAATGATGAGTACAAAGAAAGAACAAAAAAAAGTAAACACAATAAAAAGAAAAAGAAATGAGAGTTTTTATAATTCAAAATATCACAATCCAAAATAAATAAACTGTTTTTACCTCATGAATAGTGTCAAATTTGAGAGATTAATGCAATTTGCTAAAGCAGAACCTAAGCATGATGCACCCTTTGCACCAATTTATTTTTAACTTTTTAAATATTGAAGAAAAAATATATCATTAAATAATTATTTAGAAGGAAAAAATGAAGAAAGAATATGAAATAATAAGATTAATTAATTGATAAAAAAAGCAAAAGTTGAAAATAAAATGATGAGTACAAAGAAAGAACAAAAAAAAAGCAAACATAATAAAAAGAAAAAGAAATGAGAGTTTTTATAATTCAAAATATCACAATCCAAAACAAATAAACTGTTTTTACGTAAGTTAAAGTGACAAATTTGAGAGATTAATGCAATTTGCTAAACCAGAACCTAAGCTTGATGCACCTTTATCACCAATTTAAGTATAGTAAATCTAACTTTTTAAATATTGAAGAAAAATGATATCATTAAATAGAGCAAGTTGCCATACAAATTTACAAAAAACGAGTTTTATATATTTCTGTTTTTACATTTTATAAAATTAAAATTTAAAATATTTTTTATGAATTATTTTTTTCGTAAAATTTTTCAAAATTTATTTTTTTCAAAAAAAATGATATGTTGTTAGAATATACTATGTATATTATTTCAAATTTTGCATTTTGTAAATTGCTAAAAACTCAAAAATAAAGCTGATTTAATATAATTTAGCTTTATTTATTATGTTATTAAGATATATTACATTTTGCCTTTTATAAATTAAATAGGCATTTAATTCTAGTTATTTTTAAGGAAAAAATAAAGAAAAAATATGAAATAATATGATTAATTAATAATTAATAAAATTAACAAAGAATGAAAAAAAAAAAAATCATAATAAAAAGAAAAAGCAAAATAAATCAAATAAATTAAAAGAGCTTTAATGTTTTAAATTAACTTTTATAATTAAAAATATTGCAATCAAAAATTAATAAACTGCTTTTATTAAATTTAAGTTTTAATAGGAAAAAATGAAGAAAAAATATCAAATAATAAAAGATGAATAATAAATAATTAAAAATTCGAATGAAAATTAAGTTAAAATGTTTAAAAATTTTTGTTTTAATAAAAATCAATGAATAATGATGATAATTTCTTTTACAAAAATTATTTATTTAAATAAATTGAAAGTTAAATATATAAAAAATATTAATAATAATATAAATAATAATTATAAATAAAATATACTTGAGATTAATATCGAGAACCTAATGAGACAAAAGAGAAGAGCTTAAAAACTTTTTTTATTAATTTATATAAATTTAAAGGATATTAATAAAATAATTAATAATTACTTTTTCCAATTTGTTATATTTTTAAATCTATTATATCATTTATTTTTTTCAAAAATATTGAATAGCAATTTATGGAATTTAATTAATTAATTAATAATAAATGGATAAAAATAGCAAATAAAATTGATAATAAATAATCAAATATTAATTTATATATTTGGTTTTATGAAGAGATATCACAACAAAATTAATTTAACATTCATTATTTTAACTTAATATTTGTATTCAAAACATATTCTTAAAAATATATTAGGAATTAGTAGATGGCCAGTTATTTATTTAGTCATATTTGAAAAAATTCTAGTAGTTAATGTTCTTAGATATTATAAAAAAAATTGATTTTTCTGTTTTAGCTCTGTAATTTTAGGAATATTTATAATATCTTGAATTATAGCAAATACCATACAAAAATTTCGTGGTTTGCATGCCACTTATTATAAAATAGATTTTTATTAAATAAATAAATAAAAAATCTGATTTTGATATTTTATAATAGAATTATAATCAAAAATAAATAATTTTTTTACATTTAAAATTTTAAATTTAGCTAAATTTTGTGAAGTTGAGTAGACAATATACAGGAAGGATTTGGGGGCAATTAATAATTAATTTTTAAATTTTTCTTAAGAAAAAAAGAATTTGTAGTAAAAATTTACATATAAATTAAATTCTTAAACATATTAATTTATCCCTTAATGAATTAATGTCAAATAAATTAAATTTATACTCATAAATTAAAAAAAAATTAAATATCGAAACAATATAAAGACATAATTAACTTGTTATTGAAGAATTGCTTTAAAGTATAAAATAAATATTATGATTAAATAAATATAAATATTTAACTTTTAATTATTATATATGATTGATTCATCGAATTTCTATCTATCTATCTATCTATCTATCTATCTATCTATCTATCTATCTATCTATCTATCTATTATTATTATAAATTTAATGCGTAGGCGTTTTTATACCACACTACATATATAAATATATTCATCATAAAAGTTAAAAGAAAAATTATCTGTATTTTAGAGTAAGGAAAAAAAAAATTTCTTTTCATTTAACATTTTTTATTATAAAGCAAGTAAATTCAACCATTTGATCCTCAATAAACTATTTATTCTGTAAAAAAGCTCATAAAGGATATTATAAGGGTACAGTAGACATCTAAAATAAGATATTGCTGAAGATAAGCTACAAACCTAAGGATTTGGCCTCTAATATGAATATTTTTGGTTTTATCCCGTTTTAATATGATTTCTATACTTTTTTTAAAATGAAATTGTATTATTGAAATGTCGCATCATACAAATTCTTTATAAAAAGTAAAATATTATGAACCTGCTTTTTTTTAGTTTTATAAATTAAATATTTGAAATAGAAAAATTTTTAGATTTAAAAATCTTCTTTTAAAAAAATTATATTTGTCCTAAGACTTTATTATTTCTAGATATAAATCAAATATTTATTTAGCCAATATTAATTAAAAAATATTTAAATATAACTTTCAAATCAAAAATATATTTATTAAAATTAAGCTTTAAAAAAAAGCCGCAGATGCAGATGGAATTTAAGTCAATATATATTTTGTATTTTTTAATTTATTTTTATGATGTTGTTTGATTTTTCTTTTTAATTATTATTTATTCTTTATTGTTTATTTTATATTTGTTTATCTTTATTTTCTTCTATTTGTTTTTTTTTATTTCTTTTGATTTTTTTCTTTTTAATTTAATTCTTTTATAATTTTTTTATCTTTTTCTTTCTTTTTAAAATTTCTTTCTTTATTTTTAAAATATCTTTCTTTCTTTTTATTAAAATGAGAGACGAGAGTTTTATTTCGAAGCAGTTGGAGATCTCAATTATTTTCGTTCTATTATCTAAGCTTTTTTTTAAAAAATACTAATTATAAATTACTAGAAAGAGAATTTGTGAGTTTCTAATAAACATTCTTCTTAGTTGAGGATTTTTGGATAGCTAAAAGGATTAGTGACTTTGAACTCAATCTATCTGTCTTTTTCGTCTTTTCCAAGAGTAGAAAAACAGTTAGATGAATACCAACATCTTTCTCCAGTTCAGCGAGATGATGCTAAACAATTTGCTTAGTCTAAGTTGAGTACAGCCGATATCATTCATATTTGCTGGTTGATTCTGCAAAATTTATTTTAAATTATTGCATTTGTTTAAAAACTTTAAGTAGATTTTAATTGGATTAGTATCATCATATTTTGCAGGATAATTGACTTTACTAAATCCAATATCTAATAATGCATAGCTAGATTTTCGGTAAAAAATCTACTTATTCAGATTGTACATTTAAAAACTTATGATATCAGCTGACTAAGCAAAAAGCTTGGCATTTTTTTTTTCCTAAAAGTTGATTTTAGTAGCTGAAATGCAAATCCTTAATTTCCTCTGTTTATTTTTTCCTTCTCACTTTTTAATAAATTATTAATATCTAATTAATTATTACATAAAATTTGTATTTTTCCCTTTAATAAAAGTCTTTAATCAAATAAAATTCAAATTAATTTTTCCCCTCTTCTGTTCTTCTGTTTGATATGAAAATATCCTTATTAATTAATTTCTTAATCAACAAAGAAAGACATTATCAATAATTTATCCAAATATTTATTAAAAGCAAAATTTATATTTTGTAATAAGTAATTAAAATGTGCACAAATTAAATAAGAGTGAAATGAGACCAACTTTTATTAAAAATAAATAGATTTATTTATATTTTTTTAACTTATTATTGCATGCAAGTAATTTATGTTGATGTGTTGAATATGGATGGATTAATTGGTTTATTTCATTTAAAAAAATTTATTTTGAAGATAAAAAAGCACCCTTTTTGTTTATTGGATTGAAATAATTTAAATTAAATTATAAAATTTTATAGTGTTTAAATGATATTATTGCTCATAAGAATAGTAGAAGATTATTTCTTACTAAAATACATAGTATGTCCTCTAGGATTGTTGTTAGCTTTAATTTTAACCTATTTTTTGGCAAAGTTTCTTATAACAGAGATATATTTCTCATTTTTTAAAAAGAGATTGAATTTTAGAGATGGCTTTGTTGTTGTATTAACTGGTGGAAGCAATGGAATTGGTTTGGAGTTGTCATACATCTTAGCAAATAATCATGGAAAAGATATTACACTATTGATATTTGATGTTTAGGAGAATAAAGAATAAATAAATATTCTGAAAAGTAAATGCTAAAAAGCAGAGTTTATTAGCTGCGATTTGAGTGAATAAAAATAAATAGATTAGGCCTTTTAGGAAGTGATTGATAAATATAATTGCGTTGACATATTGATAAATAATGCTGCTGTTGCCTTAATAGAGTATTTTGATGCAATGGCAATTTAATCATTTTTCAAAGCTTAATAAATTAATTTATTATCTTATATGAAGTTAACTCATCTCTTTTTGAATTAGAAAAATTTTGCAAACAAAAAAGAGAAAAGCATCCTTTTTATGGGCTCTGTTGCAGGATTTTAGGTTGGACTTAAAACGTCTGAATACGCCTCTTCCAAGTTTGGTTTGGTTATGTTTAACGAAGCTTTAAGAGCTGAACTAAAGACATAAGAAAAATACAACTAAGTTAAACTTACTATTATAAATCCATATTAAGTGGATACAGAATTATTTAAAGGATTTAAAACATTTTTTAAACAGCTCTTTCCTACTTTAAGTGTGAAAAAAGTTGCTAATACTGTTTATTACAGCTTGATTTAAAAAAGAAATATAGTATTTATAAACTGGCATTATGAGGTGTTTATATTTTTTGTTTCTAGCTTACCTGCTTGGTTGAAAGATTTGGCAGGACTAATTACACTTATGGATACTCTAAATACCTTGGTAGGAAAAAAATAAAAATTCCCATCTTAAACAGCACAAAAATCTTTGCATTCTTAGTGATATTTTATTAACATATTTAAATACATGTTTTATTTAATTGTTTAAATATTTGGCTTACTTTTGTAAATTTGATTTGATTTAATTATTTCTTCATCTAGTAATTCTAAGTTGATAATCATAATGAATAACCAAAATTTGATTAAGTAAGTATTAAGCAAATAAAAGTACATAGATTATTTTCTAACTCTTAAAGAACTTTTTTGAAAATAAATAATTAAATAACAAATTGCTTAAATGACTAAATTGTTAATAAATTTGCAAAATAAAATTCATTCATATGTTATAATGTAATAAAGTTCTATCACTATTTTAAAAACTCTTTAAAAAAATTAAATTTATTGAATAATTTTTTATTAATTTATTTTAAATACTAAAAACTAATTTAAGGATTTAAAATTTATTTATTCATTCTAAAAAAGAGTTGCATAAAAATATAATTAAAATATTCAGTTATTGTTCATGTATGTAGCCTTGAAAAAGGCAGTACCCTAGGATACTATATATAAATCATTTTAATTGTGCCTATTATTCAATAATCCTAAATTACAGATGCTTGCTACTTATTCTGAATTAAAATTTATTAAAATCAATTTAATATATCTTGACCAAAATTAATCTACCCGACTGTATTAAAAATAAAGTAAAGAGTCTTAAATTATTTAATATATTCTGGATAACTTAATAAATTTGATATTAACTAAGACATTTCTTGAGAAAAATAAGTTTAAAATGAAATTGAAGTTAGATATTTAGAATGCTATTTTATTTAAGATTACATTCTAACTAAATCTTTATTGCTAAAAATATTATTAAAAAGTTATTTTATTTTAATGAATTTGTTATTAAATTTATGTAAAAAAGTAAATAAAACTGAAAAATTTAATTGAATTTAAAATATAAAATAAGAATTATTAATTACATTTATATATCTTATTTATATAGAATAAGAATCATCAATTATATATATTTTATTTATATAAAATACTATTTAGCTTTAAAGTTATTTAAAATTTCATTAATTTTATAAAGTTTATTGCTAATAGCAAAAAGCATGTAAAAATAAGTTCATTCCTAACTAAAATGGTGAGCATGAACTAGATTTTTTGATTATAAATTTGCTTATTAATAAAAGAAAAATTATAAAAGAATATTTAATATAATTTAGATTGATTATATTTTATTAGTAGCTCTGTAAACAAATTTAAATTTGAAAAATGTAAACTAATTTTTTCAGTAAGATTAAACCAATTTGTTTTATAATTAAGATTTCAAAAAAGCTATTTATTTGCCTTAGATAAACCAAATCAAAATTAAGTGTTTAAACACTGACAAAATAATCTTATTTTATAATGATTTGATAAATTAGAAAAATAATTATACAAAATATAAAACAAACAAAATAAAAAATGAATATCTAAAAGACTATAGCTGTTTTTATTTTGATTGCCTTAAGTGCTTCTTTGGTATTTGTTGGTGTCTAAATAGCTAATAACACTGACAGAAGTATAAAATAGTCATCTTTTCTTGGTTAGGAACTTTGCATTCCTTCCTCTAACCCATGCGCAGTGAGTGCTTTACCTCCTTATAATTACACTACTCCTTGCTGCCCTGGAACTGTTTGTGTTGGAAACCTATTTGTTCCAACATGTCTTCCTTAAAGCAGTCACCCTTAATGAATAAAATATTATGATATATTTTACTTAATAAAAATATTTTATGTTAATGTTTTCTTATAATTAAAAAATTATATATTTTTTTAATCTTCTTCTAATTTTTTTATACAGATAACTAAATTAATATTTATTTAAATCTTTAAGATAAAATATATTTTATGTTAATAAGATAGATAATTCTTTTAGATATGTATATGATAATAAGTAAAATTATTTTAAATCAATTTAAAATTAAATATTTTGTTAAGAAAATTTCTTTATAAATAGATAAAAAAATAATTTACTATTTCAAAAATACTGCTTATGAAATCTGCAATTTTTGATTGTTAAGAATAAATTATATTTATATTAATTACATTAGGTTATTCATATATATATTCGGATTTTATTTTTAAAATACTATCTTTTAATTTTTATTTACATTTCACAAGAATATTTTTAAATAATAATTAAAAAAATAAATCTATTTACTTTTCTACTTACTTTATTTAAACCTATTATTGTTTATGGTTTTAAAATTAAAGCTCTTGCTAATATTCATAAGATAATTTTGTGTGAATTAGATAATCAAATAATCTGATTCAGAAAATTAATAATATTTAAATAATAATTTTATTATTTTAAATCAATTAAAGATATCAATTTTTTTATTAAATTTTTTGATTTTAGGGAAAATTATTAAAAAAATGATATATTTACCAATATACCTACACAGTTTGTGATATTATAATTACAGGATTAGCTATATAAAATAAGAATCATCAACCACACATATATATATTTTATTTATATAAAATACAATTTATCTTTAAAGTTATTTAAAAGTTCATTAATTTTATAAAGATTATTTCTAAACAGCAAAAATTTTGTAAAAATAAATAAGTTCATTCCTAACTAAAATGGTGAGCATGAACTAGATTTTTTGATTATAAATTTGTCTTATTAATAAAAGAAAAATTATAAAAGAATATGTAATATAATTTAGATTGATTATATTTTATTAGTAGCTCTGTAAACAAATTTAAATTTGAAAAATGTAAACTAATTTTTTCAGTAAGATTAAATAACCAATTTGTTTTATAATTAAGATTTCAAAAAAGCTATTTATTTGCCTTAGATAAATCAAATCAAAATTAAGTGTTTAAACACTGACAAAATAATCTTATTTTATAATGATTTGATAAATTAGAAAAATAATTATACAAAATATAAAACAAACAAAATAAAAAATGAATATCTAAAAGGCCATAGCTGTTTTTATTTTGATTGCCTTAAGTGCTTCTTTGGTATTTGTTGGTGTCTAAATAGCTAATAGCGCTGATTTAAGTGTAAAATAGTCATCTTTTCTTGGTTAAGAAGTTTGCATTCCTTCCTCTAACCCATGTGCAGTGAGTGCTTTACCTCCTTATAATTACACTACTCCTTGCTGCCCTGGAACTGTTTGTGTTGGAAATTTATTTGTTCCAACATGTCTTCCTTAAAGCAGTCACCCTTAATGAATAAAAAATTAATGATATATTTACTTAATAAAAATATTTTATGTTAATGTTTTATAATTATTAAAAATTATATATTTTTTTAATCTTCTTCTAATTTTTTTATACAGATAACTAAATTAATATTTATTTAAATCTTTAAGATAAACATATATTTTAAATTAATAAAATATATAATAGATATTCTGATAATAAGTAAAATTATTTCATATCGATTTAAAATTAAATATTTTGTTAAGAAAATTTCTTTATAAGTAGATAAAAAAATAATTTACTTTTTCAAAAATACTGCTTACAAAATCAGCAATTTTTGGTTGCTAAGAATAAATTATATTAATATTAATTTCATTCGGTTATTCATACAAATATTTGGATTTTATTGTAAAATAGTAAGCTTTTAATTTTTTTACATTTCTCAAGAATATTTTTTAATAATAATTTAAAAAATATAAATATATTTACTTTTCTACTTACTTTAGATAAACCTATTATTGTTTATGGTTTTAACATGAAACTCCTTGCTATTATTCATAAGATAATTGTATGTGAATCAGATAATCAAATAATCTGATTAAGAAATAAATAATATTTAAATTTTATTTCATTTTGAAATAATATGTCTAAATAATGTATTAATTACAAAGATAGAACTTCCAGGATTTAAATTCTTTTAGATACCAAAGCTTTAGTATTTAATATCTGGAAATTCTATAAACTAGATTAGTTATAATTTAATTTTAGTATAAAAGTTATACGAAAAAATAATTATTTTCAAATATTAAATTTTACAGAAGATAGTATTGCAATATCACTAGAGTTTAGAAAGGTATTTGGCTCTATTTGAGTGATAATATGGATAATCTACGATTAAGTATTATAAAATAAAAATCTATTTTTGCTTTTATTAATAATAATATTTTTCTTGATCAAAAATTTTTATAATAGGTTTTAATTAATAATTTTATTATTTTAAATTAATTAAAATGTCAATTTTTTTAATAAAATAATTTCAAATTATTTTATAATTTTGGAGAAACAGGAAGGTTTGCTCAAGAGGAATTAATTTATTTAAGTAAATTTAATTTTTAAATTGTTTTGTTTTTTATAAATAATTTATTTATTTACAAAAATATGAATAATATTTATAAATGTAAAATCAATAATAAAAACCTATTTATCTATTTTTATTTTAGGTGAAAAAGCTTTTTCAAAATATTATATTATAAATATATATTATTTTTCAAACATTTGATATTTATTCATTCATCCTTTTTTCGCCACTTGTTTATCACAAGAAGAATTTTTTAAAGACAACTAATCTTTTTGATTTAAGACACTTGCTTATTACTTTTAATTCATTAATTGACCTAAAAATTTTATAATAAATTTTTGTAAATTTTAAATAAACATCAAAATAGAATAAATTTTTAAATTAAAAATTATTTCTTAAATTAATAAATATAATAGCATTAGTGGAATAAAAAAGATAAAAAAATAAATCAAATAAAAACTATCAAAAAAATTCAAAGAGCTTTTTTGTTTTATATTCATTTTTATTGTTTACAATATCACAATCCAAAAATTATAAACTGATGCACCAATTGCACCAATTCAATTGCTACTTTTTAAATATTGAAGAAAAAATATATCATTAAAGCTAATTAGAAGCAAAAAATGAAGAAAGAATATGAAATAATAAGATTAATTAATTGATAATAAAATAAAAAGTTGAAAATAAAAGGATGAGTTAAATTAACAAAGAAAGAACATAAAAAGCAAACACAATAAAAAGAAAAAGAAAAGAGAGCTTTATTGTTTTAATTAGTTTTTATAATTCAAAATATCAAAATCCAAAACAAATAAATTGTTTTTACCTAAGATAAAGTGTCAAATTTGAGAGATTAATGCAATTTGCTAAACCAGAACTTAAGTCTTATGCACCCATTGCACCAATTTAATTGCTACTACTTTTTAAAAATTGAAGAAAAAATATATCATTAAATAGTTAAAAAATAAAGAAAAAATATGAAATAATAAGATTAATTAATTTATAATAAAAGCAAAAGCTGAAAATAAAATGATAAATGAGTTAAATTAAGAAAGAATGAACAAAATAAGGCAAACACAATAAAAAGAAAAAGAAAAAAGAGCTTTATTGTTTTAAATTAATATTTATAATTCAAAATATCACAATCCAAAACAAATAAACTGTTTTTACACAAGGCAAAGTGTCAAATTTGAGAGATTAATGCAATTTGCTAAAGCAGAACCTAAGCCTTAGGTACCTTCATCGCTAATTTTATTTCCACTTTTTAAATATTGAAGAAAAAATATATCATCAAAAAAAGTTAAAAAATTATGAAATAATAAGATTAATTAATAATAAAAGCAATGTTGAAAATAAAATGATGAATGAGTTAACTTAACAAATAAAGAACAAAAAAAGCAAACACAATAAAAACAAAAAGAAAAACGATTTTTATTGTTTTAATTAGTTTTTATAATTCAAAATATCACAATCAAAAACAAATAAACTGTTTTTACCTAAGATAAAGTTTAAACTTTGAGAGATTAATGCAATTTGCTAAAGCAGGACCTATGCCTGATGCACCTTTATCACCAATTTAATTCTCCCTTTTTAAATATTGAAGAAAAGATATATCATTAAATAGTTAAAAAATGAAAAAATAATATGAAATAATATGATTAATTAATAATAAAAGCAAAAGTTGAAAATAAGATGAGGATTTAAATTAACAAAGAAAGAACAAAAATAAGCATGCAAAATAAAAAGGAAAAGAAAAAAGAGCTTTATTGCTTTTAATTAGTTTTTTCATTTAAAATATCACAATCGAAAACAAATAATTTGTTTTTACATAAGATCAAGTGTCAAATTTAAGAGATTAATGCAATTTGCTAAACCAGAACCTAAGCCTTATGTACCTTCATCGCTAATTTTATTTCCACTTTTTAAATATTGAAGAAAAAATATGTCATTAAATAGTTAAAAAATGAAGAAATAATAATATTAATTAGTAATAAAAGCAATATTGAAAATAAAATGATGAGTTAAATTAATAAAGAAAGAACAAAAAAAGCAAACACAATAAAAGAAAAAGAAAAGAGAGCTTTATTGTTTTAATTAGTTTTTATAATTCAAAATATCACAATCAAAAACAAATAAACTGTTTTTACCTAAGATAAAGTTTAAAATTTGAGAGATTAATGCAATTTGCTAAAGCAGAACCTATGCCTGATGCACCTTTATCACCAATTTTATTCTCCCTTTTTAAATATTCAAGAAAAAATATATCATTTAATAGTTAAAAAACGAAGAAACAATATGATTAATTAATAATAAAAGCAATGTTGAAAATAAAATGATGAATGAGTTAAATTAACAAATAAAGAACAAAAAAAGCAAACACAATAAAAACAAAAAGAAAAAAGATTTTTATTGTTTTAATTAGTTTTTATAATTCAAAATATCACAATCAAAAACAAATAAACTGTTTTTACCTAAGATAAAGTTTAAACTTTGAGAGATTAATGCAATTTGCTAAAGCAGGACCTATGCCTGATGCACCTTTATCACCAATTTAATTCTCCCTTTTGAAATATTGAAGAAAAAATATATCATTAAATAGTTAAAAAATGAAGAAATAATGATATTAATTAGTAATAAAAGCAAAAGTTGAAAATAAAATGATAAATGAGTTAAATTAACAAAGAAAGAACAAAAAAAGCAAACACAATAAAAAGAAAAAGAAAAAAGAGCTTTATTGTTTTAATTAGTTTTTATAATTCAAAATATCACAATCCAAAACAAATAAACTGTTTTTACTAAAGGTCAAGTTTCAAATTTTAGAGATTAATGCAATTTGCTAAAGCAGAACCTAAGCCTGATGCACCTTCGTCACCAATTAAATTCTCCCTTTTTAAATATTGAAGAAAAAATATATCATTAAATAGTTAAAAAATGAATAAATAATATGAAATAATAAGATTAATTAATAATAAAAGAAAAAGTTGAAAATAAAATGATGAGTTAAATTAACAAAGAAAGAACAAAAAAAAGCAAGCACAAAAAAAAGAAAAAGAAAAAAGAGCTTTATTGTTTTTAATTAGTTTTTATAATTGAAAATATCATAATCCAAAACAAATAAACTATTTTTACCTAAGATCAAGTGTCAAATTTGAGAGATTAATGCAATTTTATAAACCACAACCTAAGCCTTATGCACCCATTGCACCAATTTAATTGTAACTTTTTAAATATTTAAGAAAAAATAAATCATTAAATAGTTAATTAGAAGGAAAAAAAAAGAAACCAATATGAAAAAATAAGATTTATTAATAATAAAAGCAAAAGTTGGAAATAAAATGATGAATGAGTTAAATTAACTAAGAAAGAACAAAAAAAGCAAGCACAATAAAAAGTAAAAGAAAAAAGAGCTTTATTGTTTTTAATTAGTTTTTATAATTCAAGATATCATAATCCAAAAAAAATAAACTGTTTTTACTAAAGGTTAAGTGTCAAATTTGAGAGATTAATGCAATTTTCTAAACCAGTACCTAAGCCTGATGCACCTTCATCATCAATTTAATTCTCCCTTTTTAAATATTGAAGAAAAAATATATCATTAAATAGTTAAAAAATGAAGAAATAATATGAAATAATAAGATTAATTGATAATAAAAGCAAAAGTTGAAAATAAAATGATGAATGAGTTAAATTAACAATGAAAGAACAAAAAAAACAAGCACAATAAAAAGAAAAAGAAAAAGAAAAAATAGTTTTATTGTTTTTAATTAGTTTATATAATTGAAAATATCACAATCCAAAACAAATAAACTATTTTTACCTAAGATCAAGTGCCAAATTTGAGAGATTAATGCAATTTTCTAAACCAGAACCTAAGCCTGATGCACCTTCATCACCAATTTAATTCTTCCTTTTTAAATATTGAAGAAAAAATGTATCATTAAATAATTAAAAAATGAAGAGATAATATGATTAATTAATAATAAAAGCAAAAGTTGAAAATAAAATGATGAATGAGTTAAATTAACAAAGAAAGAACAAAAAAAAAGCAAGCACAAAAAAAAGAAAAAGAAAAAAAAAAGCTTTATTGTTTTTAATTAGTTTTTATAATTAAAAATATCATAATCCAAAACAAATAAACTGTTTTTACTAAAGATCAACTGTCAAATTTGAGAGATTTATGCAATTTGCTAAAGCAGAACCTAAGCCTGATGCACCTTCATCACCAATTTATTTGTTACTTTTTAAATATTAAAGAAAAAAATATCATTAAATAGAGTTAGTTGCCATACAAATTCACAAAAAGAAGCGAGTTTTATATACAATATTTTTACATTTTATAAAATTAAAATTTTAAACATTTTTTCAGAATTTTTTTTACTTTGAATTTTGAGTTTGTAAAATTAATTAAAATTTTTTTTTCAAAAAAAATGATATGTTTTTAGAATGTACTGTTTTTTATTTTATTTCAAATTTTATATTTTGTGAATTTAAAGCTTTCTAAAAACTCAAAAGTAAAGCTTTTTTAAGCTAATTTAGCTTTATTTATTATGTTATTAAGATATATTACATTTCGCCTCTTATAAATTAAATAGACATTTCACTCTAGTTAATTAGAAGGAAAAATGAAGAAATAATATGAAATAATAAAATTAATTAATAATTAATGAAGTTAACAAAGAATAAAAAAAAATAAATCAAATAAAAAGAAAAAGGAAAATAAATAAAATAAATTAAAAAAGCTTTAATAATTTAAATTAATTTTTATAATTAAAAATATTAAAATTCAAAACTAATTAACTGCTTTTATTAAATTTAAGATTTAATAGCAAAAAATGAAGAAAAAATATCATATAATAAAAAATGAATAATAAATAATTTAAAATTGAAATTAAAATTATGATAAAATAGTTAAAAATTTTTTGTTTTAATAAAGATCAATGAATAATTATGATAATTTCTATTATAAAAATTATTTATTTAAATAAATTGAAAGTTAAATATATAAAAAATATTAATAATAATATAAATAATAATTATAAATAAAATATACTTGAGATCAATATGGAGAACCTAATGTGATAAAAGTGAAGAGCTTAAAAACTTTTTTTATTAATTTATATAAATTTAAAGGATATTAATAAAAAAATTAATAATTACTTCTTCTAATTAGTAATATTCTTTAATATATTATATCATTTATTTTTTTTTTCAAAAATATTGAATAGTAAGCAATTTATTAAATTTAATGAATTAATTATAAATGGATAAAAAGAAAAAATAAAATATGATAATTAATTATCAAATATTAATTTATATATTTGGTTTTATAAAAATGAGATATCACAGAAAAATTAATTTAAAATTCATTATTTAATCTTAATATTTGTATTTAAAACATATAATTAAAAATATAGCCAGTTAGTATTATTTGAAAAAATTCTAGTAGTTAATTGATGTTATTAAATTTTATAAAATTATTTTTAAATATTTCTAACAATTTTTCTATTAATTTTTTTTTTTTTACAAGACTGTTTTATTAATATATTTTTTTAGAATGGTACAAATTAAATAAGAATATTTAAAAAAGAAAATAAATAATTTTTTTAAATCAATTAAGATTATTACTTTCTGATAATAATTAAAAATCAAAGAAATAAAAATGGCAAATAAATAAAAAAAAATGGAGTAATAGAATAACTCTTAAAATATTCTAGAAGATGTATATATTATTATTAATTTTATTTATTATTATAAAATCTTTTTTTTTAAATAAACAGTTAATGAAATCTAACTTGAAAGCTCTAACTCATATTAACTTACAGTTAAAGTATGAAATATATAAATATAAATATTTATTCATTCCTATTTAATCATAAATTTTTATAAAAAAACAAAATTAAGTTTAAATAAAATTTCTTATATTTCATTCATTTATTCATAAATTATATTCTTTTTTATTATTAAAAAATAATAAAAAGAAATTGCACTCTTAGTAATGAATAAGTTGCTTAACTTAACAATACTTTAGTATAATGTTAAAAATTAGAATCTTTAGTATTAAATCTTAAGTAAAAATTTAACTTTATTATCTTAATCTTAATTAATTACTTTTTGCTAAAAATCTAACATGTAGTAAGGAGAATATTTCAGAAGATTAGATAAATTAATTATTTACTGAATATTCCTACATAAAGGATTTTGTTGAAACTGGTAATGATGTGAGGTAAATAAATATATTTTTTTATGTTAATAAATCTTAATATATCCAACAAATTCTTTAATAAATCATAATATTATCTTACAACCCTATTTATTTCTACCATTTATAAAAAGATATAAGCTTGAATTTTGCTTTTTAAATTATATTAAATAAAATATTAATTTATATTTTTTGTTAATTAAAAATTTAAATTAATTAAAATAGAATTAATTTTATTTTATCTAAATAGCAATGATTAAATCTATGCCCAAATTTAGTTTTTCAAAAGTATTTTTTACCAAAAATCTGCTGATTGTCAAGAACTTCTTAGGTAAAATAAAACTACTGGTGTTTAATTGATTTATTTTTTAATTTAAAAGATTAAATGAAATTAAAGCTTAGGGAAGTATTCTATTAGAAGAAACTATGAGCAATCTAATTAATCTCAAGAGTTTATAGCTAAATTTAGAGTATACTTTTTTTAATTTATTTTATAGTACAATTAAGTTTATCTTTCTAAACTGATTAAAGCTTTTGATTATCTATACTAAATTAATTTTAATAATATTTTATAATAAAAGTGGAAATCAAATTGGAGATGAAGGTGCACTTTGGATTTGCACAGTATTAGGTAGATGCAAAACACTTACTAACTTAAATCTGCAGCTTTGGTAATTTTAATTTAATTGTATTAAACATATTCAGTTACATTAATTGCATTATTTTAAAATAAAATAAATTATTTATTAAAACTTTTGTTTGGAAAGGAAAAATAAAATGGGTGACAGAGGGATGTCGAGTATTGCAGAGGGTATTAGTAGTTGTGCTAAACTCACTACTTTAACTTTAAATGCAGTGTAAATTTTATTGATAATTGTTTATAAATTAAAAAATTATTTTTCAATATAATTTAACACCTATTTATCAATAAAAACTTAAAAAAGTGCAAATTTAATTGGAAAAGAAGGTGCATTTTCTATAAGTACTACATTAAGCAATTGTAAAATGTTGAATCATCTAGATATTGACCTCTCGTAACTAATTTTAATTTTTTTAAGGATATTTTAATTAACTGCAGACAATTTAATGAATTTTTTAATCTATTTAATCCTTTAACATTTTTTAAGTTTTCATTAATTCTTATTTATATATCTTTTATGCTTTATTAGTGACAATTAAATTGGAGAAGAAGGAGCATCAGCTATTTGTAGAGTACTAGGTAGCTGTAAATTACTTAAAAATTTAAAATTAGCACTATGGTAATTTTGATTTTTCATTTTTTTTAAATTTATAAAAATTTTAATGTTTTTTATATTTTTAGCAAAAATTAAAATGTTTGTTTTAAATTAATCAATTAAAGGATGATATATTTTTATTTATTTCATATTATTTTTATATAAAAGTAATAATTAAATTGGGGATGAAGGAGCATATTCTTTAGGAACAGCTTTAAGCAACTTACAGCTTCTTATTAATCTAAAATTTTATCTTAGGTAATTTTAATTTTACAATTTTAAAAATCTAAAAATACTTAACTAAATTTTAATTTTTGAGTTAAGTTTAAAACAATTAATTTGTAAATATTTGATTTATTTTATTTGAAAAGAGAAAATAAAATCAGTGATAGAGGAACATTAAATCTTGGATTAGGTTTAAGTAAATGTAATCAACTTAAAAATTTAGATATTAGAATGGAGTAAATATCTTTTTTTATTATTTTAAAAAATGAAAAAATATATTTTTATTCAAATTAAATTTAAAAATTTTAATTTTATTAGTTTTTTTTATTTTTATTTAAGTATGTATCTATTAATTATTTTTATTAATAAAAGATTGAATTAAATTGGAAATGACGGAGCTTCTGCTATTGGTAGTGCAGTTGGTCACTGTAAATTCCTTACTAATCTCTAATTTTGGATTTAGTAACATTTAAGTTTATATTTTTAATTAAATTATTAAACAGGTTTAAATAATTAATTAAACTATTTATTTTATTTTAAAAGTGGAAATTAAATTGGAGATAATGGAGCATAAAATATTGGACTAGGATTAAGGAACTGCACTCAACTTACTAATTTGATATTTGATATAAAGTAAATTTTATTTATTATTTTTTAAAAATTCTGAAAAATTATTTAAACTGAATTAAAAAAACATAAAATTTATAAAATGTCTTTAATATTTAATTAAATGTGACTTACATTTATAAAAGCTCAAATTAAATTGGGGATGATGGAGCTTCTACTATTGGTGCAGCACTTGATAACCTCAAACTCCTTACTAATATCAACCTTTCAATTTGGTAAAATTATTTTTTATTTATTCATCATCAACAAAATAAAGTTTGAATTATTTTACAAATTTTAATATTAATGTTAAAACACATATTAATAGCTAATAAATTGATTTATTTTGTTTTAAAAGGAAAAATAAAATTGGAGATAAAGGAACATAAAATATTGGATAAGGTTTGACTAACTGCACTCAACTTACTAATTTATAATTAGTTATAAGGTAAGTTTTATTAATATATTTTTGAAAAATATTGCTAATCCAGTATTAAAATATGATGAATTAGATATCATGATATTTTAATTCCTGGATAATCTTTCAAAATAATAAAAGATTAAAAAATATTTGTAAAAAGAAATTAAAAAAATATAAATTATTAAATTAAGAAAAATACAAACTGTAAGTTCTCATATATTAATACCCTTCCCCCCTACAAGCTTTTGAAATATTTTGGGTGTGAAAACCCACATATTTGAAAAAATATAAAATATTTTATTTGAATACATTTTATACTATCTATTTATATATTAAATTCAATTTATAAATTTTATTGAATATTACCTTTACTTTCTTTTTCATAAATATTTTAATTTATTTTTTTCATTTTAAATTTAGCATAATCCGAATATAATGCTATCCAGTTCATTATATTTTAATATCTGGATTAGCAATATAAAATAGTTTTATATTTAAACTGAATTAAAATACTTTAAATTTATAAAATGTTTAAATAATTAATAAACTTTATTTGCATTTAAATAAGCGAAAATTAAATTGGAGATGATGGAGCTTCTACTATTGGGACAGCACTAGGTAACTGCAAATTCCTTACTAATCTCAACTTTTAAATTTGGTAATAATTATTTTATATTTATTTATTGATAACTAAGAAAGTTTAAATTATTTAAAAGATTTTGATTTTAATGTCAAAACAAATGTAAATATTTAATAAATTGTTTTATTTTGTTTAAAAAGGGGCAATAAAATCGGAGATAAAGGAGCATAAAATATTGGATTAGGTTTGAGTAACTGCACTCAACTTACAAATTTACAATTTGGGATAGGGTATTTATTTCCTTTACATCTTTAAAAAAAATTAATTCAAAGATTTATATTCAAGCTGAATTAAAAAAACATTAAATTTATAAAATGCCTAAATTATTAATTAAATGTGATTCACATTTATAAAAGCAAAAATTAAATTGGGGATGATGGAGCTTCTACTATTGGTACAGCACTTGGTAACTGTAAATCCCTTACTACTCTCGACTTTTTAATTTAGTAAAATTATTTTATATTTATTTATCAATAACAAAAAAAATTTTGAATTATTTTTTTTATTTTAATTTAAATGTCAAAACAAATTTAATTAGTTAATAAATTGTTTTATTTTGTTTGAAAAGGAAAAATAAAATCAGTGATAAGATAAGATAAGATAAACTCGCACATATAAATGCACTCAGAAATACATCTTAAAAAGGTATATATTAATTTTATTATAAAATTATTTATTAATTAATGTAATTATAATTTCTTTATTGACTTTCAACTTTAAAAAATAAAATCAGTGATAAAGGAGCATAAAATATTGGATTAGGTTTGAGTAACTGCACTCAACTTACAAATTTAGAATTTAATATAAAGTAAATTTATTTCATTTATAAAAATAATGTCAAAACTATTTTATTCAAACTGAATTAAAAAAAATTAAATTTATAAAATATGTTAAATTTTTAATTAAACTTGATTTGAATTTATAAAAGCCAAAATTAAATTGGAGATGATGGAGCTTCTAATATTGGTATAGCGCTTGGTAACTGCAAACTCCTTACTAATCTCAACTTTTCAATTTGGTAAAATTATTTTATATTTATTTTTTGATAACTAAAAAATATTTGAGTTAATTTATATATTTTGATTTAGTTGTCAAAACAAATTTAAAGAGTTAATAATTTTTTTTTTTTTGAAAAGGGGCAATAAAATCGGTGATAAAGGAGCATAAAATATTGGATTAGGTTTGAGTAACTGCACTCAACTTACAAATTTACAATTTTATATTAGGTAGATTTTTTTCATTTATAACTTTAAAAAAAAAATTATGTCAAAGCTAATTATTCAAACTGAATTAAAAAAACATTAAATTTACAAAATGTGTTAAGTTTTTAATTAAAAATTATTTGCATTTATAAAAGCGAAAATTAAATTGGGGATGATGGAGCTTCTACTATTGGTACAGCACTTGGTAACTGTAAATTCCTTAATAATCTCGACTTTTCAATTTAGTAAAATTATTTTATATTTATTTATTTATCGATAACAAAAAAAGTTTGAATTATTTAAAATAATTTAATTTTAAATGTTAAAACAAATTTAAGTTAATAAATTGTTTTATTTTGTTTGAAAAGGAAAAATAAAATCAGTGATAAAGGAGCATTAAATATTGGATTAGGTTTGAGTAAATGCACTCAACTTATAAATTTAGAATTTTGGATAGGGTAAATTGATATCATTTATAACTTAAAAAAAAAAAATGTCAAAGCATTTTATTCAAACTGAATTAAACAACATTAAATTTATTAAATGTATTCTATTTTTAATTAAACTTGATATTCATTTATAAGTGAAAATTAAATTGGGGATGATGGTACTTCTACTATTGGTAGAGCGCTTTCCAACTTCAAATGCCTTACTAATCTCGACTTTTAAATTTAGTAACATTATTTTATATTTATTTATCAATAACTAAAAAAAGTTTGAATAATTTTATATTTTGATTTAAACGTCAAAAAAATTTAAATATTGAGTAAATGTTTTATTTTGCTTGAAAAGGAAAAATAAAATCGGTGATAAAGGAGCATAAAATATTGGATTAGGTTTGAGTAACTGCACTCAACTTACAAATTTACAATTTGTGATAAGGTAAATTTATTTCATTTATAACTCTTAAAAAAAATTATTTCAATCCTTTTTATTTAAACTGAATTAAAATAAAAAAACATTAAATTTGTCAAATGTGTTAAATTTTTAATTAAATGTGGTTTACATTTATAAAAGGGATAATTAAATTGGAGATGAGGGAGCTTCTACTATTGGTACAGCACTTGGTAACTGCAAATTCCTTACTAATCTCAAATTTTCAATTTGGTAAAATTATTTTTTTTTATTTATTGATAACTAAAAAAATTTGAATTATTTGATATGTTATGTCAAAACAAATTTAATATTTTGTTTGAAAAGGGGCAATAAAATCGCTGATAAAGGAGCATAAAATATTGGATTAGGTTTGAGTAACTGCACTCAACTCACAAATTTAAAATTTTGGATAAAGTATATATATTTCATTTATATCTTTTAAAAAAATTATATCAAAACTTTTATTCAACCTAAGTTAGAAGAAATATTAAATTTATATAAAAAACATTAAATTTATAAAATGTGTTAAATTTTTAATTAAACTTGATTTGCATTTATAAAAGCTCAAATTAAATTGGGGATGATGGAGCTTCTACTATTGGTACAGCACTTGGAAACTGTAAATTCCTTACTAATCTAGACTTTTCAATTTCGTAAATTTATTTTATATTTATTTTTCAATAAAAAAAAAATTTGAATTATTTTATAAATTTTGATTTAAATGTCAAAACAAATTTGAATAGTTAATAAATTGATTTATTTTATTTGAAAAGGGGCAATAAAGTCGGAGATAAAGGAGCATAAAATATTGGATTAGGTTTGAGTAACTGCACTGAACTCACAAATTTAGAATTTTGGATAAAGTAGATATATTTCATTAATATCCTTAAAAAAATTATGTCAATGCATTTTATTCAAACTAAATTAGAAAAAAATAAAATTTATATAAAAAATATTAAATTTATAAAATTTGCTAAACTTTTAATTAAACTTAATTTGAATTTATAAAAGCGAAAATTAAGTTGGGGATGATGGAGCTTCTACTATTGGGATAGCACTTGGTAACTGTAAATTCCTTACTAATCTCGACTTTTAAATTATGTAACATTATTTTATATTTATTTATCAATAACTAAAAAAAGTTTGAATAATTTATATATTTTGATTTCAATGACAAAATTTTTTTAATAGTTAATAAATTAATTTATTTTGTTTGAAAAGGAAAAATAAAATCGGTGATAAAGGAGCTTAAAATATTGGATTAAGTTTGAGTAGGTGCATTCAACTTACACATTTACAATTTGTGATTAGGTAAATTTATTTCATTTATAACTTTAAAAAAAATATTAAATTTATAAAATGTTTTAAATTTTTAATTAAACATGATTTGCATTTATAAAAGCGAAAATTAAATTGGGGATGATGGAGCTTCTACTATTGGTACAGCACTTGGTAACTGCAAATTCCTTACTAATCTCAAATTTTCAATTTGGTAAAATTATTTTATATTTATTTATTGATAACTAAAAAAAATTGAATTATTTTATATATTTTGTCAAAACAAATTTATTATTTTGTTTGAAAAGGGGCAATAAAATCGGTGATAAAGGAGCATAAAATATTGGATTAGGTTTGAGTAACTGCACTTAACTTACAAATTTAGAATTTTGGATAAGGTAGATATTTATCTTTTATATATTTAAAAAAAATTTTTTAAATGCTTTATATTAAAACTAAAATAGAAAAAATATTAAATTTATAAAATGTGTTAAATTTTTAATTAAACTTGATTTACATTTATAAAAGCGAAAATTAAATTGGAGATGATGGAGCTTCTACTATTGGGACAGCACTTGGAAACTTTAAATTCCTTACTAATCTCGACTTTTAAATTATGTAACATTATTTTATATTTATTTATCAATAACTAAAAGTTAGAATAATATTTATATTTTGATTTAAATATCAAAACAAATTTAAAAAGTTAATAAATGAATTTATTTTATTTGAAAAGGAAAAATAAAATATGTGATAAAGGAGCTTAAAATATAGGAATAGGTTTGAGTAACTGCACTCTAATTAAAAATTTAGAATTTTGGATAAGGTAGATTTATATCATTCATAACTTTTAAAAAATTATGTCAAAACTTTTTATTTAAACTGAATTAAAAAAACATTAAATTTATAAAATGTGTTAAAGTTTTAATTAAACTTGATTTATATTTATAAAAGCGAAAATTAAATTGGGGATGATGGGGCTTCTACTATTGGGACAGCACTTGGTAACTGTAAATTTCTTACTAATCTCACATTTTTAATTTGGTAAAATTACTTTATATTTATTATTAATAACTTAAAAAAGTTTGAATACTTTATATATTTTGATTTAAAAGTCAAAAAAATTTAAATAGTGAATAAATTGTTTTATTTTGTTTGAAAAGGGGCAATAAAATTGGTGATAAAGGAGCATAAAATATTGGATTAGGTTTGAGTAACTCCACTTAACTTACAAATTTACAATTTTTTATAGAGTAAATTTATTTCGCTTATATCTTTAAAAAAAATTATTTCAAAACTTTTTATTTAAATAAAAAAAATATTAAATTTATACAATGTGTTAAATTTTTAATTAAACATGACTTGAATTTATAAAAGTGAAAATTAAATTGGGAATGATGGAGCTTCTGCTATTGGTACAGCACTTGGTAACTGTAAATTCCTAACTGATCTCAAATTTTCAATTTAGTAAAATTATTTTATATTTATTTATTTATTAATAGTTTGTATTAATTAATATATTTTGATTTAAATGTCAAAAAAAATTTAAATTGTTTTTTAATTTTTTAATTTTGTTTGAAAAGGGGCAATAAAATCGGTGATAAAGGAGCATAAAATATTGGATTAGGTTTGAGTAACTGCACTCAACTTAAAAATTTAGAATTTTGGATAAAGTAGATTTATATCATTAAAAACTATTAAAAAAAAAATGTCAAAATTTTGAACTAAAAAAACATAAAATTTATAAAATGTGAAGTGAAAATTAAATTGGAGATGATGGAGCTTCTACTATTGCTACAGCACTTGGTAACTGCAAATTGCTTACTAATCTTGACTTTTCAATTTAGTAAAATTATTTTATATTTATTTATCAATAACAAAAAAAGCTTGAATTTTTTTTATAGATTTTGATTTAAATGTCAAAGCAAATTTAAATAGTTAATAAATTGTTTTATTTTTTTTGAAAAGAGGTAATAAAATCGGTGAGAAAGCAGTATAAAATATTGGATTAGATTTGAGTAACTACACTTAACTTACAAATTTAGTGTTTAATTCAGAGTAAATTTTATTTATTACTTTTGAAAAAAAATATGTTAAAGCTTTTGAGATGTAATTTAAATATCTTTATTTTATTAGTAATAATGAGAAGTTTCTAAATTCCAAAGAAATTATCAACTGTAAAAATATAAAGTTATTGAATCTATCTATATAGTAATTACTTTTTTTTGTTTAAAATTTGATGATTATAAATAAAATGTTTTATTTATCTAAAAAATAAATTTATATTTATTAAAAGGGAATTGCCTTAAAAAAGAAAAACAGAAATCAAAAGATTAGCTTAAAAAATAAAAAGATTAGTGAAATTAAATATAGATTGAATTTAATAAAATGAATAATTAAATATATATTTGTTAACAGTATAGAAAATATTAATTGTATATTTTTATATTTATATTATTTAATTTAATTTTATGAAAATTAGTTGATTTAATATCATAATTTAATTATTATTAAAACAAATAATTAAAAATTTTTATATATTATAGTTTTTAATGTTGGAAACTACATAAAATCAAACCGTTTTATTTATTTATTATTAAAATTTAAAACTAATAAAAATAATTTTTAAATTTATATTTTGTTCAATAATAAAAAATGAATTAAGGTGTTTTATTGAATTATTATTATATTTATTAGATAAAATATTAAATAAATAAAAAATGATATTTGGCATTTAAATTTATTATATTACATTCAATTAAGCTATTAATAAATAAAATTAGCATAAAATTCTTCTATTTTGAGTATCCTATTTCTTATGAATATTTTTAATTTAAACTGTTGTTTGATAACTCTAATAGTTGATTAAAACATAAATACTAATTTATTTTTATTTTGGTGTAATTTGATTAATACAATAGGGAAGTATCATCTTTCATATTTATTAATATCTAGATGTTACTTTTATTTAATTATGTAATACAGAAGTAGCAAATTTATTTTGCTTACATTTTCTTTTAAACTATTTTTATCAATAATTAAACAAATTATAAATTTCAATAAAAAAAATATAAATTATTTTTAAATAAAATTAATATTTAGAATAAATAAATATTTTTTAATTTATTTTATTTTACAAACAATAAATGGATTTATTATTTATTTATTTATCTATCATAATTATATAGTGATAAATTTTATTTTAGTCTATCAATTTTCACAAAATAAGCTAATTAGTTTATCCCTAATTAAAATAAATAATAATACTAACACCATATATTTTTAAGCTTAAATTATATATATATTTACTATTAAATGATTATTCCATATAAATTAACAAATGGCGCTACAAATAATTGAGTAAAAACAAACATATTTAATACAGTTAAACAGACACTTTAAAAGTACTTATATTAAAATAAAAAAATATTAAATTATTCTATAAAATAAATAAAAGATTTCATCAAAAATTAGTTTTAGTTTTTAAAATAAAATTAATTTATTGCTACTAATAAAGTAAGTAGAACTGTTTATTTTATATTAAAAATAATTTAGCTTGCAATTTTTTTTGTCTAGGAAAAAATAGAAAATATTTTAATTTGGATTAGATTGTGATTCTATTATATTAATGAAATAGATAATATTACTATTATCAATTAGCTTTAAATAAAAAAGATGTTAGTATATTTGTAGATCAGTGAGTAGGCACTTTGATTAATTGAAAAGATATTTTGATAAGAATATTCTTTTCAGATAATCAAAATATCTTTATAGATCTTTAGTGTTTTTGCTTTCGCTCTATATTTAATTGCTATCACAAAAATGTACATTAAAATCAGTCAGATTTGGAGCTAGTTAAAATTGCACAAAAGTTCTGGTCCCAAATTTAACTTTTTCATTAAAAAATCTGTAAATAAGTTGGAAATATTTGCATTTTGGAAAAAATATTCCTTTCTATAGGTTACTGCATTAACAGGCTTCACTGTAAACACATATTTTTAGATTAGTGGATAAGATCTTTGATTAGATTAAATTAACAAATAAAAAGTATATTTTGATAAAAACCATACAATCCTTTCATTTAATAAAAATATTAATTAAGAGGACTTTTAGT